ATGTGTATGCAATAATTCGCTAATTTACTGTTTCCAAGCAACATGCAACTGAACGTGTTGAACGACCTGGCGAAAGCCAAGAGGCGTTGGACGGAAAAAAAATCCGTCACCATCGCTTTATCCTTGTGCCAATAGTTCTGCGTGCCAGCCTCGGCCGGCCGAGCCTCGAAGCTACCTCGCTTGGAAATATTGTCATGATCAAGAGAAGCAGATATAAGGGGCCAGTTTTAGGTTCGGTTTTGGACACCTGAAACCGAGTTGGCATCCGTTGCTGTATTTGCTCAAAAGATCGGAGTCTCATTCTCCACCGACGAGTTGCCGTTTCCATGGCTGACAACATGTGAGCTCTCTGATGCAGTCGAAAATGACGACCTCGAGTCGTCCTCGTACTGCAGTTGGTGTCGCGACTCTTTTCAACAGACTGCCGGTGGTGGTTCGATTCCCCGCAATCCGCGAGTGAGACTCAAGACCGTAGACCCGCCGAAAGGTAACAGGACCTCCAGTTCACAATACACCAATTTTCAGCCTGGCTTCAGTGGCGAAATCGATGTCCGTATGAACATTCCGTTCAGGAGCTGCTATTGAGGCCCTTTTTTGCGCGTCTGCTTTTTGTTCCGTTCTGAGGTCCAAAAAAGGGTTCCTTCTTTGTCGTAAAAAGTGCCTGTGTGTAAAGGCGTCTGCGTGTAAAAGCATCTGTGTGTAAAAACTTCTGTATGTGAAAGCGTCTGTGTGAAAGAAGTCTGTGTGCAAACGCTTCTGTGTGTAAAAACGTCTGTGTGTAAACGCTTCTGTGTGTAAATACGTCTGTGTGTGAACGCTTCTGTGTGTAAAAGTGTTTGCGTGTAAAAATGTCTGCGTGTAAAAGTGTCTGTGTGTAAAGGCGTCTGTGTGTTAAAGCCTGTGCAAAGTGATCAGTGTCTGTGTGTAAAACCTTCCGTGTGTAAAAGCTTTTGTGCAAAAGCTTCTGTGTGTAAACGCGTCTGTGCGTAAAAGCGTCTGTGAGTAAAAGTCTCTGTATGTAAAAGCTCCTGTGTGTAACAGCTTCTGTGCAAAAGCGTCTGTGTGTAAAAGGTTCTGTATGTGAAAAACAATACGAAGGATACGATGCAAACTAGTGTCTTGTACTTGTAATATATTGTCTTGATACTACCTGTCTTGTCTGCCTTTAATACATCTTTAACATATTGTCTTGTAATATAGTATCTCAATACTAACAACAGAAGACCCTGCTGCTCTACGCTCTCGGGCCATCCGTCGTCTAGTTGCTGCAATGGTGTGGTCATTCTTTCTCTGGCGTTTGTACAAGTGGCTTTGGCAGGTGAGTTTCAGCCACGATCAACATTGCCTTCAGCTTGCGGAGTTGGATCAATATGCTGGTGAGATTAGAAATGACTGCAATGAACTTCAAAGGACAGCAGGGAAAGCATGGTGGAAGTTGAGACACAACAGATGATGGTGAGTGACACTACTGATGGTTTTGATTCAGACGTCGCCATATGTATCAGCAAAAATCTGAAAATCTCATTGTATCACGGGTGATGGGACAACAGCATTTTCTTCAAGTTGTTCGACAACAAAATCCGGGAACAACCGCAGGTCAGGACACTGATGAAACAGTGGAAGAGCGTGCAGAATCTGAAGAGCAGGAGGATGACCCTCCAGTAGCTCCAGTTGCTGCAGGTGACCAAGAAGGCCCTACAACAGCCTTGGTTGTGGGAGTACGAGAGGAAATCAACCATGCGTTGGCACGAAACCATTTCAGGGATGCAGCTGAAATACAACATTTGGTGTTGCTTTTGTTGGACACTTTGAACGTTGGAACATGGGCAGGACGGTGGCGAGAAACAACATTCTGAGAGAAGTTGCAAACAGGCTGGAGTCAATTGCGCCGAGACATCAAATCATGACTCCAGAACTTGCAAACAGGTTGATGCAACGAACCATGGAAATCAGAGGAATGATGTGGTGAACAATAGAAGGAAAGAAAGGGAGAAACAGAGAAGGGAATCTGGGCAATTCCTTTAAATGCCCAGGATTTGCAGGAGAGCACAACGTAGAAATCCGAAAAGGATAGCTGGAACTTAACTTGAAAATCAACCTCCAAAGGAGGAGTCCAGAACATTGTGCACTGTGCTCTCATGTCATACATGTCATGGGATGACACGCACAAATCAGAAGTGTAACAGTTAGAGTTTCATGTTACGTCAGATGACACGTGAACATTTTGCACCATGAGGCCCTGCGGTTCAAAACAAGGTTTTAGCTGTGCGATTTCACGTTCAGGTTTTGCATATTGAAAAACATGTTCATGCAACTGAATTGTTCGCATCAAAAAACCATAGACAGTCACATGTTGCCGAACACCCAAAAAGTGACATCCGCAGCGGCTTCACTCAATTGTACATGGTTGCATAGGAGACAGTCAGTTGCATGGCGTCAATGGCATGAAAAACAATCAAAAATTGCACAAATTTGGAGGGCGATCAAACACAAACAAATCGAAATCATGTGTTTTTCAGTTGTTTGCTGCCAAGGGTTTTATTCCACGTCGAGGTGTATGTTCAGCTTGCATGGATCAACAAAAACATTTGGATCTGGATGAATTGTCGGAAAAATCCGATGTTCGACAGCTCTGGAATTTGGACTTTGGACACTGACATATAAGATGCGGAGGATCCTGGAATGGGTGATTGAGTTAACTGACATATAAGATGCGGAGGATCCTGGAATGGGTGATTGAGTTACGCCACGCGCATTTTTTTGTATGAAACGTAGGTTTTTTCGTCGAACATTTCCATGAAACAAACATGCAATATCAACAGCAAAGAGGGTGCATAGACTTGTCAAAATCCCGACTTGCAACCATTTGCCCTTCTTCATTGAAATCAAAAAATGTACGGAACATGTGTGCGTTTACAAACGATGTGTGTGGATGGTTTTTGGGATCGTGGCCGTGTAGGCGGATTGTTCGCAATACGCGCCCAAACGTCCAGTGCCAACACAATTTTTTTTCCCAGCAAAATCCATTTTTTGTTTATCCATCATTTCCCGCTTCAATTTTTCCATTGCACCTGGTACAGTTGATTACTAGAATCTTGTTTTGCCACAATTCTAGCATTTCAAAAAAACACACATTCATTGCATGTTCAACAAATTCATGTGGCAATTGCAATTTGTCGACCATTGTGTCTGCACATGGACCATGTATTTGTGGCACGTATCGTTTAACAACAAAATGGGTAAAACGGGTTTCGCACACGCTAGTGATTGAAATCAACTGCATGTCGTGAAGTAGTTGATGCACATTGAACATTTTGTTGCACTTTACCACTGGATTTTTTCCTTCAAAAAACGAAATTGTTTTGAAAAAACAAACAACAATTTTCAAAAACAAAAACAAATATACAATTTTGTTTTGTTTTTTGTTTCATTATTGGTTGTTCTTACAACACATGAAAATTGAAAACATTACCGAACAACAAAAAACAATATCAAAAAAACACTGCAACAAAAAAGATATGGAAAACAAAAAACAAAAACATATGAAAAACACACTTCAAAACATATTAAAACACATATATTTTTTTCCCGGCATTTTGTTTTCCAATGTGTCTCTCAGGTCGTTTTTTTTGTTTTGTTTGCAATCGTAGTTTTGTTAATCCTGGACCATCATTCGTACTACAAAAAAGTACCCCCTTAGGGTTTCCTACCACTGATGAAAATGATGAAAAATCCCAAATCGTATATTTTTTTTGGCAATTGTACCTGTTTTTGAGATTCGTGCTACTTTTGCAGTTCTGCAAACCTGGAATCTGCACAAGACAAGAACTTCGTGCGCGATTTTGCGCCACTTGCGGGCAATTTTGCGTTACCCGTGCGCAATTTCCAAAACTAGTGCACTCAAACACACATCCACACACCAAAACGTCGGTTTTTGTCTGTTTCGTCAATTTTTTTGGGTAATCGTCGCAAAATCTTCAAACTCAGATACTTTTCAGTTCGTGTGTTTTTTTGTACTACATCTGGGGCTCCACACCAAATTATAGACACACATATCACGGGAATGGACTGAAACAGAAAATATTCTATTTCAATCCAATGATGTGAATGTGCCAAATTGCATTGTAGGGTTTGGTTTGGTTTTGTGAAATGGAGGTTGTCGAAGGATAGATTTCTGTATTGTTCAGCACATGTGATTATATTATATAAGTTTCATATTTTCAATATTCCATTGGAATCGTTTCACAGTGCAATTGAAATGAAGGGGATCAAAACATGTTTTTGTGGCATATTTTGTTGGCAGTCACTGACCGATTTGTTCAAGTTGCTCTGTGCTGCAGTTTTCCAAGTATGGAACAAAACCAGGACATGAAATGAAATCATTTTTTTTTCTTCTGGGGGTTACAAATGCGAAACAATGTGGACATTTTCATCGCCTTCCAAAAATCTGAGCAGCGGACATTTTGTGACTTATTCAGGTGTATCATTTGCATGGATTTCGACTAATGGGGACCTGGATGATGTAAATTTGAAAGAACATATGCACGTTTCTGCGATTTTGATTTGATAAGCAACGTCCACGCCTTCGAAATTAACAATTTGTAAACAGCAGTTTCCGTGTGAAACGCATTGAACCGTTAAGCTATCGCGAGCTTCGTTGCAGGTGGATTGTTGTGGTTGATGGGATGGGATATGATTGCAATCACCACGTGAATCATGGGGCAGCCGTTGGGAATTTTCACCTCAGATGATCGGATTACCTGAACAATTCAGCGTTTATTCCAATGAAAAGCATCGTTGTCCCACGCATGGGGTACCTTACAAAATCTATTGGAATGTGAAACCAACCTCATTAGTTTCACTCTGTTTTCGGACATACCTTGATGTGAATTTATTTCAAACACCAAAATTGGACGGTTCAAAATTTTTAAACCTAATTTTCCTTCGCAAATGGCCGTAAATGGAGTATTCTTCTCATCCTGCTTGACTGCAGGCCTGTCATGGAATTGCCATTGGAAGATGCCATTCGTTTGGTCTCCATGCCCTCCATGGGACGCTTGCGAGGCCATTTTTTTTTGATTGGCCTTTTGGTGCCGAATGGTGTAGCAGTTGTGGTGTATGGCAGAATTCAACTTAAAACTACATGTATATATATATATATGCATATTTTTTTTTTAAAATTTCTTTATATATATATAGATAGATAGATAGATAGATAGATAGATAAATAGATAGATAGATAGATAGATAGGATAGATAGATAGATAGATAGATAGATAGATAGATAGATAGATAGATAGATAGATAGATAGATAATATAGATAGATAGATAGATAGATAGATAATATAGATAGATAGATAGATAATATAGATAGATAGATAGATAATATAGATAGATAGATAGATAATATAGATAGATAGATAGATAGATAGATAGATAGATAGATAGATAGATAGATAGATTTGTGGTATCCCGTTATGGTAATATGATGAGGATATGATGTCGTAAGCCCAATATTAATGAGGATTTAAGAATTGGATGTTGGGACCACAAAAATATGGGGATAATGGAAATGGATGATCATGTGGTAAACACGAAAAAAACATACTTTTTGCAAATGGGTTTTACCACCCGTGGCAACATTGAGGCTGGTGACTTTTATCGGCTTTGCCGCACAAAAAATGACTGCCTTCCGTTGGCATGAAAACATACCCTCTGGTAAACTAACATAGCTATGGAAAATCACCATTTTTCATGGGTAAATCCACTATAAATGGTCAGTTTCAATAGCTATCTTAAATTACCAGAGGGTAATAAATATGCCCACCTCCGATAATTCAACCCCCCACTTTTGACAGCGGGGTTCCCCTAAAAAACGTGATGATTTTCCAATTAATCCCTTCCCCCAAATCTAAAACATCCCTCATCCAGGAAACAACGGTGGAAATTATTGACTCTATTCGAAAGTTTTTTTTTTAATTAGGGGGATGGGGATTATATCCATTCACATCTGGATCAATCTGGATCAATCTGGATCACTGCTGATTTCTCCCCATTGATGTAGGCTACAAATCAAATTTACTTGGTCAAATCGTTTCTTTTTTGTACTGAAGTTTTAATCATAAATCTTCGGTGGGTTAAGCCAGCTTTTTGTTGATGAAACCACCATTGTTGTAGGTTAAACCACCATTTTGCTGGTGAAAGCGCCATATTTTCTTGCGACCTATTCAGGGACGCAGACCTTGGTGCGGCCGGACAGTCAAAGCATTGAACTGCAGGACTCTGAGTGCTTCGACCATGGGGAAATGTTCTATAAATCAGGATCAAATGTATGTTTATGTGGATTTGTAATGGGGATTGATGATGGGGATAAAATCCATTTTATGACATTTTTGGGAATTCATTATGAGGATTCTTGATGGGTCTAGATCCATCCATCAATCCATCCATCCACCCATCCATTTTCTCAAGGTCAGTGAAGAGGGCACCTTTTTCTTGGGATGGTCATCAACCCATTGAAGTCGGATTGTATAGCCGTTGTAAGGATTTCCATGGTGGGGTGGATAACCATACCACATACATTTTTCCCCAACAGCGTAAGCTAATGGGGTCTTCAGCCCAGAATAGCTCCGGTGTGCACTGGTGCAGGCGCCGGGTCAGGTTCAACGAGGTTCCGGAGAAGGCTCCGAAGGTTCCGGAGAAGGTCTGGGAAGCTTTGGTGCAGAGCCAGGTTCAAGAGGGTTCCGGAGAAGGTTCCGGAGAGGGTTCCGGAGAAGGTTCCGGAGAAGGTTCCGGAGAAGGTCGAGGAGGCTTTGGTGCAGAGCCAGGTCAGGTTCACAGATTTCCGGAGAAGGTTCGGGAGAAGGTCTGGGAGGCTTTGGTCCGGAGAAGGTTTGGGAAGCTTTGGTGCAGAGCCAGGTCCGGGAGGCTTTGGTGCAAAGCCAGGTCAGGTTCAACAGGGTTCCAGAGAAGGTTCCGGAGAAGGTTCCGGGAGGCTTTGGTGCCGAGCCAGGTCAGGCAGCAGGGTTCCGGAGAAGGTTCCGGAGAAGGTTTGGGAGGCTTTGGTGTTGAGCCAGGTCAGGTTCAACAGGGTTCCGGACAAGGTTCCGGTGAAGGTCTGGGAGGCTTTGGTGCAGCGCCAGCTCAGGTGCAACAGGGCTCTGGAGAAGGTTTTGGAAAAGGTCTGGGAGGCTTTGGTGCAGAGCCAGATCAGGTTCACAGATTTCTGGAGAAGGTTCCGGAGAAGGTCTGGGAGGCTTTGGTCCGGAGAAGGTTTGGGAAGCTTTGGTGCAGAGCCAGGTCCGGGAGGCTTTGGTGCAAAGCCAGGTCAGGTTCAACAGGGTTCCAGAGAAGGTTCCGGAGAAGGGGACTGGTGTTTTTTGCGACAGTAACCAGGGTATTTCCAGACGGTTATGTTGATCGGTGTTTTTTTGACCGGTAGCCGGTGTTTTTTGGAAGGGGATTGGTGTTTTTTGCGACAGTAACCAGGGTATTTCCAGACGGTTATGTTGATCGGTGTTTTTTTGACCGGTAGCCGGTGTTTTTTGCGACGGTGCCCCCACAATGGTGTTTTTTGCGCCAGTGGTCGGTGTATTTTGCGACAGTTTTTCTACTACACGCGTTGTGCCATCTTCTGTCGTTGCAGCCAGAAACCAAGTACTGACCCCCAGATCAAAAGGAAACTCAATTGCACGGAATACTAAAGTAGTATTCGCGACCACCAGATTTACCGGGTCGCGGTTTTTCACCGAGTGCGAAGGTCACTTTTGTGATCTTTTGTGCATATCAAGCCTTTTTGGCAAGGAGTAGATCGCACAATGCGCAATGCCACCATTGAACTCCGGGCCCAGCCATATCACGATAGTATAGCCAGTAGATGGACATGGATAGTAGTAGTACTAGTAGTACTAGTAGTAGTAGTAGTAGTAGTAGTAGTAGTAGTAGTAGTGGTAGTAGCAGCAGCAGTAGTAGTAGTCGTCGTCGTAGTAGTCGTAGTAGTAGTAGTAGTAGTAATAGTGGTGGTCGTCGTAGTAGTCGTCGTCGTAGTAGTCGTAGTAGTAGTAGAAGTAGTAGTAGTAGTAGTAGCAGTAGTAGTAGTAGTAGTGGTGGTCGTCGTAGTAGTCGTCATCGTTGTAGTCGTAGTAGTAGTAGAAGTAGTAGTAGTAGCAGTAGTAGTAGTATTATTAGTAGTAGTAGTAGTAGCAGTAGTAGTAGTAGCATCAGTAGTAGTAGTGGTACTAGTAGTAGTAGTAGTAGTAGTAGTAGAAGTAGAAGTAGAAGTAGTAGTAGTAGTAGTAGTAGTAGAAGTAGTAGTAGTAGTAGTAGCAGTAATATTCACAGTAGTCGTATACTAGTACTAGTAGTAGTAGTAGTAGTAGTAGTAGTAGTATCACTTGCAGAAGTACTGACAAAGTAGTACGACCCTCGCACTACCCTTCGGCAATAGTGTGGTACAAGTCGAAACTCCTAGTGGTACTAGGCGTAAAAGTAATAGTAGTCGTAGTAGTAGAACTAGTAATTGTATACAGGAGTCGTAGTATTGGTAGTAGTAGAAATAATACTACTAGTAGCACTCATAGCAATAATAGTAATACTAGTGCTAGTACTCGTACTCCCTCTCGTGCCTCGTGTCGTGCAAGTCTAAGATATCGTAGGGGTAGTAGACTAGCACTAGTCTAGTATTCGCATTAAGGCCGCCCTCCAACTGTCGCAAAATACCCCGGTTACCGTGGCAGAAAACACCGCTTACCAGCGCAGAAAACACCACCGTCGCAAAAAACACCGGTTGCCAGTGCAATAAACACCCGGGGCCGTCGCAAAAAACACCGAGGAACCGACGCAGAAAACACCGGAGCGTAACCGACGCAAAAAACACCAACCTGGCCACCGTAGCAAAAAACACCGCTTACCGACGCAAAAAACACGAAGCCCCCGGAGAAGGTTCCGGGAGGCTTTGGTGCGGAGCCAGGTCAGGCAGCAGGGTTCCGGAGAAGGTTCCGGAGAAGGTTTGGGAGGCTTTGGTGCAGAGCCAGGTCAGGTTCAACAGGATTAGTGGCCATTTAATGCACGGAAACCGAGCTGAGGTGTTTCCAGTGCTTGGCTTCGCAGCACGCTTCAGAAAGATTTGTAAAAATAAAACTTTGCGGCTGTTGGGGATACCACCGAAGCTGGTTTGTCATATTGATGTTTATGTATGTATTGCAATATACGCGTATGCACATACATACCTGCATACCTACATGCCTATATGCCTACATGCCTATACTGCCTATATACGTACCTACCTATCTACCTACCAATCTACATCGACGCATGCACACACACAGATACGCACACAAAAAATAGACCGATGTATACATATATAGATATATAGACAGATAGACAAATATAATGAATAAAACATATGATATATATATATAAAATACACCATAAACAATATTTTATAAATAAAATAGAATTAATAATATTTATATTTAATATATAAAATAATATATATTATATTTCATGTTAATATTTCACATATAATATTCAATATATATATACATACACATAATATAAAATGGATATATTTAATATGCAAAACATTTTGTTTAATAAACCTATAAAGTATACAATTTATATAATATATAATGTAATGTATTATTGTGATTTGAAATCATATAGCAGATATATATATAATTTGATTTAATATAACATACTATACTCTAATATAATATATCATACTATAATGTAATATAATATCATAAAATAACATATAATATGATATAATATCATTTAATATGTTATAATAATAGTAACATATATATATATATATATAAATATTATATTGTATTATCTTCTATTTTTATTCATTTTTATTTTTAGATTTCTATTTGTTGTACGTTATATTGTATTTGTATTTGTATTTGTATTATAGATTTTTCTTATATATTATATTTTACCATATTTTATTTTATTATATTTATTTCTTTTGTTGTATTTTACCGTTTGATATGATATGATATGATATGATACTATGTTATATTATATTATATTATATTTTATTATATTATACTATATCACATTACATATGTACTGAAGATACGTGTCATACACATATATGCATACGCACATAATGTCAACATGTATGTGCATGATGTTTAGATGTATGCGCTGCATTTAGTACACACATGTATATATATATATCTCTCTCTCTATAGCTATACATACATATGTATATATATATATACATACATACATACATACATACATACATACATACATACATACATACACACACACATATTGTATATACACTTATACATATAACGTCAACTAGCAACCCTTTGCAAGTCTGACAATAGTTCGGAACTTGGTGTGTTTCACACCTAAAATGTGAATGGTGCGATGCAACAGGACGGCACCTACTTGAACGTGGTGAATGGAACGCCAGATGCCTCTGAGTTGTATCCTGGGGCCCAGGGGTGCAGGGAACCCAGGGTTGGGTCTTCGGAATGACGTTTTCTGACATCGTAGCCATGATTCCAACAGGATCTGATGAGAAACCCTTCCTCAAAGCGTTGATACTCAACTTGGTGATCCCATGGAAGTTTCCCATTTCATGGCCATTGGCCAATGGCCAGGGGGAAAATGATAATGATAATTATATATATATATATATTTTGTTATATAAATTATATAATCCATTGGACTTTCTGATTCACCGTTTTCAGACATAACCATCGCCCCCAGATACTTTCACAACAATCACCTGGATCCCAGCATGTTTTTTCACTGTGCAACTAGTTACGCCCTGCTCCAGGTACTGCGTCGCTTGGAACTCGCAACTACTATGGGAAGGCCAGGTATCGACACATGAGTTTGGCGTCGATACAATTCCGGGTGGTTGATTTCAATCGAATCCCACTCCCCAATGGAGAGTTCATTAGAGTTGTAATACGTGCTTTAGCAGGAAACTCAGAAAGAGATGTGTGTCCGGAACAAATTGCAACGGCAATTGGCCGAATTTGTCACGCGCAGGATGGCTCAACAACCACAAGGTAGAGGACCTTCAAGAGAATCAGCATACAGTTGCCAGTTGCTACAGGCCGAAACACTGTGATGCCAGAACTGTTCTCCCAGTCCAGATTAGCCAGTCATGGCTGGTGCATTAGGATGGCCTGACCTTCTTTTGGGGTAAAGATCCTAGCCGTAGCCTGAAACTTGTGGTTTTTCCAGTGAGAGTTCCAGTCTCATCAGGCGTTACCACATCTCGACTCTATGAAAATCCAATTCACATGGAGGGATGCACACCTGTTTCGACGTGGGTTTCCCCGCGAGGCTTCCAATCCCGGAAGTCTTGAAACACACAGTACTGGCAAAGGCGAAAGAACCCTGGCAGGTGCACAGTGGGGCTACTGTCAGTTTAACCATCAAAATCAGCATCATCAGCATCATCATAATCGTCATGGTCATCATGGTGATCATTTATCATCATGATCATCATGATCATCATGATCATCATGATCATCATAATCTTACTATATCTTACTCATTCTCATTCCAATTCTGATCCTCATTCTCTCCCGCCGAAAATACCGACAGCTGGAATTGCTTGGGGATCCACGGGCCCCCAGGGATGGTACCCAAAGACGACCCATTGCTGTCAGAACGTCGAGTTCTCAGAGAACACCCTGCTAGTGGAAGAAGGACGGGGTTTGGATGGTCGCTGTTGGTTTTTGCGATTCTCAATTTTGCGGAAGTCTCAAGTTCAGATCATGCCTTTGTGGAATAGGTATTTTTCCTCATCTTAGCGCTTTTTGTTATGTTTTATTTTTAGTCGGCAATGGACATTTGCAGCCTCAAATAGCTTGTTTCAAAATTTGTAAACCCCAAATCGCATGTTTTACGGTCCTTTTGTCATTGAAATTGCCATAGATTATGGGCCTCCCAAAACTTCTACGGCTTGAGACTCACCTTGGGCACCAAGTCCCGAGCTGCTCGAGCAGCACGTGCGAGGAGATTTGTTCCAAATTTGCACCTGGCGAGATGGCTGGGCCTATGCAACTTCTCTGAAGGCCAGGGGAAGCATCGAAAGCAGGGGCCTCATGGGCTCTCAAAATTAAAAGCGTCAAAATTTCAATGGAAATTTCTTTTCTGCATTTGAAATGTTGGCAACGACGAGTTTTCAAGTGGTATTCAAAGATGGTTTCTGCAGTTTCCCAATGGTCCACCATGAAAAAGTTGGTCTTGATGAATTGGGGTATCCCGGATATCCCACATTTCAATAGCAACTTTTTCATGGTGAACTTGCTGGGGATGAGCAGGAGAGCTGGCAACTCAAGGACGACACCATGCAGGTGCGGCGTTCCAAACGGGACAAGGGGACATGTTGACCAGCGTAGCTACATGTGCACAGGTGCATCATATATCTGTCTGTCTATCTATCTAATTATCTATCTATCCATCTATCTATCTGTCTATCTATCTATCTATCTCTCTCTCTCTCTGTAGATATGTATATACATATATTATATACACATGCTTATTTAGGTCAAAAATAAATAGTACTAATTATGTATATAAATATATACACAGATGATCTATTCATATATATACACATTTGTATGTATAATAATGTACAATTAATGTACATAATATACATAAGAAGTGTCAAGTTTTGGTGAGTGTGTAGTGGTGCCTCGTGTAGTTTTTGGTCTGGTGTCATGTCACAGCCCGACATGTCAACCGCAAGTTGCCCGAAAGATACAGAAGGTCACACTGGATGACACGAATGGAGCAACTGAATGCGTAGCACGTGTTTGGACCAACACCATAATAACATCGTCTTCATCATCGACTTCATCATCGTCATCGTCATCGTCATCGTCGTCGTTGTCGTCGACATCATCATCATCATCATCATCATCACCATCATCAGATAAGTAATAGGTGTACACTATTGGACATGCTAATAGTAGTACCAGTGAAAATGATCGAAGGAAGTTTAGAAGTCAAACTTCCGACTATATGGACAGATGAAAAGCAGAGGTGGAGCAGAAGAATAGAGAAGAGAAGAGAAGAAGAGAGAAAATCAGAGAAGAGAAAGTCTCAGAAGAAAGAAGGTCCAGGTGCGCGAAGAGGTAGGAAAGTCGCGAAACACTGTGTTTTTCCAATGATTTGTGGCTCCGGAGGGTCGAAAAGTAGGCTCGCTAAAGCGGCGGGTGCGGAGCCATGTGGCCAGATAAGAGATTAGGAATTGCACGCCGTTGTGGCGCGAAGCACATTTCAAAGTCAAACTGTACAAAGCACACCATTCTCGGACCACTTTTGGAAGTTTAGATGTCGAAAAAGTGCATGCCGTTGTGGCGCGAAGCACATTTCGAAGTCAACATGTTAAAAACACTAGGGTTCGGACCACTTTTGGAAGTTGAGATGCCGAAAAAGTGCACACCCTTGTGGCGCGAAGCACATCGAAGTTAAAATGTGAAAAACACGAGGGGTTGGACCACTTTTGGACGTGCAGATGTCGTTTCGCGTTGCAGGCGCAAGGGATTGTGGACCTTGTCAAATGTGAGCAAAAGGTGAGCGTTGTGTAGCATTTTCAACTACAACCACCACTACACCACACTACACTCCAATACGCTACACTACAACTACAACTACAACTACAGCTTCACTACGCTCCACTACACTACACTACACTCCACTACACTCAATTACACTCAATCACACTCAATTACATTCAATTACACTACACTACGCTACGCTAGGCTACACTACAGTACACTACACTACACTACACTTCACTACGTTAGACTACACTACACTGCACTACACTAAACTACACTACATTACACTACACTACACTACAGTACGCTACACTACACTCCACTACACTACACCACACTACATTACACTACACTACACTACATTACACTACACTACACTCCACTACACTCCACTACAACTACACTACACAACATTCCACTACACTCCACTACACTCCACTACACTCCACTACACTACACTCAATTACACTCAATTGCACTCAAGTACACTCAAGTGCACTCAATTACACTACATTCCACTACACTCCACTACACTACATTCAAATACACTACACTACACTACGGTACACGACACTACACTACATTCCACTACACTACACCACACTACACTACACCAAATACAAATACAACTGCAACAACAACAATACTACATTTACATTACGCTACGCTACACTAATTACACTCCACTCCACTCCACTCCACTACACTACACTACACTGAATGACACTGCACTACACCTACAACTACAAATGCAACTGCAACTGCAACTGCAACTACATTACATTACACTACGCTAATGACATTACACTATAATACACTACATTGCACTACATCACACTAACTACAACTACAACTACATAAGACTACACTACACTACGCTAATTACATTACACTACACTGCACTGCGCTACACTACACCCCACTCCACTACACTACACGTCACTACACTACACTGCACTACACTACAGTACACTACACTCAATTACACTACACTACGCTACACTACACCACGCGACAGTACACTACACTACACTAACTACACTACAGCTACAACTACAGTATATTACATAACGCTACAGTACAACTACAACTACAACTGCAACTGCAACTGCAACAACAACTACACTACACAAATTGCATTACACCACACTACACTAATTGCATTACACCACACCACACCACACTACACTACACTACACTGCACTGCACTGCACTGCACTACACTACACCACACCACTACACCACTACACCACTACACCACTACACACTACACACTGCGCACTGCACACTGCACACTGCACACTGCACACTGCACACTGCACACTGCACACTGCACACTGCACACTGCACACTGCACACTGCACACTGCACACTGCACACTGCACACTGCACACTGCACACTGCACACTGCACACTGCACACTGCACACTGCACACTACACACTACACACTACACACTACACTAGACACGAGACACAAGACACCAGACACTAGACACTAGACACTACACACTACACACTACACACTACAGTACTGTACACTACACTACGCTACGCTACACGACACTACACTACACTAATTGCGTTACACTACACTACACCACACTACACCACACCACACTACACTCAATTGCACTACACTACACATTGCATTACGTTACATTTACACTACATTACATTTACACTACATTTACGTTACATGACATTACATTACGTTACATTACATTACAATACACTACACTCAGTACACCACCACACATGCAACTGCAACTACACTACACTAATTACACTACACCACAGCTACAACTCCACTACACTACAACTACAACTACAGCTGCACTACACCACACTACATCCAGCAGTTGTGGGTGAGGTGACCGACCAGGTGACCACTGCAACCTTTGCAGCCACTCCAAAAAACACAGCTCCAACCACCTTTCGGACCATCAGTGGATTTGCTCTGCCATCCGTGACTCACAACAACCAATCTCTCCTATAGGTTTTCCATTTTTGCAACTTCCGCCACCGCCTTGCGCGGTGCTACTGGTATATAGTGATAACGACAATGGCCCTGATAATAACAATGATAATGCTAGTGATCATGATAATCACAATCACAATCATAAAATTCTCCTACTAAAAATCATCATCTAAAGGTGATCGTCCCCATGAACTGAACGCAGCCGCGGTCGCGTTGACGCGCCAGAAGTGTCGCCGTAGCGGCTGGGTGCCGATCTTCGTCTTGGAACTTGTAGGGTGAAGGGCCTCAGATTGCACCGGTTGGGCAAGATTGGTGATTTGATCAGCAAAAGTATTGGTTCAATCAGCAGACATGGTGATTTGACCTGCAGAAATGGTTTAACCAGCAGAAATGGTGATTTAATCAGCAGAAATGGGATGTAAGCATCAAAAGTGGAGATTTAGCCATCAAACATTGGAATTTAACCACGAATTTTGGGAATATGTTCACCAGTATATGATGAGAGTAATCAGGTTTGTTCTAACCTGTTGCAGGTAAATATCTGGGGAACCGTGATCATGCTTAGTCTGGGGGGTTTAGCCAACAGAAACGGTGATATAGTGGTATATAAGCAAGAAATGATGAGCATAAATGGTTGATGATCATGGTTCTAGTCACGATGACCCATTTGTAAACGGGAAGTTTACCCGAGTTTTGTATTCCAATGATTACGGTGTGGACCAATATAATGTGTGGGATGAACATTTACTTATTAATAGTTTCAAATTTTGCTTTTGGAGTGGATATTTTCTCACCATCAGCTGTGGATAGCCAATAACGCTGGACCCCAAAAGTGACCATTATCTCGATTTTCTTTTTATTTGCGAAAATGAAGGTGGTTTCAAAGTCGCACTTTTGCTCGTTTTGCCCTGCTGGCCCAAGATTCCAAACGGCAAGATTCACCTGTGCCGATGAAGGATTGCCCGAGGTTCAGACTTAGAAGTTCAGAAATCATAGAAATCATCAGTCAGATGCGCAAAGCGAATACCTTGAATACCCCAAAATCATCCAGAAATCCCAGAGTGTTTCATCAGTTCAACTTCCATCCCTTGGGATGGTGATGGCTTTGGGTCACCAGGGCGTTCTCAGGTCAAGCTTATCGGTGCTGTCTGAGCACATGGTCCAGGAGCCGTGCAACCAGGGAGGCTACTGGAACTGGAACCAGGTGCCTCCAAATGACCAGTTCGGGCCATGAAGTGTCCGAGCATGGTACCAGTGCTTGTAGTTGGTGAAGTAAGAAACCATGAATAATTGGGCATATGCGATAATCTAATCTAATCTAATGTAATCCAGTCTAATCTACTCTAATCCAGTCCAATCAAATCTATGTATACATATATGTATGCATGTATATATATATACATACATATACATACATATATATATATATGTATATCTATATATCTATAGGTACATGTATTATACATTAATCTGGTTCACAACCATAGCACTGGCCCATTGGTGAAATAGGTTTACTGAGTTTTGGGCTGCAATAGTAACCACAAAACATGGGTTTGGTCCAAATGCAGAAAATGGTCTACAAATATCTACAAATGGTGGATGATCCACACAGACATTGCAGGTGGGGGTCTCATGGAAAAGATCGCTGCAGTGGAAAATGGCAGCAAAACGACTCCACCCGGATAAAAAAGGAATTGCTGGACAAACCTCCAACAGGCCCGCGCAAAGAGAACCCCAGATTGCAGTGGTGGGCGTTGTCATCCCCATAGATCATCCTCTTGGTATACTCATCTACATTAGAATCAGACAGATATACCAATAGGTTAATGATACCAATAAGGGTTTTTCGGCACTGAATAAATGATACTAATCTAATCTACAGTTAAGGCATTGAATAGTTTTGTCCAATGGTAAATGATACCAATAGGTTTCAGCATCATCCGTAGCCCATTTTCTTCAGCCTGTGATTTCCAGGCTGCCCAGCGCTATCCGGAGATGCAAAAATTGTTGGTCATTTTTGAGGGGTACCACAATTTCAAGAAACCCTCATTTGCTTTTGTTTTATTTTGGAGATAAGACTATAAGTCATACCATAGTCTTTGACAGTGGTTTATACAATGTGGTGCCCCCGCCTCAAAAAAGTTAGTTTACAACTTCCGCTATCTATAGTTATAACTACTATATAACTACTATAAATCCTAGTTGACCTGGTTATTTCATAAACCAACTTCACTTTCTATGGACCCCCCACCTTTTTTTCGCGAAGCTGCCATGTTTTTTGGAGGAGAAGTTGAGCGAATCTGCAGTGCTGAGCTCAGCATCGCAGTGATTTACCACCAAAACTGGTGTTTTTTCACTTGGAATGATGATATGATGGGGATAGAATTGATAGAATGGGGATAGAACACCAACATGAGGAGCAACATTATATCATACAATTCTTCACTTCTTTCTGGCTGAACAATGCTGAACATGCATTAGACTATTAGACCCCCAAATGGTAATTTGTCATGGGGGAAAACTATAGTCAATGAGTGGAATATAGGGGTACCAAAAATTTGCAGACAAACCCGAACCGCGCGGCTGTCTCTTATCAAAATGTTGGCCGACTCGAGTGTGGGGGCCACCAAACAGATGTTTTTGGCGAATATCTTAATTTCAGGTTGTTGATATCCGCATTGTTGGTTAGCTCCCACTTTTTTCCCCTTTATTATCCTTTATTGACATCATAGTAGAGGTTTAGGGGTGTATAGTCTAGTAATATTAATGTAACCCAATAGTAAACCAGGCCACATTTTTCCAATTTAGCCATTATGTGTGGTTTAAGAACCACCACAATACCCATTTATAAAAGGAGGTTCATGATGTTTCACGGTTTTGGATTTACCACACTAAAGGGGTTCCCGAAAAGATAGAACCAACGAGATTTTCAAGTTTGCCGAGGTTTCTCAGCTGCACAGCTTGACGGTTGATCAACCCCGGCCGCCTGCACTGTCGGAGGGCCGAGCGGCCGAGCTGAGCTGAGTCGTATCATTTAGATATCAAGAAAAAAGATGAAGAATGATGGATTTTGAGTCTTTGATTCAAAACCTAACTTGTTACTGACCAAGACTTCTTGTTTTTTTTGGGACAGTACCTATGGATTCCAGGTTCCAGTGGTTGCTTGCAATGACAGTCCCAAGAAGTGGAAATTGACACCAGACCAATGCCGAAATGAGGTGGGGGGATAAGAGATATGTCTATGATGAACCGGAACTTATCATTCCAATTGGTTGGTTTCATGCATGTACATCACTGGCACTGGAGCGTGTGACAATATTTGAGGAATGTGAATGTTTGGTGGATGTGAACAGTACTGAGCAGATACAGACATGTTTCTGAAGGTAAATACATAGATGATAACTGGCCAAAAGAGGAAAACAGCTTATGAAACAGGTGTCCTGCAGAAATGTTCTATGGTTTGTTCACTAGCAGCAATACCATTGAGCCTTGAATGGGCTGATATCATCGAGCCTTCGAGCTTGGGCTTCCAATCGAAATTGTGCAGCCATCTCAGATCATCCTCTTGGCTTGCATGTGGACGCAGCCTTCGTGGTCTGGCGACGCCATGGTAACTGCGATCAGTGAAGCTTTTTCTTGGCTGGAGGAGGGAATCCTTGGAGCAAAAATGTGGGTTTTTGGCGCTCCAAAGAGCGGATGAGACCTGAGATTTCTCCAGTTGTGTCTTTCACAGCTTCGGAATTTTTGGTGGAATCCCCAACTCCAAATCCACCGACATACCCCACTTTCTGCCACACCCTTATATGACGTATGGAGGACACCCCCAAGATTACTGGGGATGGTTGCTGTGATCGAACCGCAAGGAGCAGCAAAAGAAATGGGCCCAAGAACCCTTGGGCGTCCTGGCTGCAGGTGATTTGTGGTCTACCGACTCAGATTTTTGCAAACCGAATCTTCCCAGAATTGGTTTCGGGAAACAATTCCAGACAGCCTTGCAGGCAATGAGAGAAATCCATGGTTACCTGCCAAGGTACCCTTGAAACAATCCAGTAAGATTTGAACCTCAATCGGTGGCTTGCTGTTTGCCGGGTCGCATTTTTCCCCATTGGTTGCGGTCAATATGTGGAGTTCTGGACAAGTTTTGGCGTGATGTGGTAGGTCAACTTGGTCCTTTTCTGGCGACAGGTATATGCGTTACAGTGGACCAAAGATATGATCAGGTCACCGTTCCATAGCAAAACACCTTTCTATATCATTCTATATCTGTATCTGTCTCCATATATACTTGTACTGTACATACAATACACACACATAATATATAATATATATATATGTATATATATAGAGAGATATATCTAAATATGATAATATATATATATATTTATATTTGCACACACCTCTATATACATACGAAACCGGGTGTTCCGGGTGTTCCTGATTGTTCGTCAATATCCCACTGTAGTCCCATCGGGCCGTAGCTCCATGTGGTTTCATTTCATTGCGGGTCTTTATGGATATTTATGGACAGTCTAGGTATAATTACTGTATATCCCCACAGGGTGGTGCACCAGTTCGTTAGCTAAGCTTAGCTAAGTTGGTGCAAATAAGTCCAATAACTATGGTTTATAGGTGATATATCTATAGTTAATGGGATTATAACCCATTTATAACTGGGGGGGCACCACCTTGTATAAACGCGAATAATTCATAGGCACAACATATGGCTCAACCGGGCCTTGCAGGTTGACCAGAGGACACCAGAAAGGTTTTCTTTTGAATTTCCAATTTGTACTTCGATTCCTCTTTTTGGTTGTAATTATTTGTACTTACCCTCTGGTAATCTTTCAGATGCAAAATCACCATTCCAGAAACAACGGTGAGTAAATCATCCAACTAGATGGGCCAACTACCCAACCTGGTTATGACTAACAGATCGCCATGGTTTTTCGATGGCCCATAGAAATAGATGGTTTACCTATTAAAAATGGGTGGATTTTCCATGGCGAACTGTTAAATAACCAGAGGGTGCATATTATTGTAGAGCTTCGCACACCGGCGACGCCGGTAGGGTCGGGGGAGGGAAAGAGAGAGGGGGATGTCATCTGAACTTGCGAACATGACATGCTGAGGGTCGGCGGCCTATCTTGGGGCTATGTTGGCACATCTTGGGGCTATGTTGGCCCATCTTGAGGCTATGTTGGCCTATGCCTAGTGTAATTTACAGCATTTTGTGCTGTGAGATGGTAAGAACCCGTGTAAATACCACAGTTTTAGTCCCCGAAAGTGGCTAAAACACTCTTATTTACAGAGTTTCGTTCACATCACGATCTTCGATTTTTTGAAAAACGTGTAAATACCAGCGTTTTTTGTATTCATCAAGACAAAAAATCGGTTCAAAAAGTGCAAAAAATGCTGTAATTTACAGGGGAGTGGCCCCGTCACAAGCAAAAAACTGCGTAAATACCAGCGTTTCGGCGTCCAAAAGTTGCCAAAACACCGCTATTTACAGTGTTTCGTGCCTTCCACGTTTGCTTGAAATTGCAGAAACATTGTAAATACCAGCATTTTTTGCGATCAACCCGCCAAAAATGCTGTAATTTACAATGTATTTTTGCTTGGCTTTCAAAAACACTGGTATTTGCAGTGTTTTGTGCATCTCGGGTCCAAAAAGTATTGGTATTTACAGCATTTTCTGCGTTTTTGCATGGCTCCCGCCAACGACGTTAAAACGCAAAAATGTTGTAATTTACAGCATTTTGTGACTTCCGAAAAGCGAAAAATCGTCCGAAAAATGTGTCAAAACGGTACTTTTTTCCGATTTTTGGGACCTCCAAAATGCATCTTCAAATTTTACCATCTTTTTGTCCACCCCAGACCCCGAAAAACGTGAAAACCCCACCAGGCTAAAGGATTTTTGGGGAGGGTCGGCGGCAGGGGCGCGCCCCCGGGTAGCTAAAGCTATGCTTAGCTTCCCCACACGACACGGCGAGGCGTCGCCGGATTTAAGGGCTGCCGCCCCTGCCGCCGACCCCGGAAAAATTGCAAGCTGACATCACGGTGAGTGCACACAGTAAAGATTGACAGATGACAAAAACCAGCAAAGAATGGACTGACACTGTCATCAGTGTGTTCTTGGAGATATCCGTGTCTGACAACTAGAGCGTTTATGGCGCTGCTTTCTGGCTGGTGACCGCTCGGGACTGAATCTCCACGTGATGTGCCCCTGGGGGATGTTAAGAAGGCACTACAGTAGAACTGTTCAGAATGACTGACCATACTGTCTGAGTGTATCGTCGGTATACCTTTGCAGTGGATGAAGCATGCGGTTGCTGTTTGCTTGATGCTGAAAATGGGTGAGATTCTAACCTGTTCTACCAATCCTACCAGCTTTGCATTGCTTTCCACCTTTCTCAAAGCCTTCTGAATTTCGCAGGCTCTAGCAGATAGGTTTGATGGTCCAGAGGCGGATGTTCACGATTTTGGGTGGAAGTCTTGTTTGTCTTGGGCCATTCTGTCAATGAACACACTGCAGCGGTTCAACTAGAAGTCCAACTTTTGTTTCGAGTGATTGCGCCGTAACTCAATAACTTGGCAATTTTGATGCAGAAAAACTTCGTATGTGTCTTTGGTTCCGCCAAGGGCGCAGGGAAGGGTTAAAGGGCAGCTTAAGGCGCCGGGCGGGGTTTAAGGCCAGCCTAGTCCCTGACGTTGCTTTCTGAAACCAGAAGAAAATCTCCAGGAAAGCGCCCGGCAGGTGGCCAAAGGACATGCTGCTGGGCCGCCAAGGGCGCCGGGAAAAAGGTTTAAGGGCAGCCTAGGGCGTCGGGACACGTTTAAGACGTTTAAGGGCAGCCTAGTGCCTAACGTTGCTTTCTGAAACCAGAAGAAAATCTCCAGGAAAGCGCCCGGCAGGTGCCCAAAGGACATGCTGCTGGGCCGCCAAGGGCGCCGGGAAAAAGGTTTAAGGGCAGCCTAGGGCGTCGGGACACGTTTAAGACGTTTAAGGGCAGCCTAGTGCCTAACGTTGCTTTCTGAAACCAGAAGAAAATCTCCAGGAAAGCGCCCGGCAGGTGGCCAAACCACATGCTGCTGGGCCGCCAAGGGCGCAGGGAAGGGTTTAAAGGGCAGCCTAGGGCGCCGGGCGGGGTTTAAGGGCAGCCTAGTGCCTAACGTTGCTTTCTGAAACCAGAAGAAAATCTCCAGGAAAGCGCCCGGCAGGTGGCCAAACGACATGCTGCTGGGCCGCCAAAGACGCAGGGAAGGGTTTAAGGGCAGCTTCGGGCGTGGGGGGGGGGTTTAAGGCCAGCCTAGTGCCTAACGTTGCTTTCTGAAACCAGAAGAAAATCTCCAGGAAAGCGCCCGGCAGGTGGCCAAAAGACATGCTGCTGGGCCGCCAAGGGCGCAGGGAAGGGTTAAAGGGCAGCTTAGGGCGCCGGGCGGGGTTTAAGGCCAGCCTAGTGCCTAACGTTGCTTTCTGAAACATGAGGCTCAGTCAGGATAAGGATAACTAGGCAGAGGCGGGCCGGGAAATAACATCTCCAGGAAATCGCCCGGCGGTGAGGGCCAAGACATGCTGCTCTGGTCCGCCAGGGCTCAGGGAAGGTTTAAGGCAGCTTAGGTGTCGCCCGGGCGGAGGTTTTAAGAAAAGGCCAGCTACTAACGTTCTTTCTGCACCAGAAGAAACATCTCCAGGAAAGCGCCCGGCATTTGGCCAAATGACCTGCTGCTGGGCCGCCCAGGTCGCAGGAAGGGTTAAAGTGCAGCTTAGGGCGCCGGGCGGGGTTTAAGGCCAGCCTAGTGCCTAATGTTGCTTTCTGAAACCAGAAGAAAATGTCCAGGAAAGCGCCCGGCAGGTGGCCAAAGGACATGCTGCTGCGCCGCCAAAGACGCAGGGCGCCCGGCAGGTGGCCAAAAGACATGCTGCTGGGCCGCCAAGGGCGCAGGGAAGAGTTTAAGGGCAGCTTAGGGCGCCGGGCGGGGTTTAAGGCCAGCCTAGTGCCTAACGTTGCTTTCTGAAACCAGAAGAAAATCTCCAGGAAAGCGCCCGGCAGGTGGCCAAAAGACATGCTGCTGGGCCGTCACAGACGCAGGGAAGGGTTTAAGGGCAGCTTAGGGCGCCGGGCGGGGTTTAAGGCCAGCCTAGTGCCTAACGTTGCTTTCTGAAACAAGAAGAAAATGTCCAGGAAAGCGCCCGGCAGGTGGCCAAACGACATGCTGCTGGGCCGCCAAGGCCGCAGGGAAGGGTTAAAGGGCAGCTTAGGGCGCCGGGCGGGGTTTAAGGCCAGCCTAGTGCCTAACGTTGCTTTCTGAAACCAGAAGAAAATCTCCAGGAAAGCGCCCGGCAGGTGGCCAAACGACATGCTGCTGGCCTCCAAAGACGCAGGGAAGGGTTTAACGGGCAGCTTCGGCGTGGGGGGGGGGGGGTTTAAGCCAGCCTAGTGCCTAAACGTTGCTTTCTGAAACCAGAAGAAAATCTCTCAGGAAAGCGCCCGTGGGGGGCAAAAAAAAGGTGGCCAAAGACATGCTGCTCTGCGGCCGCCAAGACGCAGGGAAGGGTTTAAGGGCAGCTTAGGGCGCCGGGCGGGGTTTAAGGCCAGCCTAGTGCCTAACGTTGCTTTCTGAAACAAGAAGAAAATGTCCAGGAAAGCGCCCGGCAGGTGGCCAAACGACATGCTGCTGGGCCGCCAAAGGCCGCAGGGAAGGGTTAAAGGGCAGCTTAGGGCGCCAGGCGGGGTTTAAGGCCAGCCTAGTGCCTAACGTTGCTTTCTGAAACCAGAAGAAAATCTCCAGGAAAGCGCCCGGCAGGTGGCCAAACGACATGCTGCTGGGCCGCCAAGGGCGCAGGGAAGGGTTTAAAGGGCAGCCTAGGGCGCCGGGCGGGGTTTAAGTCCAGCCTAGTCCTAACGTTGCTTTCTGAAACCAAGAATAAAAAAAAGAAAAAAAAACAACCAAACACAAAAGAAAAAAAAAAAAAAAAAAAATAAAAAAAATAAAAAAAACAAACACAAAACCAAAACATCAATCTCCAGGAAAGCGCCCGGCAGGTGGCCAAAAGACATGCTGCTGGGCCGCCACAGACGCAGGGAAGGGTTTAAGGGCAGCTTAGGGCGCCGGGCGGGGTTTAAGGCCAGCCTAGTGCCTAATGTTGCTTTCTGAAACCAGAAGAAAATCTCCAGGAAAGCGCCCGGCAGGTGGCCAAAGGACATGCTGCTGCGCCGCCAAAGACGCAGGGAAGGGTTTAAGGGCAGCTTAGGGCGCCGGGCGGGGTTTACGGCCAGCCTAGTGCCTAACGTTGCTTTCTGAAACTAGAAGAAAATCTCCAGGAAAGCGCCCGGCAGGTGGCCAAAAGACATGCTGCTGGGCCGCCAAGGGCGCAGGGAAGAGTTTAAGGGCAGCTTAGGGCGCCGGGCGGGGTTTAAGGCCAGCCTAGTGCCTAACGTTGCTTTCTGAAACCAGAAGAAAATCTCCAGGAAAGCGCCCGGCAGGTGGCCAAAAGACATGCTGCTGGGCCGCCAAGGGCGCAGGGTCCAGGAAAGCGCCCGGCAGGTGGCCAAAAGACATGCTGCTGGGCCGCCAAGGGCGCAGGGAAGGGTTTAAGGGCAGCTTAGGGCGCCGGGCGGGGTTTAAGGCCAGCCTAGTGCCTAACGTTGCTTTCTGAAACCAGAAGAAAATCTCCAGGAAAGCGCCCGGGAGGTGGCCAAAGGACATGCTGCTGGGCCGCAGACGCCGGGAAGGGTTAAAGGGCAGGGTTTAAGGGCAAGGTTTAAGGGCGGCCTAGGGCGCCAGGAAGCGTTTAACGGCAGCCTACTGCCTCACGTCGCTTTCTGAAATCAGAAGAAAAGGTGCCGCGAAGCCACTTTTTCTCGGGCGCGCTCCCCCTGCGGATGGCTGGGGTCGGCGGATATATCTGATTGGTGGTTGACCTACCCCTCTGAAAAATGATGGAGTTCGTCAGTTGGAATGATGACATCCCACATATGAAATGGAAAATCATAAAATTCGTGAAGTGCCCTGGTCGCCAGGTCAAGCCCTAGCAGAGGCGCTCGCAGGGGCCGCAGCGGCGCGGAAGCGGATGTCGCAGGTGGCGTTGATGGGGGTGAAGGAGGATGTCACGTATTGTCACGTGGTGAGATAACGAAAATTGGAAGATAAATTGATAGATTTGTGATGATTTGATGATTTGGGAATATATTCTCCAGAATGATTTATGATATGAGTGGGTATGATCGAAGGAAGTTTAGAAGTCAAATTTTCGACAATATGGACAGTGAAAAGCAGAGACGGGAAGAGTCAGAGAAGAGAAGAGAAGAAGAAAGAAGATCAAAGAAGAGAAATTCTGAAGAAAGAAGATCCAGGTGCGCGAAAAGGTAGGAAAGTAGCGAAACACTGTGTTTTTCCAATGATTTGTGGCTCAGGAGGGTCGAAAAGTAGGCTCGCTAAAGCGGCAGGTGCAGAGCCATCTGGCCAGATGAGAGATGAAAAGTTGCACGCCGTTGGGGCGGGAAGCACATTTGGAAGTCAAAATGTACAAAGCACCTCATGTTTGGACCACTTTTGGAAGTTGAGGTGTCGAAAAAGTGCACGCCGTTGCGGCGCGAAGCACATGTCGAAGTCAAAACGTAGAAAGCACACCAACGTCGGAGCACTTTTGGAAGTTGAGATGTCGAAAAAGTGCATACCGTTGTGGCGCGAAGCACATTTCGAAGTCAAAAATGCAAAAAAACTGATGGGCTCGGAGCATTTTTGGACGTGCAGATGTCGTTTCGCGTCGCAGGCGCAAGGGATTCCGCACCTTGCCAAAAGTTAGGAAACCGTGAGGGTTTTGTAGCAGTTCCAAAAACGATGGCAGGCGTGGGACATTTGAAGAGGATCTGGAAAGATGCATTTCGCGTGGCAGGCGCAATACAAGAGACATGTTCATCGGAGATGTTAGGAGGTCAGGGCGCTGATTTCCTGAGAGGGGCTGCATTTTGGAGCATCAGATATTCAGGTTTGCTAAGATGATTTTGCGTGACAGGTGCTTCGTATGACCTGGCATCACTTTTTCGTGGCAGGCGCAGCACTTTAGACAGATGGAGTGGAAAAGCGCAAAACGCGTTGGTACAAGGCCGTCAGCTCTGCACTCAACTTTCCATTTTTGAGGGAAGTCTTGCAGAATTGCTTCGTTTTTGATGTTGTCAAATTGAAAAATTGAGGAAGTCTTGCAGAATAGCTTCATTCTTGACGTTGTCAAGTTCAAAAGTTGAGGAAGTCTCGCAGAATTGCTGCGTTTCTGATGATGTCAAGTTCAAAAAATTGGGGAAGTCTCGCAAAATAGCTTCGTTTTCAAATTTGCAGATAGATAGATAGATAGATAGATAGAGATAGATAGAGATAGATAGAGATAGATAGATAGATGGATGGATAGATAGATATAGATAGATACAGATAGATACAGATAGATACAGATAGATACAGATAGATAGAGATAGGTAGATAGATAGACAGATAGACAGATAGACAGATAGATAGATAGATAGATAGATAGACAACTGCAACTGCACTACACCACGCTACAACTACAACTACAACTACACTACCACAACACTTCAACCACAAGAACTACAGCTACAACCACAAAAACAACTTCAACTACACTTCAACTACAACTACAACCTCAACTACAGTTTGCTACAACTACAGCTACAAGTGCCACTACAGCTACAACTACAACTACAACTGCAACTACAACTACAACTACAACAACTACTGCAACTACACTACAAGTGCAACTGCAACCGCAACTGCAGCTGCAACTACAACTACAACTACAATTTCAGCTACACTACAACTACACTTCAACTACAACATCAACTTCAACTACGCTACAACAACAACGATTACCAGGACACTACACTACAACTACAACTACAGGTACACTACAACTACAGTTGCAACTACAACTCCTACAGCTATTGCAACTACTGCAATTACTACAATTAAGGCAATTACAGCTTCAACTACAACTACAGCCACAACTACAACATTACAACTTCAACAACGTCAACCCCACTACAACTACAACTACAACTACAACTACTGCACTACACCACACTACATCCAGGAGTTGTGATTGAGGTGACCACTGCAACCGTTGCAGCCACTTCAAAAAGCACAACTCCAACCACCTTTCGGTCCATCAGAGGATTCGCTCTGCCATCCATGCATCGCAACAATTCATCTCTCCTATAGTGTCCTATCCTTGAAACTTCCGCCACCGCCTTGTGCGGCACTATTGGTATTTGGATGTATTTGGAATATTTTGGGATATCCCTCAATTATGTCACCAATGGGATCTCCAATAGATGGGGACACAGCCAATAAGATCCTTGGCAGGGTCTATTTGACTGGGAAAAATATTGGGTCTATTTGTGGGATCTACTGAAATATATATTTCATGGCCAAAGAGGATATGTGGGTGAGTTTGACAAAATGGAGGATATCTGAATTTGTGGCTATTTTAATTGGGAAATATTGATCAAACATCAAATTCTTGGGTCGCCCATTTTAAGTCAAACCCAGAAGGTAGCAAACATGCAGGAATAGGATTTTGAACCACAGGATTGTGGCCAGAGAGAATGGGATTATCAACCAGCCAAAAAACACAACAAAACTAGGGATATGAACAGCAGAAAACAACAACAAAAATAGAGTTACTCTCCAGTCAACTAAGAAAACCATGGAAAAAAAACACCATGAAAGTAGATCATTTCCGAGGGAACCCATGGATTTCTATAGTTTTTGGTATGTTTACTGGAAGGTAAGCAACGCACGTGGCTTGTGTTGGGAAACTGAAATGGTTTTCCAGGATCGGTCCAACCATCACTGGAGGGCCGCAAACCGATAGCCGAAGTGGATTTGGAACAGGCCACTCTTCATGAAGACGATAGCCTCAAATCATTCAACCCTGAGGTGGTTTCTTTACCGCGTACATTCATGTCATGTTTTTACCCATTTCATTGCTGATTCAGCTGGTGCAAATGAAGTAACCCTCAGCATTGCAACTCATAGGAAATGGAAAATTCCCAAGATTTCCAGAGCGATTGGTTGAGAGTTTATCGATTTCGAAGTGTTGAACAAATGTTTAGCATTCTTGAACGCACCGATGATCGAAAGTGAACGCACCTTGGTGCCATGGCCGCGCCAGGCATCCTTTGACCCCGGAGAAGCATTGAAGGACAGCCCGTGCCGAGAGGATCTGGACAAATTCTAGCAGCCTGAATCGCTAAAACCATGGTTAATACATTAATACGGGGATGTACCCGCAAGATGTCTCATTTTAGGTTTCAGGGCTCCGCATGAATGATGTCATCGACATATTCGAGAAATGGGGGACCACTACTATGAATAGAAACTTGTACAAGTAAATAGAGTCGAGCTATACTATCAGTAAAGTTCATCTGAATTTTTGGAACATGTATATTAATATAGACACATTCTTTACCACTTATATCATACTTATATCTTGATATAGACACACCAGCTCAGGAGCTGGAGGAGTTGCACCAGCTCTGCTGGAAGCGGCTCCATTCGGAAGGACATCTTGAAGCAACGTCGCCCTGGCGGGAGGCCCGATGAAAAAATCTGGAATATCTCTTTCAGCTCTTTGGGAAAATGGTTTTCAACTGGAACCTGACCCACTCCCCAGATCAATGGGAATTTCAGGATCCTAAATTGGAGGTACCTACCATATATAAGGCCTAAATTTCAGGGAATATCCCCCGAAAATATGGTCGTATATGGTACTATCGTACCTCCATTTTAGGATCCTGAAATTCCCATTGACCAGATGCCTCGGGCACCAGGTCTTCGCACTTTGTTGCTTCATGCGCACTGAGCTGCGAGGCTGCGGTCCAACTGATGAAGATACTGAGAAGGACAAGTCCCCCCTTCTCCTTTCTTACCCTCCAGTAATTTGACATAGCTATGGCTATGGAAAATCACCATTTTCAATTAACTCATCCAACTAAATGGGTGGATTTTCAGTAGCTAGGCTATATTGGTCTACCGCAGGGTTTTCTGGGCTATGTCAATCCAAAGATGCGGCCATTCCTTGCAGGTGAGTGCAGCGAGGACAAGAAGCGCGCTTTGCGCCTACTTGATTTAGGCGCGGGCATCTCAGGCAGGTGTCACTTAAACCGAAAAGGCGCATCCGGATCCGAGATTTCTGTTACGTGTTCCGTAACTGCAAAAGGTTCCTGGAGTGCATCCCTTTTTTTTTGGCTTTGTTAAAATAGGCTACAATGGGATATACCTGATTCAATTACATATCACAAAATTATATATACATATACATATATATATATATATACATATACATATATATATATATACATATACATATATATATATATACATACATATATATATAATATATATATATATAAATATAAATATATATATATATGTACGTATACCTAGTTGTTGGCCATGAACCCCGATCCCAGGTTTGATCCTGGGTGGACCAGACACACAGATCGCATCTGCGCTGCATCACCGTGCAGAAAAGCTGGCGGAGGTGAAGCCGTGAAGCTGTCAACGACGAGTTGTGCCCAAAGGGGAAATCAACGACTCAAAGCTGGCGGAAAATGATGGAAATGGCTATTTATAGTGGATTTACCCATTAAAAATGGTGATTTTCCATAGTTTTTTGTATGTTTACCAGAGGGAAACTCAAGAAAATGACCCATTTATCCATAAAAGCAGATGATTTCCCGCTAAGTGAAACTTATGTGATTTTCTGTTGCCAAACAAGTTACACTCCCAAGCTTCAGCGGGACCATCTGGTGGTAGGAGTTATCGACGCGCAAGCGTGCGCACCACGAGGGCGGGGACGATGGAGGTGGGGAAACTGTGACGGAAGGGATCCTACTTGGCCTCTTGTAATCAAAGATGGTGTGGCCGCCGTGGCCTCTTAACCTGTTTTTCCTTACGAAAGACATATCCAAGATGGGTGTGACCGAGTTTCCAGAGACCTAGAGACGACAAGATGGTGATTACCCTCTGGTAAACTAACATAGCTATGGAAAAACACCATTTTTAATGGGAAAATCCACTATAAGTAGCCATTTTCAATAGCTATGTTAGTTTACCAGAGGGTATGCTGAACTATCTCAATTGTAAGAAGTCATGAGACCTGCTAATCAGTAGGCATTGCGACCTGATCCTGCAAGAACAGTTATGTCCTTTGCCGTGACATGGGTAACCCGGTCAAAAATTGAGGTACCCAAAAATGGATGGCCATTGAAAAATGACCAAAAGTTATTAATGTGGTAAACCCAATGTCAGTCATAAACCATCCCCAAGTCATCACCATTTTTATGGTAAACCAATGTAAACCACACCCAAATAGTGCCCAAATAGTGCCTAATCTGTGGTCCCATGCCCGAAGGCTGGCTGGCGCCTGGCGTTGTGGCGCCGCGGCCTGCAGCAGCAGTGCCTGAAGTGGCGAGCCCCTTGAGTCTGGAGACACGGCTGCGCTGCATGGGGGTGAAGTCATGAGATGCGTCCGCATGGGGTCAATGATCAACCCAAATTGTGGCAAGAACATCATGGGGAGAAATGATGATGGACCCCAGCTGTGGATGGATGGAGTGGATGGACTGGATGGACTGTGGGTTATCTACTTTTGGACCAAACTTGTGTGAGTTTTTTTAAATGGACCCCAAACATCCTCCACACCACAGAGAGCATTGTGAGTCAAGAAACCAGGAGATACCCCACTTTTCAGAATTACGCATGTGATGGGTTGGGAATTTATGCCCTGGAAACTAAAATCCAGGCTTTTCAATTGGGAGGTTGGTAACCCCCCAAAAAGTCATGATTAGATATGAAAATGGACCCGCCCCTAATTAAACAGTGTAGGAGTTTCACAACCGGGGTTGATAATTATTAATGTCATCTACACTGTCATATATAATATAAATCATTAATATATGTAAAGATGTGGGTACAGTACTTGGGGACTAAAACCAAGTGGAAGCGGAGGTGGCATACCTGTGCGCAACAGGTGTGCGTGCCCTTTTCAGGATGTCTCTTAGGTAATCATTAACTGGGATGATGCGAAATAGCTATATATATATATGGCACAACACTTGAGTTGATTGATATGGCACTATTTTCCTTCGGCAATGTCAACCGCAGATGAATAACCCTCGTGGCCAGTTGAATTCAGACACTCCTACCGGTTTGAATGTGGATGATCACTTTTCGAGGACAACCTCCGAACTATCATCGGCCAGCGTTTTATTATCATCCCTGACTCTGAGGTATAATAGTTGTAGATATAGATATAGATATAGATACAGATATAGATACATATATATATATATTATTTATTTATTTATTTATTTATCTGAATCTATTACATATCGTGGATTTGTCCCCATTTTTCCAGGCCAACTTCCCCCAAGTTTGCTCCGTCTTTAGGAAGATTTCCTGGTTTCCTACTTTGCCACGAAATCTCCCGTGAAGATTGCGCAGGGCTGTCAAGCCTGGCCGGCCGTCAGGCGATGATTTTTCACCGGGATGACATGGACAATCCCAATTTTAGGGTAACATCAACGATCCAACATTAACTGGGATATGTCGGATATGAACTGGGATATTTACTCTCCAATTCTATCCAAGTTTATTGATATTGTCAAGTTTTGGGGCGTCTAATTTTGACCTAAGGCAACAACACACTTACGGCTAAAATATTTTCATGGGAGATTCCCAACAGCAGAGACTGTTGGGTTTCAATCTCTGGGTCTGGGAGTGGTGCGCCGTTTTTTCCGTTTTTCGTCGTCCCTGAAAACCGGGACGGAATCAGAACCCTGGAAATTCTGGAATCTGCTGTTCTTGTGCAAAGCTGGCTTAGTGTGATGGGATACAACTCTTCCTACTTGCAGGAAGGTGCATCCCTGGATGAAAAGGAATGTTTACGGTTAAACTCTCCATTTTGAACGCTAGAAAGTAGGCTTACCGAAAACCATTTGCCAAGAAAACCAAACATACATAAACAAACATAAACAGTTAGTTACCCTCCAACGTTCACATAGTGGAAGATCCACCATAAACAGAGATCATATCCCAAGGGAAACATATCCCAAGGATTTCCATAGCTCTTTGTATGTTGGGTACGTTACTTTTTTGTTGGCAAAATCACTGTCCCATGTTTACATCTAGATTTGGGGTTTGAAAACCATGGTTTCAACCGTAGATTTCCTCTGAAACCAATCCATTGACTATCCAAATATTCATAATTTTTTCCATAGTAGAACTTCATACTAGTGGTTAAATCTGGTTAAATCCAGATTTTTTTCTCTGCGACACGCCATTTTTCCCTGGCCAAATCCCGATTTTGCAGAGAAAAAAGCGCCGCAGGCGCTGGCGTGAGGAGGCGTTCTGGAGCACTGGTGCCTTAGGCGTGGTGCTGGTGGAAACAAGGGGAGATAATGGTGGGATATAGCCAGCAAACTCTGATATGTGGATACCCAAATGACTTGAATGCAAAATCCACAGGACCCCAGTTGGGGTAAAACCCTTCGTTCCGGTCATTCTTCCAGGCAGTGACATGTCATCTAATTCGCCTATGTTTTTCGAGGATTTGCATATCGTGACGAGGATTTCTATGGATGTTTTACTTCCAGGTTTGAAACATGTCCATTACTAGCCCCTGAGCCGAAGGGCAGCGCTTCGTGCCAGTGGAGCACCTGGGCTCATTTCTGGTGAAATTTGGATTTTACCAGAAAACATGGTGCTATAATGGGATGTTATGAGAATCTCAGGTTTTTTGTTTTGGGTGATCTCAGACTTCTTATTGGGTAATGGATTTTGGGATCCGATGTCAGATCGTGCTGAGGACAGACTATTGGATGGAGGAGGGCTTCGACATAATGCAGTTAAAAGACTTCATCCAGCATTGCAAGGTGCAGTGAAATCCTTGGATTTGATGGGACCCAAGTTTGAGACAAGCATGTGCTTAGGGCGTGACTGTGGATGAGTTGGAAAGGGCATCAACATGATTTGCAGCTTCTTAACGCTCCATGAAGGAACTGCCTCTCTGAAAGAACTGCTGCTGGACATTGGCAATCGGTGCATCCCTTCAAAGCTCTGGCTCTCTTCCACGTCACAAAACATCAGTTCCATTTCAAAGACTTATGAGGATCCTGGTACTACTGGAAAGCACCCCAGGTAAGTTTCGAGATCACCCTTGCTTGGTAGTTGGATTTCTGAGAGCCAGGTTAGGTTCAACAGGGTTCCGGAGAAGGTTTCGGAGCAGGTTCCGGAGAAGGTCTGGGAGGCATTGGTGCAGCAAGGTCAGGTTCAACAGGGTTCCGGAAAAGGTTCCGGTGAAGGTCTGGGAGGCTTTGGGGAAAAGCCAGGTCAGGTTCAACAGGGTTAGAAGGTTCCGGTGAAGGTCTGGGAGGCTTTTTGCAGGGACAGGTCAGGTTCAACAGGGTTCCGGAGAAAGTTCCGGAGAAGGTCTGGGAGGCTTTGGTGCAGCCAGGTCAGGTTCAACAGGGTTTCGGAGAAGGTTCCCGGAGAAGGTCTGGAGGCTTTAGTGCAGAGCCAGGTCAGTTTCAACAGGGTCCCGGAGAAGGTCTGGGAGGCTTTGGTGCAGCCAGGTCAGGTTCAACAGGGTGGAGAAGGTCTGGGAGGCTTTAGTGCAGAGCCAGGTCAGGTTCAATAGGGTTCCGGAGAAGGTTCCGGAGAAGGTTCCAGGAAGCCTTGGTGCAAAGCCAAGTCAAGTTCAACGGGTTTCGGAGAAGGTTCTGGAGAAGGCCTGGGAGGCCTTGGTGCAAAGCCAGGTCAGGTTCAACAGGGTTCCGGAGAAGGTGTTTCCAGCGCTTGGCTTCGCAGCACGCTTCAGAAAGATCTGTAAAAATAAAACGTTGCGGCTGTTGGGGATACCACCGATTTTTTTTGATTGGAATAATATTTTTTTGGTGGCTTTGGAATATTTTTTTGATGCGCGCGCTTACCCGCAGAAGCGCCAGGTGCCCAGCAAAAGCAGCAATCCGTCCAGGGGAGGCTACCTGGCGCAGCATGCCTTGTTCGATCAATTGCCATGCTTGGAGGCGCCTTTCTCTTGACATCTCCTGACACTGGCTATTGTTATTGTTGTTGTGGGTGGGTGGGTGGGTGGGTGGGTGGTTGGTGGTTGGTGGTTGGTGGTTGGTGGTTGTTGGTTGGTGGTTGTTGGTTGTTGGTTGTTGGTTGTTGGTTGTTGGTTGTTGGTTGTTGGTTGTTGGTTGTTGGTTGTTGGTTGTTGGTTGTTGGTTGTTGGTTGTTGGTTGTGGTTGTGGTTGTGGTTGTGGTTGTGGTTGTGGTGGTTGTTGTTGTTGTTGTTGCTGCTGCTGTAGTTGATAATCTATAATTTTTATACGTGCCCCATTTCAAATCAAATCGCAATTGGCCTCAACCGAATCTATTTGGATACCAGTTTCTTGCAGGTTGCGCTCCGACCGTGTTCCCATTTTTGATTGGTTCTACACCCACCCAATGTTGGCTAGAGCTCCAAGATTGCGAGCAAAACAGGGATCAAGGTGTAGATAACCATGAGAAGGGGAATATGAAGGAACAATCTCAGGGTTCATGTTTGGACCAAAATTCTGACATTGGAGGATTGTGGATCTAATCATAGATCAATCATTTGATCATGATTCTTGGACCACTTTTCCATTTTTCCATATCTTTAAATCCATCTTTTCAGATTTGTGATCACCAATCCGATTGGGATGTAGTTGGGATATAACCTCACCAACATTGACCAAAGGTTAGACTTGGGGAATGGTTGATACAACTAGTGGATCTTTCTGATTCTTGGCCCAGGAATTCCCTGCATCCAGGCGGACCTCCGGATGCCCGACCTAGCCCTTTGCGGGGACGGAGACAGCACGGTGCTGCGACAGGCCTTGGTTTTCAAGTGATGACTTCATATGGATGTGTTATGACTGTTATGATCTGTTGATTTTCTGGTCCGAAAAAAAAAATGTTCAATGTGACTTGTTCACTTGGTTAGCACGGTGCTTCCCCTGGCTTCCTGGATATTCAAAAAACACCGACATATATGGGTATTGTCAAAGGGGCGGAGCCTGCAGCCTCAGATGGGAGTGTAAGATACTAACATATACTGGGGATGGGGATGCTAAGTAGACTAAACCACAATCATGGATTGCCACACAAAACCGCACTTGGAGCCTGGGGTTGTGATTTATTCCATGCGCCCCAAAGTCACAATTTGTACTTTCTTCAACGTGGTCCTCCTCGGTAAAGCCAATCAACGATCCCGGGCTCGAGATTTGACCGTCCAAATGATTGAGAATATTGAGATCTTTTAGACAGCCCTAAAATTGAGACGATGTAATAGATGGTTAAGAATGGTTAAGATTTGTCCTCAGAATCGTGGTTTTTGCTGCTAAGTTGTTAGGATTTCAGAACGGAAGCCCTGAATTTATTGGGGGGTTGCCTTTGAGGGGGTCATCTCACTTGTACCCCATTATACCTCATTATACGTCATTATTCTTGAGTTTATACTTCCAATTTTGTTTGTGAAATCACCATGTACAACCATTTTCTTGGGATTGCCACGGGTCATCCCGATGATTTCTGGCAGGTCTTCTTTGGCCCCGAAGGGACGGTGACACCCCTGCACTCCGATCCCTACGAAAACATCTTCTGCCAGGCCGGAGATTCACCCGGTGCTCGGTGCTCTCCTCGGAAATTGGGAAACATCTGTGGTTTAAATCGGAAATGGATGATCTAAATGATCTAAAATGATCATGATGTCAGGCGATGTAATCTGCCAGCGCATACCATGTCATCAATCCATCAAGAGGGATTGATGACTAGCCATTGTCCAAAATCCTTCATGCGTACCATGTTTTGACCATAGCACAGCTGGTTCAGCTGGTTCTGGTGGTGGATCCGAGAATCCTCTGGCACTGCCTGACCATGGACAATATGCCATGCTTTAGTACCAGTTGAAAAGGTACAACACGGATATCACATCCCCTTCCAATTGGGAAACATAGCGAAGCATTCCCATTTTTCATGGTTAAACCATGGATAAACCATGGTTAAACTGAGAACCACCTTATTTTTTGTAGGTTCCCTCCTTCAAGTCACGAAGCTCTCCCCGACTCCTCAGGTGGTGGGAGTGAAGTACCTGCGCCTCTATGCGCCCAGCGAGTCGCGGCACCTCTATCCCCGAGAGGTCGCCCAGCTGCACCAGGGGTCCAGCTCTTGGCGGGTCGCGTGGTTCACGTTTTCCGCGGTTGGTGAAATCCCCATCTGTGGGATGTGGCAAGTGATGCTGGACCAATCATCCAGGCGGCTGGAAATCGCTGCACAGCGAGACTTGAACGGTCGGGTCTCACATTTTTTGTGGAATTGCTTCAAGGCAGCATGTAGAGGAACCCTAGTAAGACAAGATTCGGCATCTTTTATCATTTCCATTGTCAACTCAGTTATCATAGCAACGGGAACCTAACCCGTCCAGATTGTTCTTTTTGGTTACCGCAAATTATCAGCCGGGCTAGCATTCTCCTTGGGCTTGTAAAGCTCAGCAGTGTTTAGGTCAACCCGTATTTTTTTTCCCCTCTGTGATGTCAAGTGTTATCTACTTTCCATCCAAAATCAACGATATGATGATCCTACTCAATGAATGCTGGTTTCTTAAAATGGGGGATCCCCCACCATGGATTTCAATAATTCCTAAGATGGAGCCCCCTAAGTCATCCATTTCATGTAGATTGGGATTTTCCATTATAAACCATCCATTTGGGGTACCCCCATTTAATTGGAAACCCCCAAATGGTCATCCAGTCATCCATAGCCCTTCCATAGCTGGCGAGGAGCCTTGGCGGCTCCTCGCCCAGGACATGAAGAACAACTCTCGCCTCGAGCCCGTGGATGTCTTGTTTCCTGGTGAAGACACGACGGGACCTCCGAATTTTGTGATTCTTTTGGAGTTGTGATATGGGTATGGATCAATACCTATGAAAATACCATTTTTAGGGGGATGAACATTACCATTTTAACCGAGCTATTTTGATGTGAACAGAAGGGGTACAAGGTTTTGACACACTGCCATATGGTCGATATGGTCCTTCCAAGTTGGATTTGACCTGATTTGACCCTGATTTCTTCCATGATTTGACCCCGAGGTTGGCTGATGCCGTAACATACCAGGTGCCAGGGCGGGTGGCAACAGCATGGGGGAACCGTGAAAGATTGGGACAGATGAGCTAAGATACAAAGACGGATCTCCACCGCACTTGCCATTTCCAACCAAATCATGAGACAATGAGAGTGCCTAGAGTATTGGGCCAAAGTGCTCTTGTGACCTGACGACAGTTTGTGATCTTTTGTCAAGAATGCGCACACAATTATGTAATTCCATTCTCATCGGTTGCGGAGCCATGTAGTCCGGTGCAAACTGTTTGAACAAATTGGGTGATTCCAGGTTCCAGATGCCAATGCTTTGCATGTCTACAAGACCTGCTTTTGTAACCTTTGCCAAACTAAATATGAAAAAACAATATTATTTAAAAGGCAATCAACTATATTAGCCATTATCCATACGTAGCTATGTTAAGTTACCGGAGGCTACATTTTTTAAATTTTCACGCCTTCAAAGGGAATTTGAGTACGGCTGTGGAAACTCAACACACCATGAGAGAAGCCTGGCATTTCAAATCCAAGGAGCATGGCATGGTGATGTTTCTGCTGGTTGGAATCCCGTCCCCCGTTAAATACCCGCCAAACAAAACCCGGGTTCGGTGAGAAGATCCATTTTGGAGGTCCATATGGGGGGTATCTATTATTGGGGGAAGGCCCCAACCAGCCAGTGACACAGTTTCAGCATTTGCCGCGGCAATGCTTGGTTCCAGGAGAAGTTTCCAGAGTTTCTACAAGCAGAATTCCAAGATGTTGCGCCTCGTTGAAGGGAAGGTTAAGAGTTCTCGACACAATCTGAAACCCAAATTTATGTGGAATTTATGATATATGACATATATATATATTATCATATATCATCCATATCCAATAGAAAATTCAACCCAGACCTGATTTCTTGGGGTTCCATAAAATTTTGGAGCTAAAAAACGGCGCAGGTTTGGGGGAAACCTAGCCGCGCCAAGGTTTTGCTGGTAAATTTGTGCAACTTTCAGCAGATGTTCCCTTGGACCAAGCCACTCTCAGCACTGCGAGGTGCTACATCCCGGGGATGTTTTGTGACTTGGCTATGGGACCAGAAAAATGTTGCGGCCGGAGCCACGCAGTGATGTGGCGCCATATGGCGCCCAATTTCAACGGCTAGATGAAATTCATCGGGCCACACTCCGAGGGACTCCAAGCCCCCAGGATGATTTTGCTGACCGTGATTTCACAATTTTGATGCCACCAATAAAATTAAATTCCGGCAAGCCAAACCCAAACAAGCACCATAGCCCTATAAATCCCCAGCAAAAATAGACCAACAAGAAAGGCTGATGTGGGTTCCAAATCGTTGAGAGGTCAAGTTTTGACCTCCGGTGAGGTATTTGCCTGTTGGATGGTGGCACTTTGTGAAGAGTTTCTGGGCTTGTTGGATGATGTTGGATCGAAATTGATCTGGTTATTCATTGATTTCAGTAATCCAAATGGAGAAGACAATAAATGTTCACCAGCTACTGCCAGAATATTGACCAGCAAAGATGCGCATAATGGGTAAGAATTTGAGGCATTATATATTGCTGGTCATTTTTTGCCAACCTTCACAGTTCGGGGTCCAAGTTTTGCTCCGTGGGTGCTCATGACTTTGTAAAGGTTCACAGATTGGATCACTTTGGTTTGTTTGAAATCATTTTAAATCCCCTGGCTATGGCGAGGGTGAAAGATGGATTTACCATCGACTTTCCATCCAAGTAGTATCATTTATATCACAATCATATACCATCATTAGATCATCCAACGGTTTTCCAGGTGAAAGCCACGCTCAGAAGGGGAGACCGACCCTGGGACCCTGGGACCCTGGAAGCATTGGGGCTCGCCCTGGAGGCTTCTCGACTTCAATTTCCGTGGCATTTCACTTCACCTGAACAGTTGACGAGGCCAAGAATGCCTGGTCACAAGCAGCGGAGGGATCGGGGCCCCTCCCTGGGCCCTGTCCGGCCCCCTTTCCCCCTGCACAGGAATGTCATGTGGACATTTCTTCTAATATGTTCTAATGCTAAATAATATCAATCACATAATTAGTTTTGCCATGGTTTCAGGCATCAAATCAGTCGCTGCAATTTCACAGAATTTCTACATGCAGCAGGTGATTGCGGATTGAACGACGCCGAGCCCCGGCGAACTTCGTGGCGTGTGTCGCCGCGACCCGCGCGAACACTGCGTGGTCCAAAAAATGCCATGCGGCACTGGTGGGGGCACTTCAGCCAGGGATACTTCTGAATGATTTACATTAAGGGCATGCCTTTTGTTAGTACATGTTAGGACCCATCACTGGTACTTTGGCACTGGACTTGCCGGGAACTGCAAAGTGAAAAGAAAACAGGCAACAGGAAAAAAAACTGACATTGATCTGCTGCAGTGGATACTGTACTGTAGTTGAGGTGCCAAAACCTTGTTCTTGACTGTTGCAAACTGCGGAATCCTGGAGACTGTGAAAATGATAGGTTTGTTTCAGAACAAAACAAAGCACCTTGGAAAAACATGTTTAGTTCAACTTAGTTCACCCCACTTCTCAGTGTCGGACAATTTACTGGAAACCCTCACATTTGACTCACAAAAGACTCAAGCAACATATTAAAATATCGGTTGCTCCTGGAGTTGAAGGGAATATCTACACGAAAACCATACCTTGGGGTAAAACGTATATATATAATATGGTTTCGACAATTATTTTCATGTCTGCACATGGCCGCGTGCACGAGAAAGAAAAGGAACTTGAGTGGCTGGCAGTGAGTGTGAAGTCACATGCAGTCACAGATGTTCCCAAGAAAACCATGAATGTAGTAAACCCAATGCCATAAACTATCCCCCAAATCAGGATTTTTATGGGTGCGATTTAAGCATTATAAGTTATAAGCCATCCCCAAATGGTAGGCTTATACAATCGACCCGGTGAATAGGGTAACAGCAGCATCTGAGGTCTGACCCGCAGATGCCGGAAGTGGTAGTGTGGAGCTCAAGAAATACAAACCATCCATTGGTAGAATCATTTGAGAGAATTTACACATAGATTTTTGTCAGAGATCATCTACAAACTATTCTTGTATAATCTGGTTATATATATATGTATAGGTTGAATGCCACCCAATGCCTGTAACAGCCAGTAACGGGTTTGATTTGCTTAGAAAAAAAGATGGAGGAGCACAAGCAAATCAGGTTTGTCTGAAAATGGGGTATACGCCGACATGGTTATCTAAATGGGGAAAAGGTGATGAACCGTGGGATGTGGGGGTACTCAATTTTCAGACAGACCCATACATGTATTTTTCTTGACATGTTTCTTCACCGGAAGCGACTTCTTTTAGACTATTGTAAACTGATGGGCCCCTGCTAGTCTATTAGCTGGCACTGTCGCCTTAGTTAAATATGGTAACATGGGTAAGTTCTGAGTTTTTTTGTATACCCCCTTTGAAAGTGTTTGGTAGTCACACATACGTGAGGGTGAATGTTTTAGTTCTCAAAACAACATCTGTTCTCCTGGAACCAGAGTGGAAATTCTCCCACACATGGGCTCCCAAGTGGATTGACAGCAACGAAGCCGTGCCAAATTTGACACCAGTTCCATACATTGATCCGTAAAGACAGGGGATTTCAAGCCAGCCACTCACCGTGGTCTGAGGCACGATCCAACGAGGCGGAGCTGAAGTTTTGGCGTCAGACGCTGGCTATGGAAGAGGCCGCAGGGAAAGTTGGGAAGAAAACTGGATCCAAACTGGAAAAATCTGAGACATCTCAAGGGAAAACTTGACATGAATAGGAACTAAGGATTTTGGATCCTAGCTTTGGGGCAGGATGAACACGAACCTCACATTTCGGCGGATTCCTTGTCAAACATGGGGATTTCATTGGGAAAAATGAGGATAGTATGTGGATAGAATCTGGATATACAAGCAACAATATCAACTTGTTTTTATCTGAAAGTGGGGGAATAGCCCAAACAATAATCTTAGGGTGGAACATGATCATGAACCAGGGGATTATTGTTTGGGGTACCGCATTTTTAGACAAACCAAGATGGATCCAACACTTTTGTTTTTGGGACTCCTGGCGATTTTTAACAGTGTAATCTTTAGCGTTGCGCCAAAGCAAATTCTGGAGTCATCCCTGGATGGAAAAGAATGGGGTCATATGGGGTGATGGGTTTAGTGGGGATTTTGAACTCATCTACCCTCTGGTAAACTAACATAACTATGGAAAATCACCATTTTTAATGGGAAAACTCACTATAAATGGGCCATTTTCAATAGCTATGTTAAATTACCAGAGGGTAATCTGGGAACTCTGACACCAGGAGCGGATCCGGGATGGCAGGTGGGTTGTACTCACAAAAAAAGCCCTTCAGATTGGGATATAGTGGGACACACCCAAGCTATTTCTCCTCATTTTAGTGGTTACATATTCAAACAAATCCATCAAATGATGATGATGAGGATGAGGATGGTCAGTTGTACATACATATCTCATACATATTATATTATATATGTGTATATATATATATACATATATATATATATACATTGTATACATAAAACTTATAAATGATTTGAGCCAGCCCAAATTAGGATATCTCATCTCCATGGGACATTGCCATGGCATGGCATGGACAGGAACCTGTCAACGACGGCAACAACGTTGAACAGGAAGTACCTGTCGAACCACAGGACGACAGGCAGGGTAGATGGCTTGGGTGGATTGTGTCATACAGGGGGAAGTCATTTTCCCATGAAAAGGGGATACCCTCTGGTAATTTAACATAGCTATTGAAAATGGCCCATTTATAGTGGATTTACCCATTAAAAATGGTGATTTTCCATAGCTATGTTAGTTTACCAGAGGGTAGATACAATTTGATCCAATGATTGCCAGACGTTGTTTGTTTTAAATGGGATGTGTTGGATGTGCACAGCACTTTTTGTTGGAATCTTCCGGACTAATCAGCATTGGCAAGGTCCTACCAGTTGGTTCATGGACTTAGTTCCGGATCATGGCCAGTCAAATTTGAAGCAGCTCCCTGAAGTTCCTGAACAGATTACCCAAAACTTCCCTGTGAAGTTTGATAAAGACGTTCCGGAAAATTCATCGGAGAAACACAAGACCCATTCAAAAGGTCTGTGAAATTAACCCTTCGACATTCTTCTCTGAAAAAACGTCTGTTGGAATTTCTGCATGTGAGTTTCATCAAAAGAAGTCCATCGGAAAAATCCCGTGGAAGTCTTCTCTGGTTGGGTGGTTCAACCATTTTTTCGTTGTCATCCAACAAGTGGAATCCCAGTTGATAAACCTCTACTTTTTCAGGTGGGAGCCATCCTCCTGGTGAGTTTCCCAAACCGTCCAGACACATCTAGAATCATCTCATCATCGGTAACGATTTTGGGACCTGCAAAAAGATAGAACAGGTTTAGAATCCCATTAGAATATTCTGACTTAATGGACTCTTCTATCTTTTTTTTGGCTCCTTTGCATCTCTCTATCTCTCTCTCTCTCTATATATATATACATATATATATTATATATATGTATATACTGTATGTATAAGATGCAAATTTTCAGACTATGATCCGCAGCGTTCGGCCTGGCACCAGGCCACAACTCTTGGAGCTGCGGGAACCACCAGAGGTACCTGCGTTTTTGGCCAAAAAACATGGAGCGTTTTGGCCAAAACGATGGCTTTCGTGGTCACTGGTTGGCCAAAATCAGATTTTTGAGTTGAAATTTAGGAGATTCAGCTGAGATGACCAAGAATGAGGGGTTTGGAGATATACTTCGTTATCGGTTGGAACACCATTTACATCAGTTAGAAGCACATGTTTACCAGTAAGAAAACCATGTTTGCATTACTGACAATACCACCAAAGGTTAAAAACAGGGAGTTCCACAGCGACATCACTGGGGGCGCATTGCCACATCGCCAGGAGAGTTGTCCCCTGTATGTTTGCATCCAGGACTGCGGTCCACCCCCAGGCGGGGCTGATTTGGCCCTGAAAGCTTAACAAACATCACCAGCCTTGCAATTTTATGTACATACATTACAATCATACAAATACACACACATATTCGTATACATATGCATATAAATCATATAAAGTGATAAGTATATATATATACACGTATACATTCATAGATGCAAAGATCATAGGGGGAAAGGGAACATGAGGGGAAACGTAGAAAGGCAACATGAGGGGAAACTATGCAAAGCCTGCCTGGAGTCTGAATGGGTTTGAGGTTTCGTTCCCCTGACTTTTAGCAATGTTGTATATGTGTCGTGTCTATGTTTAGTATGTATACACTAGGTATAGATAGAGCAAGATAGATCGCAGGATTGCCATTTGGATGTTCGGATAGTACTCCTGTGGCTTCCTCAATGGAACAATTGTTGTTTCGTGTGGGCAGAACAAACCACATTGGGCAGTAGACGAGAGTTACTGATACTAGTATAGGGCTGAAGTCATCTGGTCATCGAATGTAATATATCCCCTATGAATGACTAGTAAGTGTGTTACTGATAGCCCAATGATCCAAATTCGAAATGTACGCAGAATAATTGAGCTGCTAATTCTGTTTCTTTTTGTTGCCCATCGCCCATCGAGGCAAAGTGCTGCAAGAAGGGCATGAGCACTTGCTGAAGCTGCGGAAAGGCGATGTGGTCAGAGTGGTTTGGGGCCCCAGCTGTGTACCGGCTGTCGACGAGTTACGATGTTCATTTCTACCGTTTCTACCTGGATTTCTACCCCAGATTTGAATCAAAGGTCCGAAGGGGAGAAAGATGGAAATGAAATACGAAATACGATGAAATCTCTGAAAATCACCGAGTCCATTGAGTCCATTGGTCCATCAAAGCCTTCAACTCTTTTCTTTGGGGTTGGTGAGATTGCCATATATTATCTTCATAGATTCTTCATCTCCACGAATCTCCCAGGTGAGTCGCATCGAGCCCCAGCAGAGTCTTGGAAGGGAGATGCCACTGGGGACAACTGGATTCGCCACTGGATGAGTCACGTTAGCCACGAAACATGCCGACTGGGAAGCCTCCGGTACCGCTTGCTGGAAAATTCCCGGCTTTCATGGGACTTTTTTATGGGAAAGTCATCGAACAACAAATGATGGATTTTCCAGCCATGTGTGATTACCAGAGGCTAGATATTTTTAACCAACGGTATACAGTACCGTACCCCCATTGTAGGCCATCCCGCATTGCACTGAGAAGGGGTCCCATGTTAATTTGCAAACCTATGCAGGCCCCTCCGAGACAGGCTGAGAAGAGGTCCAATGATTCCACACTTGCATGTATATTACGAAAGCCAGCTAGCTGGCTAGTTGCTGTTTGCGAACGAAGTGAGAATAGGGGGTGTGGGGGGGGGGTGGTTGCCGAAAGGGAACGAAATCTCGCCGTGCCCCTGTGTTGAGCGCGAGAAAACGGAGCATTTTGCTGGATTATGTACCACTAGGCAATTTGCTGACGGTGGGGTATCGATTCCCCCTAGGTCCGCCTTTTTGGTGGCCGGAGAGACCATGAGGATGTATTGGAAAATACAATGAAACTGCAGGAGAACATGATAACGATCAGAGGAAATCGTACAAAATCCCCTGGAAAACGGACGAAAACGGAGCGAATGCTAGGAACAAACCATGGAAAATCCATTGGAAAATGGAGGAAACCGGAGCGAATGCTAGGCGCAAACCATGACGATGCAGTAAACATGCTGGAAAAATACAGTGAAAGTGCAGGAAAATGTGATAACAACGAGAGGAAATGGTGCAAAAAAGATCGGAAAATGAAGGAGACAGGTAAAACTCTTGGATTAACATTAATATTGAAAAGGTATGAAATGCCGGAAACCAGAGGAAATGGTGCAAAAACCTATGGAGGAAAGAGGTGAAAATGATAGGAAACATGTAGTTAAAAAAATGCTGGACAAAACATATTGAAACCCCACGAAGAGGATGTATTGGAAAATACAATGGAACTTGAGGAAAGCATGATAATGATCAGAGGAAAATGCTAGGAACAAACCATGCAAAATCTGTTGGAACATGGAGGAAACCGGAGTGACTGCTAGGAACAAACTATGCCGATGCAGTAAACATGTTGGAAAAAGACAGTGAAAGTGCAGGAAAATGCGATAACAACCAGAGGAAATGGTGCAAAAACGATCGGAAAAATCAAGGAGACGGGTAAAACTCTTGGAAAAATATATTGAAAATGCAGCAAACCAGAGGAAATGGTGCAAAAAGGAGACGGGTAAAAATCTTGGAAAAATAGATTAAAAATGCATGAATAGACTGAAAACCAACGAAGAGGATATAGAAACTGCAGGAAAACATGATAACAATCAGAGGAAATCGTGCAAAATCCACTGGAAAATGCTGGAAAGATACAGTGAAGGAAAATGTGATAACAACTTGGCAGGAAAATGTGATAACAACCAGAATAAAGGGTGCAAAATCTGTTGGAACATGGAGGAAAACCGGAGCGACTGCTAGGAACAAACGACGATGCAGTAAACATGCTGGAAAAATACAGTGAAAGTGTAGGAAAATGCGATAACAACCAGAGGAAATGGTGCAAAAACGATCGGAAACTGAAGGAGACGGGTAAAACTCTTGGAAAAATATATTGAAAATGCATGAAATGCAGGAAACGAGAGGAAATGGTACAAAAAACAATAGAGGAAAGCGGTGAAAATGGTAGGAAGCATGTAATAAAAAAAGCTGGACAAAACACAGTGAAAATCTACAAAAGAGAAGAAAGTAACCACAGGAAACGGTAGAAAAAGCAGTGGAAACTGGAAGAAAAGTTGTGACAATATTAGGAAAACGGTGTACAAGCTAGGAAATGCTTGTAACAACTAGAGGAATCGATGTAGAAAACAGTACAACATGGAGGACACGCGTGAACATGCTAGGAGGCATGTAACATGTTAGAAAAATACAGTGAAAACCTAGGAACATGTTATAACTAAAATTGCTTTAAAAATATAGTGAAAACCAAGACAATGTTAACGAGCGGAAACGTTGAGCAGGAAATCCGATTTGGTTTCTGTAGATAATGTTAGATGATGAGCAATGTAGTTTGGTGATAGGAAATAGTGGCTGACTCGCGTACAAGACATTGCCGTGAAACCTTGGAGCAAGATGCGGATGGTATAGGAAAAAAGATGTATGAGTTGTAAGATTTTAAGAGTTGCATGGGAAAATTGGTTTCATGGTAATCTGTGTGAAGTTAGAAAAGTGTGATTTCGTTCACAGAGTAAGAAAAATAAATACAATCTGCAGATTAGAGTATTTATAATGCTTAAAGTTGTTTGGCGTTTTTTGGTGCCTCCCTGATTCTGGTAGTTTTGTGATAAGAACTACAAAAACGATCTACTGGTAAACGGAAGGAATAGTCTTTCCGGTTTAGAACTGAGTCGACTGTCAAGTGATGCATAGGCTCCAGGCCTCTGGTTATTGTCACAAAGCATTGGAATGAAGATTGCGCCCAGGAGCCACCTAGGTTAGGAGACAAATGCTGTAATATCATTGTAAGAGGCCGTACTGAGAAGGCTGAAACAGAACTAAAAGTGAATCTTGTACTAAAACATCGAGAAAGAATTTGAATCTTCTAATGGCAATGACGGGAATGATATGCATCTGTACGTCCGTGATAGTATGTGTGCCTTTTAAAAGGGATGTTTGGCGAGTGTGATAGCTGAGAAGATTTTCCGGGATGCCAAACAATTATCTCTATCGATGTCAGGGATGATGCTATTCCGCGACATTTCCTGTAAAATACCTATTTTCCAGACCCTTGGGGGGTGGGGGGGGGTACCCAGGTCTGTAAATGGCCTAAATATATATACTTTTGATTTGGACTGCATGTTCGCCACTGTTCTATATTTCCCGTGGGTTTTGCATTGTTTTCCTCGATTTTCATTCGTTCTTATACCCTTTCTTACGTATGTTATAATATTGTCTTGGGTTTGCACTGCCCATTTTGCGAGTAGAGCTATGTTTTGATTTCTCACCGTACGGCCAAAATGTTGCGGAACTTCGCGGAGAAGCATGGACCACGATTCTGGGGAGAAAACAATTTAGACTTTGAGAGGTCACATGACCACTGTTCACACAAAAAAGCGGGTATTATTTATCTACAATAGGTGGGAGCAAACTTGCGCTGTTTTAAGATAAATGAGCAACCAAAGGCGGATTTACGGAACTTGAGATAGAACTTTTCACAATGCCGCAGTACATTGTAGGAAACATATTTGGATATAGAAGTTACAAAATCGTGGAGTTTACCCTAAAAAGGTCCATTTAATGATTGGAAAATTATGACCCGATAGCAATTGTTGATGTTGGGGCGCTTCATGTTTGAGCCATGCCATATGGATGAGGTGGAGTTTCACACGCCCCCGCGCGAGTCAAAAAGCAAGCGCTGGCTTTCGTTCCACCCCTTCTCAGGTATATATATATATACTGTGTATATATATATATACACACGTGTCTATATGTACATATACACAACTTACACAACATGCGTGTATGTATATATATATATATATATGTATACATTACACATAATGCAGTATTATCATGTATTGTCTTTATCTTATTTTGCCATCCACCAAAGAAACGACTCAGGGGAGTCGTGCTATTTCCCAAGGAAGTGGCTCCAGGGCTACGTGGACTCGATGGAACAGAACAAACCTAGAGGATGGTTTCCCCGAGAGTAGCTGGGCTGATACTTGGATCCTGACCACCAAAAAAACATGGAAAAAACCGGTGCAAAATGTAGCACCAGGCAATTTGTCAATTCATTCCATCTCTGTCTTGAAGTCTAGACATGTTTGACATGTTTTGTACATGTCTCTTTGTGAACATAGTGAGTAGAAAAAAATACATCGGCATGTTTTTCCACCTCTCGCGATTTTAGTCATGGCACTGGGAATGTCCCATGTCCATCCTGCCAGTTCAACCGAGGCGAGTGGAAAGTCTGCAGAAAGAGAATGTGACAGGCGCGGCGCGCAACGCGCAGCAAAGATGATGGATCCGTTTTCCGTAAAACTTGGATATCATTAATATGGAAAACGATGGTTTAAACATGTTTAAACTGTAGGGAATTATGGACAGTTCAATACAGTTCATATTTTGTGGAGTTAGTTGACCAAGAACTTTTTCGGGATTTCGGGACGGTCATCTGTTTGGAATCTGGTGGGATGACCAGATGTTTTCAGCATGGCTTACCCTCTGGTAAACATACAAAAAACTATGGAAACCATGGCCCATAGAAATAGATGGTTTACCGAACTTAAAAATGGTGATTTTCTATAGCTATGTTAAATTACCAAAGGGTACATATGCCTTGCATGATGTAGCAAATTGTAATTCAGCAAGATACATGTCTATTACAGAAATGTGACATCTCCCCCATCAACTTCCTTGCGACAAGGGGCTGCCATATTTCACCGACATATCAGCCTCATCTTCTCCAAAGCCTTTGTGATGGTGGTAGCATGGTAGTGATCATTCAACCACTTCTCTATGTAAATCTGTCAATTTGTTCATCTATCTGTGTGGATTTCAAGTCACTTCTAGTCAGCTCAATTCATTTCCGTTCATCACACTTCATTTCAATTCCATTCAATTTATTTCGCTCATGGGGATGGGTCAATACCTAGAGATACCATTTTGAAGGGGAGGAGCATCCATGAATCCCAGCAATTTTGGTGTTCACCAGGGTTTTGATTTGTTTTGACCCATAGCCTCATGATTTTACGGTCAACCATGGCTTCATCCCTCCACGATTTTCCACGTTCTTCCGTCCACGTTCGACCTGGTGCCGCTCAGCTTGCCGCCAGCTGCAGGCGCTTCGTTGTCGAAACTGCTGGCGGCCGGCTTGATCATGGATGAGGCATCCATCGGTCACCTGAAGCCCAAGGTGCGGTCGAGTCCGAACAGCCTGGTAGTGGGCTGGGGGATGGGGACTGTTGGGTAGCCACAACAGAAAATGGGATACAATGGGAGATAGGAACCAATAGTGGGGATACAATGAGGAAATGAGAATGTATATAATGAGGATGTAATGGGGATATAGTGGTATATAATAGTTACAATGGGATATAGAAACCAACACTAGTGGGGATGTAATGGGATTAAAGTTTGACTAGCAGCTTCTGGGAAGATCCAGAAGTTGATCTGCGTTTTTTTCTTGAAAAATTGTGGCGATGGGCCACACCACTCGCTTGAAATAGGGGATTTATGTGAATTCCATGGACAAAACGGCGGGAACAATCATGAAACTGGAGGATTTGCGGCGAAAACATTATGGTTTAAAAAGCGAAAACAAGCATGAAATCAGTTCTCTAGACCCGTCATCATATGACGGAGCAAAAAGTTTGAGTCAGAATAGGGTATGGTATCTTAGTGGAGCGTTTTCTTTGATCGAAACTTTTTACTGGTGTGGTTTGTGGACATCCCAACAAAACCAACAGCGCTCACCTGTCCAAGGGGTGCCGATCCGTAAAATATCTCCGCTAAACGATTTCACAAACAAATCCTTCAAATTTCATTGAACCATGGTTGACATTTTCAGGGACTGAAAAGGATGGTTTCTCACTTCGTCCATCTTCGTCCCATTTCCATGGTCGCTGAAGGGTGTTTTATCCCAGGGGTGTCCATTGCCACATTGCCGTCGCAGTTGCCACCGAATCTACGTCGTGGACGATAGCCCCGGCTGCGGCCGTGGAGGATAGCTATCTCGTGCCAGAGGATGCCTGAGGGCAATTGGCGAGATTTGGAAAAAAAACGGTGCTTGCAGATCATATTTATATATATATATATTTCTATATATATATATATTATATATATATTATATATATTATATATATATATTATATTATATATATATATTATATATATATACATTGTGTTTTGTTTTCCAAACATTTCAATTACATACTGACATACACATATGCACGTCCTGTCACCAGTATGAAATCAAGGCACCGACCATGGGTCTGAGTCGAATTCATGGAACCATGTGGCTTTGAGTTGCGACCCATGGCCACCATGAAAAAAAAGCCATTGGTACAGGATTGTGGAACAGCATGTGATGGCTCTTCTGACTCAAAATTCGCTTCACTCAAGATGTTTCAGAGCTAATAGACACAGTTTTGTCAGAGGCGCAGTACTGCCACTTTCTCCATTTTTTGGGCCAGCCCACTGGACATCTCTATGTATTGCGTGGATATATCGGATCTGTATTGTTTTGCCATAGAAATTCGATCCCCCGAAACCGCGATGGGAGGTCCTGCCCGTCACATCTTGCCATGCTCGGCTGCAGCTGAATTTTTTTAAAATTACGGCGGGTCACGCGGTCTCCGGCGCGTCCGTCCAAAAATGGAGGTGCAGAGCCAGCGAAGCCTAGCTGACCTCACCATTGATGGTTGATCTGGTAATTTAACATAACCATGGAAAGATCCACCATGCTATGAATGGGTAAATCCACTATTTCGACTGGGCCATGGCTGAAAAAAAAGCAAACTGTAAACGTTTACCAGAGGGTTGGGGGAAAGCATCAGAAAATGAGTTGATTTCTGGAATTATGCCCAGATTCCATCAGATTCCCCGATCTCAGGATCGGTTGTCATCGGGGTGATTTGTGCGATGGTTTTGAGAAGCATTACAAGCCGCTGACGTAGACCAAACTTCTGGGGGGCACAGTTGCCGAGCAAGTCATTTTTTTGGCAGGAAGTCTGGATTGAGGCTTTGTGCAGTGCCAAGTCTTTGCAAGAGATCGTTTGATTGTCACATTTCCTGAGTGTACCAAAGTTAGGACATGGAATTGGAACTAAAGACTCAAAAACATGTGGGTGTCTAACTACTGGAATGATCATCCCACTTGTGTGTCACCATGATTCCTATGATTCCTGGTACCTTTACAAGTGGATTCCACAGATTCACAGCCATGATTGGCTCCCAAAAGTGATTTTTTCTATACTCATCTTACAAGGCTTACAAGGCCCATCAATTGACATCCAAATGGATGTGGCAGATCCAACATGAAATCCACCAGGTTTTCATCATCCTTGGAGGATTAGAGGAACGGTGGACCACTTCACCAGCTGTTTGGTGATCACGTCGAGAACGGTTCTCCCCATCCCCACGGCTCCAGGTTTCATGGATTTCATGGGCCTCCAGGCGCCCGGATTGACGAATTTGGTGTCCTTTTTTTTTTTAAAAGTTTAGATCCCAAATCCATAAGTTGCTGATGTAAGAATTTTATATAATTTTATGATGTATACATTACTATCGGCGTTGGCCTCTTTATTTGAGCCTTTCTGTTTTCTGGTGTTTGGACCGAGGAACTATTTGCAGATTCCCAGGAACTATTTGCAAAGTTCCAGGAACTATTTGAAAAAACATGCGTTATATTGAGGGGAGTTAGCCAGGGAAATATGATGATGAGTTAGCACAGGCTAGCTAAAGGGAAAACAGCAACACAACACTAAAATGCCCTTAAGTGCTGAGTCTAACTGATTTCAGCTCACCAGTGCGTCCCTTTTGTGGGTATATGGAAATGACAGTACTCATGAGTTATGGTATGGGATATGTGCATCCATAGCATGCCAACATGTTCCCTTGCTAAACTTGGGAATCTCGTGTGTGGAAACAAGCGCCTCGGGCATAAAAATACCTCTTTGATTTGATAAATCAATCGGCCAATCATATCAAGAGCCATGTCAAATATCCCAGAACCAAAAAAATATGGTTCAATGAGCCAACGAATAAAAAACAATTCCAGCCGGTTTTGGTGTATCATTCAGCGGAAAAGATGCAAAATGCAATAAAATCATTTCCAGCCATACTGAGCCATGGAAACCAATCAGGCCAAAAAAGAAAAAACAATTCACCCCCGGGCCGCCCAGAAGAAAACGCGGTGAATCAAAGTTCGCGGGAGCAAAAGCCACAGCGCACCCAGCCCAAGCTAACGCGTTGGACAAACTTCACCAGCACCAGCACCACCAGCACCACCACCAGCAGCAGTTCCAGAAAGGAAAGCACGCCCCAAAGTGTAGGCCCAAGCGCAAAAAACCACCACCCGTGCCAAAAAGCCAAGCAAACCCCAATCTGAGACCCAAAACAAACAGCGTTCCGTGTCCTGGGGAATGTAGCTAGTTTTACGGTATGTCGACTGCAACTGAATGTACTGTAAAATACTGTATATAATTTGTTTTCAGTTTTATGTCATGAGCCTTGTCATGAATCAAGTCAATTCAAGTTCCAAAGATTATGATACCCTATCGTATCCTATCTCACAATCCTAGGCAGCAGCGTACCAAAAGGGCGGCCATGCAAATGGTGAACTTGATTGAAGGCTGTGGTGGTGCTGGCCAAGGAACCTAATATGTCCTCCAGCCACTCTCGTATCACAAATTGCGTCATTCGTCATGTCCGTGAGACTTTTGACAGTTTACTGTTTGCCTCTGTTTAAATGCAACTCCGCGGCGCGAAGTTGAACTATGTTGAACTCAGTAAATGTCAGTACTCAATATAGTTCACATGATCAGAGGTTCCATAGTTGAGATGCCAAGGGTTCACACATCGCAAAAAATGAGCCAACATTGAATGAAAATTTTCGGGTGAGTCCAACATGTGAACAGTAGCATCAGGGTCAGCGTGAGTGACCATGTCGTATTGTAAAAAGGAAAAGCAGAAATCAGAATGGTCAAGACTCCACTGTTTCTCTGGTTAGCAAAATGAGCGACAAACTGGCGACCTTCCCAAGACACGCAATGATCTAACTCCGGTGGAGCATACAAGGTCTCAAAACCAAAGCGCGGCATACCTGCTGATAGTTTGCAAGGACCTGACTGTGACTACGCATCATCACCGTTGGACGAGTTTTTTTTTCGCAGGCCTTTCCTGACAAGGACACCATATCTTGTAGCTTGTGAGATTCCAGGTAGAGAGGCCACAACAATCACCCGATTCTGGCTGTAAGATGCTGTAAGTTCGAGGCAGCCCCTGAAATCGAAAATCTCGTTTTTGCAACCTAAGACTTCGGTATCTGGTACCTCGTCGGACCATGGCCGCCAGAACTTTCTCGGTGACAGGTTTTCCGGGCTTTGGGGTTTCGGATTGCCGAGAAGGGTGTCGTCGCCCTTTCGGCGACAGGTTTTTTGGATTTTCTATTCGCTATGAATGGCAAAATTCCAGGAACTATTTATAAAATTCCAGGAACTATTTATAAAATTCCAGGAACTATTTGTAAAATATCAGGAACTATTTGTAGATCATCTTAGCGGACCCCAGGCCAGCCCAAGAAAGGATATCTGCAAACATTCCACCGTCGCTGCTAGAGCAAGCACTTTGTCAAGTACTGCCGGGACAAGTTCGGGTCGACCGTTTGACTAGAAAACCCAACTTTCGGACACCGAACCGGAAATCATGGACCTTTTGCAGACTGAGGGATTTTGGGCATTCAATTTGTTTCCTTGGTCGTTTCTCAGCAGATATTGATTGCATAATCTACTAAAAATACCAAAAAAAGGTAGACTGACCACTGACCAACAGACAAACCTGACAGAAGGCCGATTGGGTTTGAAGATCATTTTTTTGATTTGTGTTGAGCTCACACGCAGGTTCAGCAAAAATTGTAAATGAGTAATAGGTCCGCATATCATATCCTGGATCTCGCTTTTTCTGGGCTAAGTTGGGTTAGTTCTTGGTTTTGATTTCTGATTTTGGATTTAGAAACAGTTGGGAAGGCAGCAAAGATTAACAATAGATCGACACCGTTCCAAACCGTTCTGAGCTGTTTATTCTTTTTGTACTTTACAGGGTTAATAAATAGATCGGAACCGTTCCGAGCCGTTCTGATCTATTTATAACTCTGTGTAGTTTACGGGTTTTATAAATAGATCGGAACCGTTCCGAACCGTTCTGATCTATTTCTACGTACAGGGAACTGCTAAAGTCGTCTCTTTTTGTGTTGTTTTCAAGAAATCAGTTGCGGAACAGTGTTTTGCAGAAGTCGTCTCTTTTTGGCTTCCCGCAAGCTGAATGCAGGATTTGTGATGATGTTTTGTTTTGACCCATTATTTTGTAAATGTTGCGTTTAGGTTGGTGTTTGCATGAAAACACTCAGGGATCTTGTTGCTTAAATGTTGCGTGGCCTTGCGGTTTGGCTTTATCAGCAATCCTTTTTTCAGTGCGATCATCCCTCCGTGTTTCCAAGCCTGGCATGGTGCTTGAAGTTTCAGTTGGTGCTCAGGCGCATTTGGTTGAAAACGAGGGTTTGGTTTTAGATTCCTCTTGGGAGATAGCACGAAGAGAGAGAGAGAGAGAGGAGAACAACTCCATGCAAAGGGGACAGTAAGATTCTGTTGAATGATGCAAGCAATAATATGTGATAATATGTGTAGGGCACACTTAGCTCCATGACTAGCATTAACTCACATGTAAAGCTAGGATTTGTTGCAGATGTCTGTCAGGAAAACCTTCATTTTCCGTTCAGGTGGTTGGGAAAAACTATAAGCATCTTCTCAGCTGAAGTTATCACAAGTGTTGGCTTAGTCAAATGGCGTTCGAATATTGAATAGGAGTTTAGTGAAAAGCTGTAACGTCCTATTTGATAGCTGACCGTGTTCAAGACATGTGCCAGGAAGATTCATAGCATGGACGGTGGGCAACATGGCTCCAAAGAAACTTTCTGGAGCACAAATTGCCAGACTCTCCGTGCCCAATTTGTACCACCATTTGGATGAGTGGGGTGTTGAGCACACTGGAAAGGACCTCATATCAGAGCTGCGCGGCAGGCTTGAAAGAAAAATAGTAGATTCAGAAGCTAAAGCAGTTGCCGTTGCCAATGATGCGCTCGTTCCCGCTGTTGCAGCAACGCAGCCAGGACTTGGATGTGGCCGGATGTGTCTAGCTGTGAGAAACATCAAAGAGATTAATTTTTGCATCTCGTTCGTATCTCGTTCGCCTATCTCGTTCGGTTTGCTTACATTTCTGCATTTCCCTGACAAATATTTGCGATGTTGGTCTTAGTGGCTTTTATTATCTCACTTGCTCCCTGCAGGAGATGACGCGAGCTTCGCAGATTTTGCATCACCTCCTTTGCCTCCACCAGCCATCGCTCCTGAGGATCAGTTGGCAGTGTGTGCCGATTGCGGTATGGAACTGAATGCTGCCAACCGGTCGGCTTTGGCAACTTACTGTCGCAAGTGCTTCTTTGTCAATGTTGCTGCCAATAGGCGCCAATTGAAAAAGCCACCTCAAGACGCTGAGCATTGCATCCTTTGTTCTGTAGAACTGTCAAGCGACAACAAGAGTCCTACTCCAGCTTGTTGCCACGCTTGTTGGGAAAGCCAGGAAGCTATTGCTGAGGCTTTGCAGGCGCAAGTGGCAGCTTCTGACGTGTCGGAGGCGGCAAAGCCTGTGAGCCAGCAAGTTGAGCCAAGCGTTGCTTCAGACATTCCGGATGGCAGCAGCTTCAATTGGGCCCGTCAGACCCGAGAAAGTGAGACCGTTTGGCATGCCCGTGTGCAAGGGTTCTTAGATGGACCAGACTGCAAGAAGCAAAAGGATTACATTGAGACATGGAAGAAATTCACCCAGGAGGAGAAGGAAGCGTTTCGCGCCATGGTAAAGTCCAAATGCAGCAAGGAAACATCAGCTAATGCCTTGTCAGATGCGGGGCCCAAGATGACTGGGAAGCCTTGGTATGCTATGTCTGGAGAGCTTCGCACCATCTGCCTTCCTGAGAATTATACTGTTGATCGTTTGCGCTCTGACTTCGCCAAGTTCGCAGAATCAGCTGCCGCAATTGCTAGCAATGACCAAGCTCGATGGGAAATGTATTGCTTGATATTCTTGCTTCTGCGTAAGCCAGATTCAGGTCTGGCGAATGCCGCTGCAGCCGAACGGGAACTAGGAGATCTACACGTCAATCGGAAGCGGCTCTACCAGATGGCCAAGAACTACGAGGAGCCGCTTCCTCGAGATTGTCCTTGTGAATTTAAAATTGGACGCACTCCCGACACAAGCCTTAGCCATCAAGAAAAGGAGGACATTCTGCTTTTTGTGAAGTATCACGAGAGAACGGGTACAGCACTTTCTGTAGAGCAAGTGGAACAAGCAATAGCAGCCAAGCTTGATTATTTGAATCTTGTGTGCTTTTTTTTTTGCCTAGGTTACCCGGTTTCCATACACCTGACTGCAAATAGCAGGGGAAGAAACCACCAATGATTTACAAACACTGTTGTTCATGAGTCCTCCGCATGACACTACAAGGTATTGATGAAGATGAGTAAGTTGAGCTTGTTCGATGATATGCACGCAGTGGATGAAAGTTCATTGAAGCAACGTGTCAATGACATACGGCCGCTGTATCAGACCACGAGTCTCTGGAGAGGCTTCAAAGATTGGGTCGCAAAGCACAAGCCTGAACGCGATGCCCTGTCCTTGAGCAAATTGAAGACCAAGACTTTGGTTGAGATCACTAGCTGCGAACCCCACATTGTGTCACAAGCTTTTACCACTTTGGAAAATATGTTAGAACGAGCGCAGATCATACACAATGGCCGGCTGGTGCCCAGCGAATGCTCTCGTGTGGCTGTTTGCGATGAGAAAGGATTTTCATCCAGGCAGGTGGGTTCCATACATGTTTGAAACTTTCCATACCCCTGAAAGGCTCCCGGCCCAAAATCTCCATGTTTCAAATTTCCACAGAAGCCTTTTTGGACCAAAGCTGCCTGCAAGGTCAGATCAGCACGTTCGTGGAGTAGTGACAAAGGAGATGAAGGGAAAGAGCTCCACCAGCATGACAGCGTGTTCTTTCGACCACATCACGGTTTGCAGCTTCATGCCCTTACTTGGGGAGCCACTACCTCCTGGTGTCATTTGCCCTTTCAAGAAGGTCAATACGCATTGGCAGGAATGTTGGCAGTCAGCTCGCTTCTACGCCCACGACTCAGGTTCTCAGACCCCGCACAGTTTCACGGACATGCTTCTCCATTGCTATTTGAAACCCATGCGGGTACGATGGCCAGACCTGCAGCAACGCCTAGTTCTTTGCATGGATTCTGGAGGAGGAAGTCTTCTCCACCTCACAGTGGAGACGGCAGTGGTATGTGAAAGATATGCTTGCGACGTCTTCCTGATTCCTAGCTACTGCACCAAAGCAATGTGCGCCCTGGATCAGCAGCCGCATGCCAGGATGTCGTTGCAATGGTCGTCGTTCAAGCGCCAGTTTGCTTTGCAGCAAGGGGAGCTAGGCGTCATTCCAGCCTTGAGAGCATTGAAGCTCATTGTGACCGAAGCTCTTTCCTCCAAGCATTCGGCTGCTGGATGGGCACATGTAGGCCTTGTGCCTGGTGAGCCTATCAACCGCAACAAAGTTCTGCTTGATCGATTTGATGAATGCTTTCAATCCAAAAGGTCTGGAGCAAAGCTAGAAGAAAAGCCAGAATCTAAAGGTAGTGCAGTCCTCGACCTGGTATCCAAAGTGGCTCCAAAGAAAGAGAAGTGCAGCAATCCAGATTGTCGAAAGGCCTTCGCTGTCACCTACAAACATTGTCCCAGCTGCGGTGCAGAAAACTCGCACTTTGACGCCCAAGAGCTGATGCTGAGCGGTCCTGGCAAGAAGTCTGGTTGGGTAAAAGGTAGCTTGCACATGCTCAGTACAAGAAAGCACGTCTTATTTTCATTCATTTGCGACATTTTTTGAGGCCTAGATTTGAAATGGCAATGGCTTGCTAATCATTTCTCCATGCCCTGCTCCTCTCAGCCTTGCTCAGGTCTGACGGAAGCCATTGAACCGGAGACAGACAAGGAGAGATTGTTGGCAACCTCTGCCACTGATTGGCTCAGTGCTGTCCGAAAGAGAAGTTCAACTGCAGCTCTGGCTCCATGCACTCCAGCGCCTGGGACCCCAGCACCTTCCACACCAGCGCCAAAGCCTGCGGCTGCAGCACCTTCCACTCCTCTCAAGACCTTGAAGGGCACCTCGTCACTTCAGCCAGCAGAAGGTGAACAAGGTCCTATTTTAGCAGCTCCTGCCAGTGCAAGTTCATCTTCAAAGGCAAAAGCTCCGGGACACCTTGAAGGCAAACAAAAGGAGGAAGCTTCAGAGGAGTCTCCAGATGATTTCGACTTGGAGTCCCCGGAGGGAGCACAAACATTCCTAGAAGCCTTTTGGCGCCGTGAGAAGCGTAGTGAAGTTAGACCGGTTATACAATATTTTTTGTCAGAATTGAAGAAAGAAAGCACCAAGTCAAAGACCATGGCTGACTTGATCCAGCTCCGTGTCACAAAACCAAAGATTCTTAACACAAGTCAAGGACGAGCAAGTTTCATTGCGGCATGGAAAGCAAATCGCTCAAAGCGATTTGCGAAACACCCGCAGAAGTAGCAAGAGTGAACGCCAGTCCCCACTTGCATGCCCTAAATGAGTATAAAGTCAGAAATTTACAAGTCCATCTTGCAACCTTGAATTTTTCCCATGATCTATAGATTTCCTTCCAAAGCGTTCACAGACGGCAGCCATGTCCACCAGGGGTAAGTGGCGGAACAAGTTTCATGTGGCATGGAAAAAGCGACTCGCTCAAAGCGAATTGTGCAACATGAACACAAGCAATCACAAGCAGAAAAATGCGTATGTGCCAACTTGGACGCATTCTTCCAGGATTCTCGATCACACCAATCCAGGGGATGTTTTCCTAGCGTTGCCATGCAGAAATGATTGTTCTACTATATCTTTTGGCATTCAAAAGAATAGCGGCCCACCAGCAGAATGCAATGATTTCGATAATTTCAAGATCGTAGGTGATAAAAAAAACATTCAGTAAATCTAGCGTTCACATGGGGGAAACCACCAAAGGGATGACTTAGGGATGACTTCTTGGAAACAGCGTTGACAATGGGGAAAGCCCAAAAGGGACAGTGAGGGATGACTTTCACTTCTACCTGTACAGGGTTGACAAATTGTTCGGAACCGTTCCGAACCGTTCTGATCTATTTATACGTCGCATTTTATGAATAGTTCGGAACCGTTCCGAACCGTTCTGATCTATTTATACGTCGCATTTTATGAATAGTTCGGAACCGTTCCGAACCGTTCTGATCTATTTATACGAAAAAAGCAAAATTGATCCAATTAGTTCCAAATAGTTCCAAATAGTTCCGAGTTTATAAATAGTTCGGAACCGTTCCGAACCGTTCTGATCTATTTATAAAAACGGATGTAAAAATAGTTCGGAACCGTTCGAACCGTTCTGATCTATTTATAAAAACGAATGTATAAATAGTTCGGATGTATAAATAGTTCGGAACCGTTCCGAACCGTTCTGATCTATTTATAAACAGAAGCGGTTATACATAGTTCGGAACCGTTCCGAACCGTTCCGATGTATTTAATATTTATAAAAACGGATGTATAAATAGATCGGAACCGTTCCCAACCGTTCTGATCTATCTGCAAGACTGTCTACATAAAGAATTTATAGATAGATCGGAACCGTTCCAAACCGTTCTGATCTATTTATAAACTTGGATGGCTAAATAAATCACAACCGTTCCAAGACGTTCTGATACATTTACCAATTTTAGAGATAGATTGGAACCGTTCCAAACCATCCTGATCCATATAGTTATCAAGTATGTATGTTCTACTTCTGAACTTCCAGAAGCTACTTGGACATTAGCCATAGCTACATTTTCAACTATATCTTCAAAATATGTGCAAAACTAAAATGAACTAACCATTGTTTCTGGTGGTCTTAAACTTAGAGTATTGGAATCATATTTTCAATAATAAACCACCAAAAGTCGGGGTAGCTTAAAACACTGGCCCAAAACCCATAAGCGTACTATTATTGTAGACAGATGGTTTGGTGACTGCTTTGGCCTCACTATGTTTTTTTTTAAATAGGCCCAGGAGTTTGGAAACAAAAAAACGCCAGTATCAGTAAAATGCAGTAAATAGCTTCTGGGATTCTATAAATAGTTTCTGGGATTCTGTATATAGTTCCTAGGATTCTACAAATAGATCCTGGGTAGCTATGGCCCCTAACACAGAAAGAGGCCAAAGCAGTAAGTAATGTATACATATGTATACGCAATACCTTGCATCACTAGATGGGTGTTGCATCAGCAAAAGAGGTTCTAACGGATCAATTGATGGGTTGTGCCGGTTGTGCCAGTGTTTTTTGCGTTAGTCTTAACCCATGGGAAGTCCCCAATAGCCAATAGGTCCAATAGGTTAAGAATTCCATCTACAAACAGAATATGTTCGTCCAGGTCGGATTGCAATTCCACCAATCCCCAGGTCAGTCAGCTGTGTTGTTTGTGGTAGGCGGCTGACTCGCCGCCCCCACGAGGGTTGTCATTTCCGCCTACGGTTCGAAAACCGTGCTCATAAAACGCACATTTTTGCTAATGGGACGTGGGGGTTATGTTGGGGTGGGGTGGGGGTGTTAACGTTCTGTCTAGTGCGTACAGTACATATTACTACGCTCCCGAGATCTCTGGAATGCTTGCCACGTTACATGTTTCTACGCTGCAGAGATCTCCTATGGTATCCTTGCCACGTTACATGTTGCTACGCTGCAGAGATCTCCTATGGTATCCTTGCCACGTTACATGTTGCTACGCTGCAGAGATCTCCTGTGGTATCCTTGCTACGTTACATGTTGCTACGCTGCCGAGATCTCTGAAATGCTTGCCACGTTACATGTTGCTACGCTGCAGAGATCTCCTATGGAGGCACAATGCAGCTCTCAAAACGAGTGTGCTGCAGGAGTTGCCTGAAGCGCTGTGGCGCTAGAGACGCAGAAAAGAACTAGCCGATTCATCATTCGACATGTTGTCGTTTTTTCGCATTGACATCACAAGATTGATCGTTCGATGTACAAACACATGGAAATAGATAGATAGATAGATAGATAGATAGATAGGTAGATAGGTAGATACATAGATAGATAGATAGATAGATAGAGAGAGATAGATAGATAGATGGATGGATAGATAGATACAGATAGATACAGATAGATACAGATAGATACGGATAGATACAGATAGATAGAGATAGATAAGTAGATAGATAGACAGATAGATAGATAGATAGATAGATACATATAAATATATATATATATGTATATGTATATCTACTGCATAAAATCAAAAAAATACACCTTTTTTTTTTTCCGGCCTTTAAAAAAACCCTTAGTTTACATGGAAAAACCAGTACATTTGAAAAGAGGAACAAAAAGCCTTGGAAAACGCAGTGAATTTGAAGCCCTGGTTCAGGTGAAACAGACAGTGAATCACTCCGAAACCACAGCGAGAAGCAAATTTCAAAAAAACAAAGAGAAATGACTCGTTGACCCTTCTGGGGGCGGCGAGACAGCCGGCACCCTTGTTTTTCAATCCGGGTCACGTGGTCAAGTCGGGTAGAATTTGGGACAACAAAGTATAATATATATATAATATATGATATATATATATATAAGGAGGGCTATTTTTCTTGGCATTTTTTGTCCGTCGCCAGCTAGCTCCAAATTCCACCAGGCTTTCGGACTGGGCGCACGTCACCGGAGTCACATCACAAGGCCCTTCTGGACTTTCAGGTCTTCTGATGAAAGAAATGCCCGCAGCGGCTCGAAAGACAGCATTGCCTTGGATTTTGCAATCTTGTTGCATCTCCAAGCAATGGCCCGCCTTCTTGTTCCATGTCGTCTGGGCAGCTATTTTTCTTGAGTTGCAAAACAGCTGCGAGGCAAAGGCCATTAAAAAGCTGGAGAAGCAATACTTCATCTGGAAAGAAGATCTGCAGCTTTGGGACGCGCCGTGGCGATCCGCGCCGGACAGGATCATGCCTGGCACGGCCGCAGGTTCTGCACCGCAAGAATCCTGGCACGGCTCTGTGCTCAAGCCAGTTTTCGAGCAAGTCCGCCGAAAGCCAGCAACAAATTGTGAAGCCTCAACTTCGTGTACTGCAGGCAATGCAACAGGAAGGCAAGCCATTCCAAGATTGGCCTGCAATCGGCCAATTTCTGGACCAGCACATCCTCGGGGGCGATGTGCAATTGAAAAAAGAAGGCCGCACCTCTGCAAAATCCTTGTTGGCTTGGGGCAAGCATCAACGATGGCAAGACCAAAGCGGCAACATTTGGATGCTGGTTCCCGCCTCGAAAGACAAAACCGATTGGAGCGAACCCACAGGAAGGAACAAAGTGTACAAAGACCGCACGCTTGAGCCCTTGCAGCCTAGAGCCGTGCAACATTATGCTGCGTTGATCACTGCAAACAGCACACAAGATGTCCGTGAAGCTTTGTCTTCCTTAGGCCTATACGACTGCCAAAGCAATCTCTTCACATGTTGGAAAAAGACAGCCAAAGCATTGGATGACTGGCGCTGCGTAGTTTCCGGGCCATTTGTTGCTTCCTTGTGGCGGGAATACAGCGTGGATGGTGATGTTCCCCAAAACAAGCATCAGCTGTGGCTTTGTTGGGGCTGCCACACAGCTTTGTTGGGGCTGCCACACAGCTTCGTTGTGGGGCCCTTGCGAGCATGCGTACTGTTGCATGGAGCACGAGGGCCATTCTTCTGCCACTTCCTTGCCTAAAGCCAAACCCAAGGGCAGGCCATCACGCAAGGCAAAGGCCATTTCCACTCCGACTCCAACAGTTCCATCCCAAATCGTCCCCGCACATTCCACATCAGAAATTGCAGACACTGGGCAGGGCGCGCCATCTTCCTCCACAGCTGGAGTTTCTTCTGACCACCTTGAGCTCCGGTCCTTGCTGCAATCAGCAGCCCTTGGACGCTTCTACCAGCCAATGGTGGAGCAATCTGTCACGATTTCTGCCTTGCGGCGGTTTGGAATCGCTGACTTCTTCACGTTCTTTGGGAGCCCGCTCCTTGGCCTCTTGGCCTTTCGGGTTTTGCTCTCGCACTCCCGCGTTCCTCGCGTTCGCGTCCTTGGGGGGTTCTCAAAAAAAAATGTGAGGTGTTCTTTGTAACATCCCCAACCTTTCACGCGAAACATTGCTGGTTTCAGTCTCAGTTGTTTTCAGTGTTACTCGGTTTCATTTTAAGGGTTGCTTGTTTTGGATTTAGTTTCTGTTGTTCGGTCAGTTTCAGTTGCGATGTTTTGCCGTGATGGTTTGTTAGGTTTAGGTTCAGGTTCAGGTTTGGTTGTTTCAGTTGCTTTTATTCACTCGAACTTCAACCTGTTTTACACATTGGAACTCACTCACGTTGTTTTGATCAGTCCCATTTCATGCAGTTTCAGCTGTTCAATTTTTTAGACCGCACCCTCCCACCCTTTTGGGACTGATACCGTACCGTGTCATGCATATTCCTCTGATAGTGTACTTCCTCTTCGCTTGGGTCAGTAATGCTACTGATTGCGACTTCGTGGATCAATGTCACGCCATTGGTGCGACACTGCTGCAGTTGGTTGAATGGTGCTCCTATCCTGCACCTATGCGAGATTTGTGGATCTGGGCGACCATTTTGAGTCGTTTTGACGCGTTGATCACTTTGGATCAAAAGGATGAGTCATACATTATGCGGAGTTTCGAATGCGCGTGGCCAGCTCGTGGCCATGTTCCAAAGCCTTTGCACTACTTGCTGCGCATTCCATCTTTGCCACGCTCTGTGAATGTTTTGCACTCCTTCAATGTCGTGCTCGACAGCTGGCAAAAGTTTCTTCCTACTCAGTACGAGCACCTGATTCCTTATGACCGAGATGAGATGTTCCGGTCTCTGCAGACCTTGTCTTGGTGGAATGCAAATTTTCTTTTCATTTTGACGGATAGCCCACCATCTTCCGGCACTGATGACGGAGAGAAAGATGCAGATGAAGATCCCGTGGATCGCTTTCCTGTCTTGCGAACCAGATGGATGTGGAGAGAAAGATGTGGATGAAGATCCCTTGGATCGCTTTCCTGTTGATGGTGGCATTTAGACCTCAGACAACAAATAGTGCCGTCCACCACCGGTGAAAAGAAAGCGCGTCCGTTCGTTCATCCACTCATATGTTTCAGATTTGCAGTGATGTCAGTTTTGGTTTTGTTCAGTTTACGCGTATCCCGCGACATGTCCGCGCGGTTTACTGGTTTAGTTTTAGGTTTAGTTTTAGCGTTAGGTCCCTTGCGCACTACACCCTTTATTTCCCCATTGTTTGTAGAACAGAACAACAAGAACGACGACAACAACAACAACAGCAACAACAAGAACAAGAACAATAACAAGAACAACAACAACAACAAGAAGAACAAGAAGAACAAGAAGAACAAGAAAAACAACAACAACAACAACGACGACGACGACGACAACAACAACAACAACAAGAACAACAAGAACAACAAGAACAACAAGAACAACAAGAACAACAAGAACAACAAGAACAACAAGAACAACAAGAACAACAAGAACAACAAGAACAACAACAACAAGAAGAACCTGAAGAACAAGAACAACAAGAACAACAAAAACAACAAGAACAACAGTAACAACAGCAACAAAGAACAAACAACAACAACACCAAATCCAAAATCATGCAAGAGGGAAAACTAATGAGTAGGACGGAAAAATCGATGAACAACGCTAGAAAGGCAACAACAAATATAGAAAAACATAGACAAACCAATGCAAAAAGGAAGAAAAACAAGAAAAACCATCGAAAAACTGAGGGAAACGCTAGAAATTGTTGAAAACTATGGAAAACTGATGGAACGCGCTAGAAAATCATAGAGAACTATGGAAAATGGAAGAAAAACGCTGGAAAACTAGCGAAAACAATTGGAAAATTGATGAAAACTGTTGGAAAAACAATGAAAAAGCAAGGAACCCAACCCCGAACCAAAAAAAAAAAGCCAACTTAAATCCCGCGCCCTATATATATAATATATATAATATATATATAATATATAATATATATATAATATATAATATATAAAATATAATATATAATATATAAAATATAATATATGATATATAATATAATATATATATATATTACATTATAAGATATTATATAATATATAATATGTGATATATACATATATATAATAATAGATATTTATATATTATTATATATATATGTATATCATATATTACATATTATATACTATATATAATATCTATAATGTAATATATATAATATAATATATATATATGTAATATAATATATAATCTTTAATATATATAATATATAAAATATTTATGTATATAATATATTTAATATATAATATATATAATTTATATAATATATAATATATATAATTTATATAATATATAATATATATAACATACATAATATATATAATATATAGTATATATAATATAATATACTTATGACTTGCGTGGCCAGCCACGGGCTGGAAATTGAAAAACATTTATTTTATCATTTGTTTCTCATTTTGGCTTCCTCAAAATTATTTTAAAAAAACATCATCTGTTTGAGAACAATTATCATGTTTTGTTCTTTAAGGTTTCCAAAATTATTGTTTTTTTATCCTTGCCCAGCTCAAGAATTATCATTTTTTAATCATATGAGCGTTTCAGGATTATCATGTTTTTTTTAATCATTTGAGCTTTCCAGAATTATCTTCATTTGATTTTTAGTATCACATAGCCATACGAGCTTACCAAGTACTAAGTCCATCCAGGTTTTGGTTAAAACCTCAAAACCTCAATACCCCTACATATGGCCATGGGGCAAGGCAACCTCCAAAGCAGAATCAATTAGATCTAGATTCTAGATTCTAGATGTCTTGGCATGATGTGCCCAAAGTCCATGTACATGGCAGCCTTGCGCTGTTCAAACCTTGGGAGAGTCACCTTCAGCACGCTTGCCAGGATGATTTGCTGACAAAGAAATTTCGTGGGATGGAGGCTGGTGTCCTGAGAGGACAAACAGAATGATAAAAACAACGATAAAAAAATGATAATTTTTAACCGAATGAAAAAACAATGATAAAAAAAATGATAATTTTTCGATGATTTTTCGATGATTTTTGCAGGTTTTGCTTCAAAAGGGAAAATCAAACAAAACCTAGGAAATCACAAAAAAATCATCAAAAAATCATCGTTTTGCTTGAAAAACCATGAGAATCCAAGATTTTGGCAAGTTTTCTTGTTTTAATCAAACAAAACGATGATTTTTGGATGATTTTTTGATGATTTTTGAAGGTTTTGCTTCAAAAGAGAAAATCAAACAAAACATAGGAAATCATCAAAAAATCATCAAAAACTTATCGTTTTGCTTGAAAAAACAAGAAAACTTTCCAAAATCGTAGATTTTCATGGTTTTTCAGGCAAAACGATGATTTTACGATGATTTTTGAAGGTTTTGCTTCAAAAGAGAAAATCAAACAAAACCTAGGAAATCATCAAAAAATCATCAAAAAATTATCAAAAAATCATCGTTTTGCTTGAAAAAACCAAAAAAAACAAAATCTTGGATTTTCATTGTTTTTCAAGCAAAACGATGATTTCTTGAAGATTTTTTGATGATTTTTTGATGATTTCCTAGGTTTTGTTTGATTTTCTCTTTTGAAGCAAAACCTTCAAAAATCATCCAAAAATCATCGTTTTGTTTGATTAAAACAAGAAAACTTGCCAAAATCTTGAATTTTCATGGTTTTTCAAGCAAAACGATGATTTTTTGATAATTTGTTGATGATTTCCTAGGTTTTGTTTGATTTTCTCTTTTGAAGCAAAACCTTCAAAAATCATCGAAAAATCATCAAAAAAACATCGAAAAATAATCGTTTTGCTTGAAAAAAACAAGAAAACTTGCCAAATCTTGGATTTTCATTGTTTTTCAAGCAAAACGATGATTTTTTGATGATTTTTCGATGATTTTTGAAGGTTTTGCTTCAAAAGAGAAAATCAAACAAAACCTAGGAAATCATCAAAAAATCATCAAAAACTTATCGTTTTGCTTGAAAAACCAAGAAAACTTGCCAAAATCGTTGATTTTCATGGTTTTTCAGGCAAAACGATGATTTTTTGATGATTTTCTGATGATTTTTGAAGGTTTTGCTTCAAAAGAGAAAATCAAACAAAACCTAGGAAATCATCAAACAATTATCAAAAAATCATCGTTTTGCTTGAAAAACCAAGAAAACTTGCCAAAATCGTTGATTTTCATGGTTTTTCCAAGCAAAACGATGATTTTTTGAAGATTTTTTGATGATTTTTTTGTGATTTCCTAGGTTTTGTTTGATTTTCTCTTTTGAAGCAAAACCTGCAAAAATCATCGAAAAATCATCGAAAAATTATCATTTTTTTTATCATTGTTTTTTTCATTCGGTTCAAAAATTATGATTTTTTTACCGTTGTTTTTATCATTCTGTTTGCCCTCTCAGGACACCAGCCTCCATCCCACGAAATTTCTTTGTCAGCAAATCATCCTGGCAAACGTGCTGAAGGTGACTCTCCCAAGGTTTGAACAGCGCAAGGCTGCCATGCACATGGACTTTGAACACCCCAGCCGCCAACAGGTAGTCTGTCGCTATCCATTTTTATTTATTTTCAATAGTTAACATTGCAACCAAGACATACTCGGGATAAATGTTTGATAATTCCAATATATACTTGGGATATTTTTTTGATAATTCGAACACATACTGGGGATAAATGGTTGATAAATTCAACACATACATGGGATAAATTTCTGATAATTCCAACACATACTTGGGATAATTTTTTGATATTTCCAACACAAGCTGGGATAATTTTTTGATATTTCCAAAACGTACTAGGGATAATTTTTCAACAGGTGATGGGATAATTTTTTGATAAAAATAAATATTTTGGAACCCTCAGGCTGTGGCTGTAAGAATGTCATAATAATATACAAATATATGATATATATATGATATATATATATGATATATATATATATACGATATATATATATATGATATATATATATGATGTATATAATATATATATATATATATAACATAATATAATATAATATAATACAATATAACATTTTAAAACATAATAGGATATAATATAAGATAATATGATATAACATGATTTAATATAATATAATAGATTTAATATATGATATATACATATATATATAATATAATTTGAAATGATATAATATAATATATTTAATATATTTAATATATGATATATACATATATATATATAATATAATTTAATTCAATTTAATATAATTTAGCATGATATGATATGATATAATATAATATAATATTATAAAATCTATAATAATATAGTATAATATCATTTAACATAATATAATATAAGATAATAAAATAAAATATAGTATAATATAATATAATATAATATAATAATATATATATATATCATTTCTAGAAGCACTGGAAAATCAACTATTTTGAAGTTGGACAACAACTGATGCAATTTGGGATAACCATATACCCCCTGGCAATCACACATTTTGAAATGGGACACCTCCATGTATAGATGGGTTTCTCAGCTATAAACCTCCGTTTTTTGGGGTATTGGGAAACCACATTTTGGACCTCGCATTTTGGGGTCAATGTTTGACCCACGATCCTTTAGGCCTTCACCTGCCGACGCCACGAACGTGGCCAGTGCTGTCTTTCCGACTGCAACGGAGGCCGAGAAGGGCAACGATGTTCGTGAACCTGACTTCTTGCCATACTTAAGTGGGAAGATCACCAAGAATTTGGGGATGAAACCTACCAGCACCATGGGGAACGGAAGATAATAAACAACATGAGGATGATTGAGGATGTGACGGGGTGTGTCAAGTGGGAATCCTCCAATTTATGGTTATATAATGGGGAAATTAATGAATGGATGGACTGGGATTTTCCTGAAGCTTTCAAACGAACTCATTTTGTGAAGAACTCTTGATCCCCCATTGACGAACCCATTAACGTGGATGATAATTTTTCACTTGGCCATGTTTGCGGCTGCGGGGGTGAGAAGTTATGGTGGACAGAAATTCAAAATAGTGGAACTTCCCGTCACAATGTCAAGTAAAAAGGGGGGAATGATGCACCGAAAAATGGAAAAGGGCTCGTTGAGCTGGTTGGTTTTTATTTCTTTAGATACCAATTCAATTTGTTTAACAAAATAGGCGGCAAAAACATCGTTTTGATCCAAATTCCATGTATTTCCAGCGTCCACGCTGCAAGGTTGGCCGCGTCCCCGATCTGCGCGCTGCGTCCGCAAGACACCGGAGGAGTTGGCGATGGTGGAGATAGTCAGAACAATGATGATGGGCATGGGCTGATTTACCATCCAAAATTGGGATTTAATTGGGAAACTGGTGATATGAATCTATAGTCGGGATACAACCAACTATATCCGATTTTGAGTTTGAGTCTTTTTTTAAAACTTTTTCTTTGCTATGGAGAGTAGGCACTTCAGTTGCGGAGTGATGCCTCAAAATCAGTGGGTTGGTATACCATGCCCCCTCTGAATGTGGGTCAAAGCTTAACAGTTGTGCCTGAGAAATGGGGACGAAAATGATGGTTCAGTTCAAGCTGAATGGGTTGGGGTACCCTCCGGTGTCATCAAACATAGCAACTGGAGCTCCCCTTGAATTTTGCAGATCATCTACAAATGATCTGATTGTAGTTACATATGGGTCCTTTCCATTGCCATGTTGGAGGGTAAGCCACTTCAGCCCAGGAGCTCTGCAGTTGCCTTGGCGAGTGCAGGCGTGATGCAAATCAAAATGTGAAGGTCCTCGGGGGAAGGAGAAGACTTGAGGTGATTTTTGGAGGTAAATTGGTACACCATGCCTTGTAAATTTGGGGTAAAAGCGGTCCACAAAGGCAGCTCCATGAAACACGTCCTGAACATGTCCTGCAGGTGCACCCCTGGTTGCGTTGGCCTCCATGCGTGGTGCCGCGACACGTGCGCGGCGAAGCAAGGCAGCATACAAGGTGCCCTGGCGATGAGTTGGCAGATGGCAGCTGGGACAGCCCCAACTGGACTCCAATTGGCAGCTTAAAAATGGGGGGAAAGGATGATAAAGATCAGTGGATGGAACGGGGTAGGGTTGCACTTTGAGGAGCTATGAGAGATGTGGGGTATCACAGATTTACTGGTGATTTATTGGTGTAAACTACTGTACATTCACACATCATTGCTGTACATTACACACAGTAGTGTACATGTTCCATCCTGTCCCCAGGTGCCCTGTCAAGCGCAGGATGAGAGCGAGGACAAACTCTGGGTCCTTGCTCGTTGTGCATCATTGCCGGCGCTGGATCAAACGAGTCAAAACCCCCAAAGAAAGTCAATCGGAGGATGAACATGCCTCGAACCGATTGACGCAGTTTGTTGAATCCATCGCCTGCAATTTTGAGCTGATGTTCAGCGTGTCAGAGCAAAATGAAAGACTACGAAGCAACTTTGTTTTGAGCACGACGGAAGCAAACCCCATGCACGCCATTTGTCGAATAGAAGAATGCGTATCGTAACCGGGTGTTTGTTGATTATTTTCACACGTGGGTTCCGAAGTATCAGACATACAGATTTAACTTGATTTAACGCACATTTAAGTATCCAACATTATCCAACTGTTTGGCTGCTGATTTTCATCTGCTTGTTTTTTGAAGCCTTTGATTTCTGGACCAGGCCGCAGAACAGCTTGCGGCCCTAGAAGCTGAACTGGAGGTGCTGCTCAATCAATGCAGCGATTTGGTCAAGGGAATGTGGAACCCAAGAGCTATCCGTAGGACTTTCTTGCAAAAATCATGATTTCGCAGTGGCTGCGATCTAGCCCTGTTGGTTGATTCTTGAGGGTTATACTATCCATATCTATCCATATCTATCCATATCTATCCATCCTTTACATCTTGGGGATTCTCACAATCCGTTGGAACTCTTTGTCAGGCCCTGGAGGATGAAATGGAGGAGGAACGACTGCGGCTGCTCGGCTGCCACGCACCTTTTGCATTTGGGTTTGTCTGAAAAGACGGTCCGACATCACCCACATCCAATGGTTTCTAGCTTGATTTTCCGAAGTAACATGGCCATTTGATACAGTATCCCCATGTATCCCCCATTTTCAAATACAGCATTTCCATTTCACCAGTGGTAAACATGACATGGACTTGCTAGGCAAGCAGATCTGGATGAAGCCCAAACCATGGACAAGGCGCAGATGGAAAATTGAAGACCCTGCCGGAGATTCCTGCGCGACGCCATATTTTTGGTGTGAGTCATGAAACATGCATAATTACCCCTACATGAAATCGATATCAAACCCATATCAAACCCCGGGTACAACATGGTTTTGCCCATATTCAGTCGATAGAATCCCCTGAAATATCATGATCCATGCCCATTGAACCATATTTAACCCTTCTTTTCTCCCATGAATTTTGGCCAAAAGAGTCTCCGCCAAGATCCAGCAACGCTTCAAAGATGCTGCGCCCGGCTTAGACTCCGAAGTGGTGCCTGGAAGGTGCCGGGTCCAACCCCAGGGCTGTCAACGGGGAAGGTGCATGGTCTGGGTGCCAAAAATGATGTTTCAGATGGTTTAATCTGGACAAATGGGGATTTACCCATAGATCATTGGGGCTGATGGTTTCAAAGATGGTTCAAGATTGGGGTTTTGAAGGAACAGACCTAGATTTCTTCTTTCCCGCCAAAATGCAGCTGGCAGGGGCTCTGCCGCCGTGGGCGTCGCGGCCAGCGTGTGCGTCTGCGGCGTGAGTGGCGAAGACACGGTGGCGCAGCGGGTGCTGAGACGCCTCCAGGAGGAGGTCCACGGTGGGTGGATTTCCCTAAAAAAATGATGGATATCAGGGAGATCATGGCGAGATCATGGGGATATTTCACCTGATAGGATGCTATAGACGGATGATATCATGGGATAGACTGATGAATTTAGTGGGATTTACAGGTTGGATGAGCAATGGAGATTTAACCAACATGAAGAGAAACGGTTTGAGAGGAGGAATTTTACTGAGATCCCAGGCTTATATTGTACACTCCTTGCCCCCTGAGTATGTTTGTTGGTTTATATGCCCATCAAACTACGGACATGTCTTCCATGAAAAAAAGTTAGCCTACTCAAAATTGGTTTATAACCCATCTAAGTGGCTATAGAATGAGTTATAAACCAACTCAACGTTGTAAAGAGGTGCTATTATACACATAAATAGATGGGGCAATCTACCATCAAAGGTATGGGGATTTGACTGGGAAACACGTGAACATCGTGGGGATATAATATTCAACGGAGATATTTTGTCAACAATTTCCATGTGGGCACTGAAAATGAGGGGATTGTTGATTCAATGGGTTTACCGAAAATGGAGATCTAATCAGCCGGAATGGAGATTTTAAGCTAAAAAGAGGAACGTGTACAAAAATGTCATCAATGCACAGTGAATAATTATAGGAATTTCTGAAAATCGGGGATACAGGGTACAGTGGTTGCATTGTTCTTCCCCAAGTTGTTTTTTCATGGGAAAGCATTGTGATTATGTAAAGTTAACATATTGGGATGCAATGAGTCACAATGAGATAGTTTTTTTCGAGGCGGAGAGGCCCAAAAGAAGATATCACTATTTTCGATGCTTGGTTTCCCCATATGTGCCATGGTCAAGAGTTGGGCATGGTCATCAATCCATAGAGAATTTCTCTGTCGCCATGATGTTTGGATTCTGGAATGGGATGAACATAAACCATGGCTGTAACCCATGGCACAGATGAGATGGTCGTCCATAGTATGCAAGCCAAATATCGCAACACAAACGCGATTTTTTCCGTCCTTTTTTACAATATCGGAATTCGGTTAGTAGCTAATGTCCAATATAAGAATTTGTATTTTTTTTGAATATATCCATTCCCATCGTCAATAATGGGTAAAAACATCAATCCATATGGACCATCCTCATGACAATATCGGGATGGGTCAAAACCTATGAAATTACCATATTTGGGTGAAAAGGGTAAAAAAAACCAAGATGGGAATGGCTTTCCCCGGCTATCCAATAAAACCATGGGAGGCTGTTGAGACGCCTCTGTTTCTGGGCTTCGACGAGTTGGGCAGGACCCACGGATTGGTTTTTATACATGAGCCACCGTTTGTATTTTACCATTTCACCATCCAATTGTTCAACTGGTTGGTGGTTTGGAACATGAATTTTATGACTTTCCATATATTGGGAATAATACTCCCATTTGACTTTCATATTTTTCAGAGGGGTAGGTATACCACCAACCAGTCAACGTTTTGAGGCATCTGGAAGTTTTTGATGGGGAATTTGATGGATGATCCAGGAATCTTGGGAAGGTTTTGCCCCGGTGGGACGCAAAGCACGGTCAAACCGATCAGCGGCCTATTTTCAGGGGACAGTTTTTGGAGTTCCATGGAAACTTCAATTGTATAATTGTATACCCACATCCACTGGGTTCAGGGATGAGGTCACATATCATTCAACAGGTGTCGTTCACTTCTCTTCCCCCACAGCTGGAGGTATGTCCGGTTTCCTTATCTTTCCCCACTTTGTAGCCTTACACATCGCTTAACTGCTTCTGAAGCAGTGCGTAACCGCCCAAGACGCCATTCAGAGAACACATCAGGAACCCATGTTGTAGAAACTCCCTGGGTTTCCGGTGATTTTGGGCAGTGAACAAATCTGGTATTCACCAAACATGACGGATACCCCGAAGCCAGTGACCCCCGATACAAATTCGAATGTTGCTGCCCGGCCGCCAGTCGTTTCCATGCTTTCCATGCCAGTTGAGAAGCAAAGTCTCATATTTCTGGAGAAATGGCTTCTGTTTGGGCCACCTGCAAAGCCTATCCATCACAAAATTGGAGGAAGGCATCTCAGAGATTAGTTCATGTTAGTAGTACATATATTTACATTATGTATAATATGTATATATATATATGTATACATATATATATATATGTATATATATATATGTATACATATATATATATATATAAATGTATTTATGTGTATGGGGTAAACTTTCTAAATGAGTGAACCAGACACAACCGATTTCAGAGTCGCGGCGCGACACTCGGGCTGAACTCTGAGGCGGGACAAGGGGTCTGGGACAGAGGTGCCACCATTTTTTGACTATTATTAACCATTATTAACGGTAATAATGGTTAATAATATTATCACCATTTATCAGAGGGTAATAATGGTTACTAATGGTTAATAATATTATCACCATTTATCAGAGGGTAATAATTGTTAATAATGGTTAATAATATTATCACCATTTATCAGAGGGTAATAATGGTTAATAATGGTTAACAATGGTTAATCAAAGGAAGTTTAGGGGGAGAAACTTCCGTGTTACGGACTTTTAGAATGTCAGGGAAAGAGTTAGTCAAAGAAAGAGTTAGTGAGGGAAAGAGTTAGTCAAACAAAGAGGTAGTCAAAGAAACAGTTAGTCAGGGAAAGAGTTAGTCAAAAGAAAGAGTTAGTCAAACAAAGAGTTAGTCAAAGAAACAGTTAGTCAGGGAAAGAGTTAGTCAAAGAAAGAGTTAGTGAGGGAAAGAGTTAGTCAAAGAAAGAGTTAGTCAAAGAAAGAATTAGTCAAAGAAACAGTTAGTCAGGGAAAGAGTTAGTCAAAGAAAGAGTTAGTGAGGGAAAGAGTTAGTCAAAGAAAGAGTTAGTCAAACAAAGAGTTAGTCAAAGAAAGAGTTAGTCAGGGAAAGAGTTAGTCAAAGAAAGAGTTAGTGAGGGAAAGAGTTAGTCAAAGAAAGAGTTAGCAAAGAAACAGTTAGTCAAGGAAAGAGTTAGTCAAAGAAAGAGTTAGTGAGGGAAAGAGTTAGTCAAAGAAAGAGTTAGCAAAGAAAGAGTTCGTCAGGGAAAGAGTTAGTCAAAGAAAGAGTTAGTCAAAGAAACAGTTAGTCAGGGAAAGAGTTAGTCAAAGAAAGAGTTAGTCAAACAAAGAGTTAGTCAAAGAAACAGTTAGTCAGGGAAAGAGTTAGTCAAAGAAAGAGTTAGTGAGGGAAAGAGTTAGTCAAAGAAAGAGTTAGTGAGGGAAAGAGTTAGTCAAAGAAAGAGTTAGCAAAGAAACAAGTTAGTCAGGGAAAGAGTAGTCAAAGAAAGAGTTAGTGAGGGAAAGAGTTAGCAAAGAAACTGTTCCCTCACTGTAAATGGGATTGCAAGTGGTGCTGGTGGAGGAGTTGCCGATGGAGTTTTGGAGGAAGTCTCGCACGAAATGCGTTTTTGAGAGATAGCAGATGCACGAAACCTATGTTTTTCCATACAAAGTCCGTCCCCGAACCTCGATGATCTACCTCTGCGGTGCGACGGGTGCGAGACGGTCTCGTGTGTGGTCGGATCATGCTCGGATATGTTCGGATCATCCTCGGATCATTCTCGGATCGGTTCCGCATTGTAAATGGGGTGTCAACTGTTTTTCGTGCATGTGTGGTCGACAGAATTCCATTGTGACTTGCAACTGTAGGATCGTTCCCGCATTGTAAATGGGGTTGCAAGTGTTGCTGGTGGACGAGTTGCTGATGGAATTGCATTGTGATTTGCAACTTTAGGATCGTTCCCTCACTGTAAATGGCATTGCAAGTGGTGCTGGTGGAGGAGTTGCCGATGGAGTTTTGGAGGAAGTCTCGCACGAAATGCGTTTTTGAGAGATAGCAGATGCACGAACCCCTATGTTTTTCCATACAAAGTGCGTCCCCGAACCTCGATGATCTACCTTTGCGGTGCGACGGGTGCGAGACGGTCTCGTGTGTGGTCGGATCATTCTCGGATATGTTCGGATCATCCTCGGATCATTCTCGGATCGGTTCCGCATTGTAAATGGGGTGTCAACTGTTTTTCGTGCATGTGTGGTCGACAGAATTCCATTGTGATTTGCAACTGTAGGATCGTTCCCGCATTGTAAATGGGGTTGCAAGGGTTGCTGGTGGACGAGTTGCTGATGGAATTGCATTGTGATTTGCAACTTTAGGATCGTTCCCTCACTGTAAATGGGATTGCAAGTGGTGCTGGTGGAGGAGTTGCCGATGGAATTCCATTGTGCTTTGCAACTGTAGGATCGTTCCCGCAATGTAAATGGGATTGCAAGTGGTGCTGGTGGATGAGTTGCCGATGGAATTTCATTGTGATTTGCAACTCTAGGATCGTTCCCGCAATGTAAATGGGATTGCAAGTGGTGCTGGTGGATGAGTTGCCGATGGACTTCCATTGTGCTTTGCAACTGTAGGATCGTTCCCGCAGTGTAAATGGCTGCGTCAAGGTTGCTTCTTGCCACGGCTGCATGCGTAATACTATTGTCTTTTGCAGCTGGACTTCGTAAATCGTATTGGAGTGGCTGCATGAAGGCTGCGACAGTGATTTGTCAGCAGATTTCCTCCATTTTGGCGCTAGTAATTTTCCTTTTAAAAATTCTTTTAAAAAGTGCTTCAAAATGGTTTTTTTGTCGCTTTGGCGTCGAGATCCGGTTTTGGAGCTGCAATTTCCGACCCAGTTGCGCGTAGATCTATTGTGTTTTGCAACTCAGTCTTTGCAGATCGCATTGTAATGGCTGCGTCAAGGTTGCTTGGTGCCGCGGCTGCATGCGTAATACTATTGTTTTTTGCAGCTGGACTTCGTAAATCGTATTGGAGTGGCTGCATGAAGGCTGCGACAGTGATTTGTCAGCAGATTTTTTCCATTTTGGCGCTAGTAATTTTCCTTTTAAAAATACTTTTAAAAAGTGCTTCAAAATCGTGTTTTTTTCGCTCTGGCGTCGAGATCCGGTTTTGGAGCTGCAATTTCCGACCCAGTTGCGCGTAGATCTATTGTGTTTTGCAACTCAGTCTCCGCAGATCGCATTGTAATAGCTGCGTCAAGGTTGCTTCATGCTGAGGCTGCATGCGTAATACTATTGTCTTTTGCAGCTGGACTTCGTAAATCGTATTGGAGTGGCTGCATGAAGGCTGCGACAGTGATTTGTCAGCAGATTTCCTCCATTTTGGCGCTAGTAATTTTCCTTTTAAAAATCCTTTTAAAAAGTGCTTCAAAATCGTCTTTTTTTCGCTCTGGCGTCGAGATCCGGTTTTGGAGCTACAATTTTCCGACGCCGTTGCACGTAGGTTTAGAGCAGTGAAGTGTGGGGCGTGAAGAGTGCAGTGTGAAGTGTGCAGTGTGAAGGAAGCAGTGGGAAGTGAGAAGTGTGAAGTGTGGAGTGTGAAGTTTAAGTTTGGAGTGTGAAGGAAGCAGTGAGAAGTGACAAGTGTGAAGTGTGGAGTGTGAAGTAATTCCATCGTTCGTGCGGTTGTATGTTGATAACCTCCATAAAATGACCACCGTGACTTTGATTAGTGTGACCATACCTGATGTGACTGTGACTGTGACTATTCTGATCATGACTACTGTGACCATAGATACTATGACAAAGACTACTTTGACAATGACCGTTGTGGCTGTAACTGTAGTGACAATGAGTATTGTAACTGTTTGGACTGGCCCCTTTTTAGGTAATGACAGTGGGAAGTAGAAGTGACGGCATTAGTGTCCCAAGAATAAATGACTAGAAAGTGAAGTGTGGACTGTGAAGTGTGGAGTGTGAAGTTTGGAGTGCAAAGAGTGCAGTGTGAAGTGTGGAGTGTGGAGTGTGAAGTGTGAAGTTTGGAGTGTGAAGGAAGCAGTGAGCAGTAAGAAGTGTGAAGTGTGGACTGTGAAGTGTGAAGTGTGAAATGTGGAATGTGAAGTGCGAAGTGAGTGTGAAGTGTGAAGTTTGGAGTGTGAAGGAAGCAGTGAGCAGTGAGAAGTGTGAAGTGTGGACTGTGAAGTGTGAAGTGTGAAATGTGGAGTGTGAAGTGCGAAGTGAGAAGTGTGAAGTGTGGAGTGTGAAGTGCAAAGTGAGAAGTGTGAAGTGTGAGGTTTGAAGTGTGAAGTGTGGAGTGTGAAGTGTGGAGTGTGAAGTGCGAAGTGAGAAGTGTGAAGTGTGAAGTTTGGAGTGTGAAGGAAGCAGTGAGAAGTGAGAAGTGTGGACTGTGAAGTGCGAAGTGTGAAGTGTGGAGTGTGAAGTTTGGAGTGTGAAGGAAGCAGTGAGAAGTGAGAAGTGTGAAGTGTGGACTGTGGAGTGTGAAGTTTGGAGTGCGAAGAGTGAAGTGTGAAGTGTGGAGTGTGAAGACTTTGCTTCGTCTCTCGCTGAAAAAAAAAACCGCTTGTCGAGGGAAGGACACGCTCGGGACAGGCTGGCCTTGAACTATAGGTCATTTATTCTTGGGAAACTTCCGCCGCCGGCTTGCCCGGGTCTATGTTAATATTATCACCATTTATCAGAGGGTAATAATGGTTATTAATGGTTAATAATATTATCACCATTTATCAGAGGGTAATAATGGTTAATAATTCATCATATCGATATCAGAGATACTGATAATCTGAGATTTGTTCCAATGTGGTCGGCGCTTTCAAAAGAAGATGAAAAACTAAGCCTGTTTCACTGGCCTGCTGAGCAAATTGGTCCACTGTTTGAACATATGCAGCCCGCAGGTGTTGGACAAACCGGCAATTTCACATTTTGCATCTTCCAATGAAATGATGCTTGCAGCGAACTCCGCCAACCAAGGAGACAATAAAGTACCAAGAAGCGGACACAAGATTTGAGCAAAGTGAGGTTCCAAAACCAGGGCCTCAAAACAGTAGCGAGCATGCTGTTGATTTTCCATGCGTGAGACTTCACTGTGTCTATTCTGCAAGTAAAACATGTCTTGACTACGTTTGGTCTGTGAATGTATTCATGCTCTGTTTGAGCATTTTTACCCGCCCAAGTTTCCCTTCCTTCTTTGGTTGAAGTTGTTGGTTTGTTGCTCAATTAAATAAAATTAAATAAGATCGCCAAGCAGACCGACCGCTGAATGAAGATCATCTCTACACACGTCCTTGTTTGCGTCTCCGTACGAATTTGGGGTCCCGGATTGCATTTTGGTGTCCTGATTTGGGTCCAATTTTGGTCCTTGTTTTGGGTTCCATTTTTGGGCGGGGCCCTGGATTTTGTTTTTAATTGTAAGGGTTAAAGACGGTGCTGAAACATAGTCAAGACAAGTTTTACTTACAGAAGACACACAGTGAAGTCTCACGCGTGGGAAAATCAACAGCATGCTCGCTACAGTATATATAGGGTGTAGAATTAATGATAATGATTCTCTGATAGCTTCTTTCTATCTCAATTCCCAGAAATCTTTGGTAAGCTTCGCGCCCCAGTGTTTCTGTTTCGCTGCCAGATCGCCTCCAGATCGCCATGCAAAAGGCCTGAATTGGTTGTTGACCTGGGTGGCTGGCATCAATGGCCTGTGAAAGGAGCTCAAACTCAGGTACCATACCATGTTTCATCACTACAGCTTTGATTCGCATGGCTCGGGTTCCTGAAACGCCTGGGAAATTGCAGATGCTTTCTATCATCCCTTCACCCCTACTTGGTTTATTGCACTGAGATTTAGGGTTGTAAACATGCTTATCAGTTGGGTAGGTACGATTATCCCACTTAGAATCCTCTAAGTAGGATTGTCCCCTTGGAACCTGAAGACCCCATGATTTGGTGCTGGATCCCCCCGTGTAGTGATTAACAAGTCCAAGGAGTGAACGGCAATGGACGCCCGCCGTTTTCTGGCACATGTGGTTCGTGTGTATCGACAACTCATGGGAGTTAATTTGCTTTCCAGGCCAAATGGATCCCAACTTCCCTGAGTCTGAGTTTCAATAGCGTGGTTTGGTGTTTTTCTGACACAAAAACAATCTCTGCATTAGAACGAGTCTAAGTGCATGAGTTGGGGGTGCTTCAGGGATTCCTTTTTCTTGGACCTACACTGGGTCAGAAACTGTCCACACTGTGGAATTTTGTAACCGGTAAGGTCCCGTAGCCGGTAAGTTCCCCAGTGTGCAGTGTGCAGGCTGGTTCTTTTGATATCCTTATATCCAGCAGTTTGTATCCCGGATAAACAGCGACAAGTTCTCCTGAACGGGAACATTGCGGCTGAAAAATAGATTGACACGGACCTTGCATGCACATATACAATCTATGTATACATCAAGGGGGCTGGTTGATTTGATACGAATGAATATATTTGTTCCAGGGAGAGTAGTTGATTTGAGAGCTATGAATGTAATTTCCTAGGGATTTGGCCTATTGTTAGCTGTGTCAGTGTGCAAGTGAGTGAAATTTATCTTATTCAGTGCTCAAGTGAGTGAAAGTGCGCAAGGGAGTGACATTTCCAGTGCGCAAGTGAGTGCCTGGCCCCGCTAACCCCGTCACAATGTAACTTGACGATGGCACATATGACAGTGCAGATGCATTCCAGTTGACTGGGCTAGAAGATCCTAAGGGGTAAATGGTTGCTTCGAAAGGATTTTGATCCCTTCCACTTCACCAAAAGACATCTTCTTTGTTTGAACACTGTTTTAGTATTGGATCTCATCATTCTGGGGCCAATGGAGTGGGGAAGTTCATCATTTTACTCGCCGCCATTCTGTTGTTGGATTTGGGGAGCTTCAAAGCTGTTTTTTATGCATTTTTTTTGGTGTAGAACCTGCTCCAGGGTATTTCTTGTTTAACAAACAGTCGCAGCGTACCAGCAAGCATACTCAGTGCAAAAACTTTTTAGCGTCGAAACTGCTTGGTGTGACAGACAGATTACTTTCCCAGGAGTTGTTGACTCGTTTGGGAAACAATACACTTGGATAGGCTGCTGGCTGGAAGAAGGTCAGCAGTATCAGGTATGGTTGGGGGTTGTTTTTTTAAGCTAACACAGCAATTTTTCATTTTGTGTCTTCCATGCGGTGAACCATCGTGGAATGGCAATCTGTGGATACGGCAGATGTTGTCGGAGGGTCCCCTTTGGAGTGTCCAAGAACCCAACGAAAAAAAACTCATTCTGGGCTGGTAAAACCTTGAATTGATTGTTCACAAGCAATTATTTCTCCCAAACGTTGCCAACATATAATGTATCTTAAATGGATCTCTTAGCTTCCAATAATCTCATCAACATGCTATGACTAAACCCAACCCCCCGTGCCAATTTTTCTCAATCAACCCAAGATGTTTACAGTAAATATTGAGAAGAAAAATAATTTCAGTTCCTCTCACCCTTTAGCCACTTCTTATACCTTACCGGCTTGGGCTAAGTCACATCCGCCAGACATACATGGTCCCCAACCACGCTCTGGCAGAGCAGCGCTCGGCCCGGACACCCGGCAGTTTAGGTCAAAAAATGGCTGGTCTTGGAGCGTGTTTTACTGCGATCTTTTCGTGGAACAAGTAAAGATTCCAAGAAATGGTATATTAGCAGGGCTACTCCCAACACAATGACAATTATCATCAGGGTCAATGAGCCAGATCCCTTTTGGCCAGTGATATCCAGGAAAAAGATCATAGGCAGCCCAGTTTGCCTTCATCTATTGGTCACATCTCTATCAGACCTGCCGAAAGTCCGCTTTCTTGATGATCAAATTGGCATGGTACAAAGATCTCTTTGTGAACCCTTCCCGTTCGTTTGCCGCGTTTTTCCAATGTAGCTATGGGCAAAAATGTGATAGAAATGGGCCCAGAACAAAGCCCAGTGGTTGATCATCATCATCATCATCATCATCATCTCCAATGGCAGCTGGGGGGTATGCCTCTCAGGGACATCCAAACGGATATTGTTGCATGTTCCCTTTAAAACTCTATCATCCCAATTTGTTTATACTTATATAAATATATATATAAGGTAAATCCTATCTGATTATCCCCATATGTTTGGATTTGTGTGACTGTTTCCAGATGCTACAGGCATCGACCCCGGTCACATGCTACAGGCATCGTTTCCCACACTGCCCTTCCACGGGTCGGGGCTCTCTGAACAACAACCCGGGATGATCTGGGCTTGGGAACTGGAGTGGATGAGACCTTTTTTGACTGAGACAGATTGTGACATATTGTGACATATTGTGTCATATATATATAGCGTATTAATTTACATAATATTCAGTGTTATAAGTGTTATATATATATAGATAGATAGATAGATAGATAGATAGAGAGAGAGAGATAGATAGATAGATAGATAGATAGATAGATAGATAGATATTTACATATAAACAAAAAACATGTATGCCTACAGATAATGATAACTTACAATAAGTCAAATCTGTAAATCTCATGATCTTCTGCCCATCTCAGTGCTGAGGCCCATCCGGCCCAACTGCACCGTGTCCCAAACGCCCGCGCGGAAGCCGCCCAAGTTGGATGAGCGACCCATGCGCTTCCGGGAGCACGGCCTGGTGGTGATGGCCCAAGGGATGGCAGGGGTTGCCTGGTTGCCCGGGATGAGTGCCCGAAAAGGGACAGATATGAAGAAAACCAGGGAAATAGATTTTTCCCCAAACAGTGTGTCCACACTGAGGGGTTCTTACGGTAAGTGTACGGGCCGGTGCTTGATCAGGGCTGCTCACTCTGGGCGCCGGCATTTTTCCTGTAAATTTCCGTATAAAGTGGCTCTTGTGAAATGTTAACATGCATTTCGACTGTGCAGGCTCGCACAAAGTGTGGGTCCCGGTCTTGGGATCTGTTTTCCTCCTCAACATCATCATCTTCCTCCTCCTCCACATCAACATCATTATCTTCCTCTCCCTTGACATCATCGTCCTCAACATCATCATCCTCCACCTCACCTTCCGCCACATCATGATCCTCCACCTCGCCTTCCGCAACATTATTGTCATCCTCCTCCTCAACATTATCCCCCTCAACATCATCATCTTCCTCCTTCTCTACGTCATCATCCTCCACCTCTTCATCCTCCACCTTTTCATCCTCCACCTTTTCATCCTCCACTTCATCTTCCGCATTATCATCCTCATCATCATCCTCATCATCCTCATCATCCTCATCATCCTCATCATCCTCATTATTTTCATCATCATCATCATCATCATCAGCATCCTCGCCATCACCATCGCCATCATCATCATCATCATCATCAACAACATCGTCACTATCACCACCATCATCCTCATCATCCTCATTATTTTCATCATCATCATCATCCTCGCCATCACCATCACCATCATCATCACCATCATCACCATCATCACCATCATCATCATCATCATCACCATCATCATCATCATCCTCGCCATCACCATCACCATCATCATCACCATCATCATCATCACCATCATCATCATCATCCTCACCGTCATCATCATCATCATCATCATCATCAACAACATCGTCACTATCACCATCATCATCATCATCGTCATCATCCTCATCATCATCATCATCCTCATCATCATCATCACCATCATCATCATCCTCACCACCATCATCATCATCATCATCGTCACTATCATCATCATCATCATCGTCATCATCATCATCATCACCATCACCACCATCATCATCATCATCATCATCCACATCATCCACATCATCCACATTATCATACATTACCCTCCCACTCCCCCACACTGTTTGGGCTCTCTTGCCGGGATAATTTGTATAGAATATATAGAATATTTACGTATATTATCATATATATATAACACACACACATATATATATATATAAATGTAAATAGAGTATGACTAAATGAAAATCATAATGATAGTAAGAGTGATAAAATGATGATAACAATAATGATAACTGGTGTGTAAGCAGGTTACTCTCCGGTGTCCTCAAACAGGACTGGCTGGGAAATCTCCTTTGAACAAATGGATGTTAATAGCAAACCATGTGACTGATCACACCGGAGGGTTATCACAACAGGTTTGAAATGATCACCGGAGGAAGAATGTCACAACCGGCTTGAAGTAATTAAGCGGGCTTAGTAAGTACCCAATTTAGCCAGTCATGCTATGGAAGAAATCCTGCACCAGTTGGTATACATGATTTATATTGATTTATCCCATTCTAATCATTCCAATCCCATGATTTACCGTGTTTCATAGGAATCCCCACAAGTTTCCCCTAGTTCCCCCTGCCTGGTGGATGGTTTTTCCAGCCATCACCGGCACCGAGGCGCCCTCGCCGGGGATCAACGCCCCTGCAGCTTTTCATGAGGCGCGCCCTGATCCCGTCGTTGGGAAATCCCCAAAGCCATGGAGGTAAACTGGTGGGAAAATGATCATTGAAGGGTACCCTCTGGTTATGTCAAAATAGCTATAGAAAATCCACCCATTTTTAATAGGTAAACCATCTATAAGTGGGCCATCTATACCATAGCCATGTTAGTTTACCAGAGGGTACTGTTTTTCGGATTTTCCATGTTTGATTCATCAGTTGATATGGATTTCATGGTGTTCCGATTAATGGTGTTAATCGGTCGCAAACAATTGGGATTATTGGGATGATTGTTTTCTTGCAACTATGGATTTGTCCAACCCTTTGCAGTCCGACCATGGTTTCTCCAACCAAAGCCCCGGTACTTTGGTAATACCCTCGGGTTAGCTGGACGTAACTGTAGGATGACTGCCATTCTTTGGTCCCGCATCACTGCACATTGAAAACCTTGACCGGGAATTTCATGAACGCTGGTATAATGTCAACCCAGCATGGATAAACCCCCTTCATTGTATGATGTGTGGAGGGTACCAGTTTTCATTGGGTGTAATAATCATTATGTTTGAGACCCCAACATTTGATTGAACGCTCAACAAAACTTTGGTTATTGGTTGTATACTTAATTGTATGTACATATATATATATATCCATACATACGTGTATACACATAGTGCATGTATATTATGTTCATATCGGTTGTATACATAGTAATATATAGAGACGTTTTATATACGTGCATAAGGAAATTGTACATATATGTATATACATATATAAATATACATATGATATTACAGTTATTCACAATTACATTGGTTCACTGTCACTAAAAGATAGTGGTCCGGTGTTGACGCAAGAAAGTCCAAGAGATTGCCGTCAGTGGCCTGCAGCCCTGGAAGAAGTTGCGTATCCAGGAAAATCGAGGGGAACGTTCAGACAACTCCCCTGGAAGTGCAATGAATCCTTTAGTTGTTTAATGATTTCACATGATTTAATGGTTTATCATTGCGAAATTGTAGCTTAAATGCAAGAAAAATGTAAAACAGCACCAGCTGCCTTGCATTTTTAGGGGGAGCCCAGCTGGTTGAAACCAAGTGGACTTGACCTCATGGGGAAAAAGGCCCAGGGGTCTCTTTGGTTGAGGCCCACTACACCGTGAACGTGTGCAGGCTGGGACCCCTCCTAGGGCCATCGGGTTTTGTGGCTTGGGCCATAGAGGCATGTTCAGCGAGACACACCAAAATCACCGGAGGTTTGTTGGTTTTATCCGCACGTTGGTTGATGTCCGCATTGGTGCTTTTCGCGTGCCCCATGATTCACTGTTTTTTTGGGGGGTCACTGCAAGCCGTGTTTGGATACAGAGGTTTCCTAAAATGGTGGTACCTCCAAATCATCCATTTTATATAATAGGATTTTCCATTATAATCCATGCATTACCCCCATTTATGGAACCGGATCTTTTCCAAGTCACCGTGTGTTGCGGCACAAATCTCAGGTTTGTTGGCAAGCATCTCCCATTTTTAGCAGATCATAGCAGATCGGAATTGTAGTCACTTTTCCTTAAGTAGAACCTCTATCCGCAGTCCCTATTTTCTGTTTATGTTTGTTGTTTCACCTATGTTTCCTTCATACATTGGTTGGTTGAATCTCCGAGTGTCCCATCCCACTTACTAAGTTGTCAATACACATACTTCGTTCAGTCATTTAGAGATTTATTAAAACCCAGAGATCACCAGGGTGATCCCTCGTTCGTAGGGGCCTCTAGTTTGCCAAACTTATCAAGTTGACTAGTTATGTTCCATTTGCTCCCCCCAAAGTCCAAATAGACCTTGAAAATAGCCACATCTTTCATAGACACTCATCTTCCAAGCTCTCATGGCAGGGTCGTTTTTCTTTTAGATCCACCACTAGATCACAAATTCTATTGAGCCCCAGAATCCCCCACACCACTGGCATCGCCATGTCAGGCTAAAAGGTCGCGGCCTTGCATCGCCCTTCGCAGCTTGGAAACATCTCACCGAAATTGCGGATATCCATGGGATATCAATGGCGATTTCACCAGCTCATAAGGTGGTATACTGGGATATAATGGGGACATGAGGGGGGATAATCTGGCTGAATTATAACGACCTCAGGCGCCATCTAAGTATATTCTTGTAACACTTGGGTATGGGTCGATTTTGAACAAAACTGCAGTGTTGCCCACAATCGAGTAGTTGCATCCAGGTACACAATTTTGACCCACCCCATATAGGAATATATGCATTTCATTATCATCATAATGGAAGATGCTGTTAATATCCTACGTTTTGTGGCTATCTCCGGCCTCAGCCATGATGCGCCAACAAGTTGAGATTAGTGGGGTGCCCTTTTGAAGGTCAATTGACCCTCATCAACTCCTATGAACAGGATGACGGCATTTAATGGTGGTTTAATGCGTTTCATATGGGATTTCTGATGACAAATAATATGATTATACATATACCGTCTCATACCCTTTTGTTATTTAACATAGCTATGGGACATGGCCATATTTCATAGGTAAATAAAGGTCAATGAAGTTTTTCCCAATGGCACCTCCATGGGCTTTTGAGGCAACCAGCTTGGACAATGCGGCCTTCCCGCACTTCTTCTCAATGGCACGAGCAGAGGTCCATGGGATTGACGGAAATTCAATGGTGAGAGAATGGGCATCTAGTGGAAATATAAGCAACATGAATGGGAATCGTCAACAATATGCACTTGGGACGTGTCTGAAAATGGAATGTGCCCACCAGTTCTGGCCATTTCAATAGGGAAAATGCTGGCTTTAGCCCTTGATTCAAGGGTGCTGTAACCCTTTTTTCAGTCAAAACCACTTTTGCCAGCAAAAGTTGGGATTGAAAATCAGAAACGGAGCTTCAGCTCATGTTTTTTTTTGGCCTATGCATGGCATGGATCTAGCACAGCCCTTGACCATGGCATGGGATGGCCCAGGATGTAGCGGCCTTCGCCTCACAGGCGCTTGGAACCGTTGGAGCTGGAGATTCTTCGGCATTTTTTTTTTCGCATTTTTGATTCGGGTCATCTATTACCCTCTGGTAATTTAATATAGCTATTGAAAATGGCCATTTATAGTGGATTTACCCATTAAAAATGGTGATTTTCCATAGCTATGTTAGTTTACCAGAGGGTAAGTTGCCTTTTCCCCATCTGCAGAATGGATCTTGACAGATGCGGAAATCGAGTTTCAGCTTAGGGAAGCACCATTTTCAGCATCCCATTTTTCAAGAAAAATTGGCCAAGTTTGAACCAGTCGCAAATCAGCTGGGCTAGGTTAATGGTGATGCTGTGATCGGAAAAGTTGATACCTACTGGAGGAAGGGGCAAAACCCAACCAACCAAACATGGGGCAGCATATTTAAGGTCGGTGGGTGTACTTTTAGCCATACATAAAAATAACTTTATATACACAATTATCCAATTGATCAATAGTCTTGTTCAAGTGGCATCTTTGCATATCAACCCAGTCGTTTGGTTTATATCCCTGTCGTTGTTGGTTTTGGGTTCATTTAGGTGTCCCCTTCTTCCGGCTGGTATCGAAGCTCAACTTTGCCATGATTATATGCAATATGAAGAACACAGTATTGTTCGTGGTTATAACAGCGCGATTTTTATTGATGCATCAACGTCATTTTTGGCAGAGGTTTGTAACCTAGATTCGGGGCTATCCAGCGAATATACGTGGTTTTGTATTCTATTTGCGAACCAACATTGCCATGACAATCCCAGACTGGGCCGAAGGGAAATTCGGCAGGAATCCCTTGAAAACAAACAAACGTGGTTTCCCAAATCAAAGACCTCCAGAATTTCACAGATAGTTTATATGATATGTATACATATATATATATACATGTATATATATATATATACTCTTGGTGGGATATCTCTTGTTGCTTAATTCAAAGATTACCCTCTGGTAAACTAACATAGCTAATGAACATGGCCATTTATAATATTATAGTTGATTCCACTAGAAATGGTGATTTTCCATAGCACATCACCATTTTCCCATGGTTTTCCCGTGGTTTTCCCATGGTTTTCCCATGGTTTTCCCATGGTTTTCCCATGGTTTTTCCCATCCTTTGCTTCCGGGACGACCTCGTGGCCAGACCCCTTTACCTCCTGTGGGTCGTCCTGGTGGTGTTCCGCTCCCCACACGGGTGGTGAATGTCGGGGCCTTCAGGGCCCAGGTGGATGGGGATGCTTTGGTGAAGGATCGTCTAATGAAATTTACCATGACCACTGCCTAAATGTGATGACATGTGGATCAGCTGGATTTAATGCTGGGTAATGTATAAGTTACCATCTGGTAAACTAACAGTTTGCTATTGAAAATGGCCATAGAAATAGTGGATTTTCCCATTAATAGCATGGTGATTTTCCATAGCTATGTTAGTTTACCAGAGGGTAAGGATGTTTATAGTCATCCCCAAATAGATAGAAAAGTCGTCATCGCCGTTAAATGTTAATGGGATGACTACTTTTCCATCTATTTGGGGATGACTATAGTGATGTTTTATGAGGTTTAACGATGATGTGAAAAATGATGCTTAACAAAAAATATATTCTGATATTCTGTTGACGTGTTGATGAGATTTTGATGGTTTAGATCTCCAATTTTAAGTCATGGTATACTATAACTATTTGCCACGCTGAAAGGGACGGTACACTAATTTTCCCAGCTGAAAGTAATTTGCTTGTTATTTAAGATCAGCCATCATGTATGGTGGGTTTTTAGTGTGGAGATTCCCCAATGACTGCATGTTTAAGACTTGTGAAAGGATGCAATTTGCTCTCATAGAATATTGGGTGCAGCATTTACCTGATTTAACTGATGGACTGATTTCACCGACAAGAAGTAGGATCTGATATCCGCAAGGATTCGGAAAGAAGGGTAGACAACTCACAGAATCGCTCCACAGTGACATACTGTGGCAAGAAACGAGGCAACGAAGGCGGCAAGGTAGCCGACTCGAACGGAGATTTCGACAACTCATACACAAGACATATTATATATGATCCATATATGTATATCATGATATATATATATACACATAAAATAAACGAAATTTATGGATTCCATATATATATATATTCTTACATAAGCAATGAGATTCCTCCGGAGTTTTTTTCACTTCCGCTCCTTATCCTACGAATCGTTGCGCTGTGTCCCAGGCACAGGACTCCTACTCCTTTGCGCGGGCCGTCGGGAAGCCCACCAGTGGTGGTGAACTCTGGGAAAATCATGGGTAAAAACCATGGATTGGTTTAAACATCTACAGGAAACCATAGATTTTCCCATTCAATATGGGGCTTTCCTGTAAAATTTTCCTTAAACCAATCCGATAAAAAAACACATGGAAAAATCTATGGAAAACCTGGTTTTGTAATGTTTGAATTGGTTTTTCAACATCTTGAGACCGGGTTTTTCAAAACGCTGAGATCTTCGCTTCAGAAATCTTCCCATGGATTGATGTTTACTATGACTATACCCTGTGCACAGTGACTATACAATGCATTGTTCCTTCCATATGTTGCAGAGGCCTTTAGAAAGCAGTCAAATGTAAATATGAGCAGTATATAGCAGTATGTCATTGTGTCAGTCTGAGCTCTGGATAAACAATAGTAGACGGATGATAGACGTGATGACGATACGTGATCCCACAACTCAAGGATAGCTATGCATATACCCAGATGATGCCTTCCAGGCCGGTGGGCCTGCTAAGCTGTCCTATTTGCAGCAGTATAGTTTCATCTACCACCTGCAGAACACCATCTACCATATTCCGCAATCATGTACAACTACATTATAGGTATAAGATGATATAAGTATGAATATGTATATAATGTATATATGTATACATACAGCAAATCATGTATACATGACATCTATGATCATCTATGTACTGTAATAACATGTGTGATGTTTTGTTACTGTCTCATCGAGGTCCAAGGTCATGCCAAGATGTTAAACCTGGGCGGTCGAAACCCGCTGCTGCAGTGAGGGCCCGTGAGGGCCCGTGAGGGCCCGGAGATCAAGACATGTTCATGTTCACAATGTTTCAGCCAGTGACGATGCCTATCATCAGCTATTGGTCCATATCTTAGCAGAGGCCTGCTGTCCTCGAAATAGCGATTCATGGATGTTCATCCCCCCAATAGCCTGAGAAATCAACGATCTTCCAGCGTGAATCACGTGTTTCTTGAAGTACTGAACAGTCAGTTTTTGCCATATGGGTTTGTCTGAATGTTGGGTACACCATGGTACACCTAAATCCTCTGGTTCATGATTTAATTGATTTTTCTTATTAAAGGACGGTGGGTATGTCCCATTTTTCAGTCACACCCATAGTTTTGGCAAGTATTGAGGTTCCAGGCATCATTGAAGTGTTTTTTGTTTTTTGACAGATGACTACTCTGGACATCACAAATGAGCAGTGAATCGTCGCTCTCCTTGCGGGAATCGTCTTGTTTGGACACTCTGCAGTTGCGACGTCGGGTTGGTGGTTTCTTCACTTTTTCAAGGTTTTTGTAGGATTACTTCGAATACTTTTATCAGATGGGGTATATGGGGTATATCCAAACATGATAAATCATCAAAATTCTGAGTACCCATTTTTTTCAATCAAAGCCACATCAAAAAAAAAGAAGTGGTATTGATGACAAACTGCTCATGACCAGCTCTTGATCCATTTTGAAGAACTGAAAAATCGTTCATCCAGCTCAACCCATCTGTGGCAAATTAAAGTACTATCAAATTAAACGTGCCGAAACCACCAACCAGGACCAGCTGTATTATTTCAATTCGAGGGCGGCTGAAGAATTGGCATTGTTGGCATTGTTGGCTGTAAAGTTTGTTTACTGTATTACTGACTGGTATATTATTTAACTGGTATAGATATATGATACTGTTGGAGTAACAGTCTATTCATGACTGGTATTTACTGCTCACCGGCTGTTGCAACCGGCTTCAGGGGTAACCCCAATACCCTGCCGGATCCCAACGATATCCAACAATGGATGTGGGATGATGTGGGGGAAGCATAATCCATGTGAAGCCATATTTGGATGGTAGAAATCCATAGAAATCCATAGAAATCCATAGAAATCCATAGAAATCCATAGAAATCCATAGAAATCGAGTTCCGATCCGGAGAGCCACACAAAAGTTGGATTCGAGTCGGTTTCGGGTTTCGGGTTTCCGGTTTCGGGTTTCGTCGATTGAAACCAACTTTCGCTGTCGGGTTTCGGGTTTTGGGTTTCGGGTTTCGGGTTTCGGGTTTCGTCGCTTGAAACCAACTTTCGCTGTCGGGTTTCGGGTTTCGGGTTTCGGGTTTCGTCGATTGAAACCCACTTTCGCTGTCAGTTTCGGGTTTCGGGTTTCGGTTTCGCAGTTCGAAACCAACTTTAACAGTCGGTTTCGGGTTTCGGGTTTCCGGTTTCCGGTTTCGGGTTTCGTCGATTGAAACCAACTTTCGCTGTCGGTTTCGGGTTTCGGGTTTTGGGTTTCGGGTTTCGGGTTTCGTCGCTTGAAACCAACTTTCGCTGTCGGGTTTCGGGTTTCGGGTTTCGGGTTTCGTCGATTGAAACCCACTTTCGCTGTCAGTTTCGGGTTTCGGGTTTCGGTTTCGCAGTTCGAAACCAACTTTAACAGTCGGTTTCGGGTTTCGGGTTTCGGGTTTCGATCGGCCCTGGGGAAGTTAAGTCTTCAGAGTCGGTTTCGGGTTTCGGGTTTTCACAGTACCACGGCTGCCTCCCCCTGAGTCATGTGGCGAAGGGGGGAGGCGCCGTGCTAGCATTCGGTGGCCCACCCCAAGCCGCCCAAACTTACACCTTTCACGGGTTTAGGGTTTTCTACCCCCCATCCCCCTATCAAGGGGGTGACTTACTTTCTTCTTCTATTCTCTTGCTTGGGTGGCGCGTATGTGACTGGTTGCAGAGATGCCGCATCATTGTGTGCAACAAGCATTCGGTGACGCAAGCATTGTGAATGAAACGGACTGTGACCGGAAAAAGCTGGGTTTGGGCAAAGAGTTATTCGGAACCAAGCGTTTGAAAGCAGTGGTTTGAAATACATTTCTTGGCCCCCCACAGGGGGTCGTTCCAGCGCTAAAAACAGAACCAAACGCTCGCAAAATTTTCCAAACGCGTTTTTGGTCACCGCGTTGCATTTGAGCGATGTTTGCTCTATCCGGCCGTTCTTGGCCAACAGCCCCAAAAACAAGGGCAAAACGCTCGTTTTGAAGACCCAAAATGTCGAAGTTGTAAGATCACGCCGAAAACGGCACTTTCGAGGTTCAAAGGGGGGGGGGCGGGGCGGCCAAAAAATTCACGGAGGATGATTTCAAGAGACGATTTTCGACACCAGCGGCCGCAACAAAAGAAAATCACGCGCACTTCGGGAGGCGCTATGAAGGGGGAAACTCTCGCGAAATGTTTACTGTACATTTTGGTCATAACTTTGGGCGGTTTGGGCCCGCAAATGTGGATAAGAACATTTTTTTTAAAGATTTTGCTTGTTGCAGCGTTTTTGCCATGACAGAAAACAGAGGCAAAAAGCAAGGTTTTTCAACCCGAAGCGACGTCCAAAAAAAATGCGAACGCCAAAAAAAACGATCCAGGAAGACCAAATTAAAACGTGTATATTTGCTTAGAAAAGGCTATAGATGCGCGCCGAAGGCGCGCTTTGCGCTTTTTTCTTTTTGGACTGATTTGGCTTGCCCGGTCCGGCAGGAAGATATTTCAGGGAGGCCTTCTCTGCAAGATACTTGGCCTAACTGCGCCGGCGGCACCGGCCAGATAGTCTTTAGTGAGGCCCTGCTTCTGCAAAACTGCGGCTTGAATGGGCGCCGGCGCCGGCCAAATAGTCTTTAGTAAGGCCCTGTTTCGGCAAAAACTGGTACTATTTTGTCCCGCCGGGGCGCCGCATAGTTTTTAGTGAGGCCCTGTTTCGGCAAAAACTGGTGCTATTTTGGCCCGCCGGGGCGCCCAACAATCTTTAGTGACCGGTTTTTTTTGCGCGACTCAAGCTTGACTCGCCCGGGCGGCGGCTCAAAGTAGTGGAAAAAATAGGAAAAAGCGCCGCCTAGCTTTCCTTTTTCGGGATAACAACGGAGCCAGCGCCGCCGTCAGAAGACTTCTTCACAATAAACAATGGCAAGGCTGAGATGAAACGCCCGGGAAGGGCAAAACCCAAGGAGCCCCGCTGTCATGACGGAGACGTTCGGGAGCGGCACGCCTGGGTAAACAATAAACCCCTGAAGGTCCAAGATGTCATGACAGTGCCCAGGCCGGCCCCCCCCCCCCGACAAAGGCCTCGACGCAATTTGGAATGGAAGAGCCCGCGGAGACCTCGGCGCCGAGCAGGCGCGGCAAGGGGAAAGAGAGGGAACGAGATGGGGAGAGAGAGAGAGACCGAGCAAGAGAGAGAAAGACAAATAGACATAAAGAGAGAAAGAGATAAAGAGAGGAAGAGGACAGACAGAGAGAGAGAGAGAGAGACAGAGGGGACGAACAAACTGTGTCGCGTAAGCAGCAGCGCGGCTCAAGTTCCCTCCGGTTAACTGAGCACCTCGGCCCGAGCCACTCTCTGACCTCCACAATGGCCTCCCCGGAAGCTCTGGCCACGTTCCCGTTCGTGGTGCGGGAACGGGGAGTCGAGAGCGGCACCTTCGCGGGGACGTGTCGGGCCGCGCGCCTGGCGTTCCGGCGCTGGTGGCCGACTTTGGCGCGGTGGATGTTGCTGGAGTTACTGCAGGGGGTCACCCGCACAGGGCAGTCAGCTGTCTACTATGACACGCATGACGACCCTGACGCGGCCCCGCCTCGCCCGAGGGGCCGAGGGCTGAGTCACGCAGAAGCGTGGTATGAAGGGCTCTCCTGGCGAGTGGCCGCCCTGCCCCAAGGAGCCCCGCTGTCATGACGGAGACCTCCGGGAAGCGGCCCCGCCTGGGTAAACAATAAGCCCCGGAAGGTCGAGGATGTCATGACAGTGCCCAGGCGGAGGGGGGGTGCGGCGGCCCCCCCCTGGCAAAGGCCTTGACGCACCAAGCGTTGACGCACCAAGCGCCGCCAAGGCGCGGCAGCACGGGGCAGCAGAGGTGGTTAAGAACTTAAAGTAAAGACAAGGTAGCAAGATACCCTCAAGTTGGAAGGTTCTAGAATACCCCCCCCTGGGGATAAACACGGAGGGTTCTAGAATGAACATAAATCATTGTAGCACCTCCGGTCCCGTAAGCATTGTAGAACCTTGGAACCTTGTATAATACATTATATTTTATAGTATATAATACCATATGATGATGTATCTGTACGATTTAATTCGACGTCACGACGTCATCCCGAATTAACGAGGCAGAATTTCGAAATTAAGGGGATATGTACATAAAGTGCAGAAGGTCAAATAAGATCAGGTAAGGCCTTTACAACGTTGCACAGAGAAATACAGCTATTTAATGCTATTTCATAATATTTTAGCATTTGCCTATAATACCAACAGTTGATTTGGAAACACATTGATCTGGAATGTCCCAATTTTTTCTTGTGGGGAGGAGGGAAGGGTTCTAGAATGGTTTCCCTCATGTACCAAAGTGTGATTCAACATCTGTGGCTCATGGATTCCATTTCAGAACACATAGATGGACTCTATACACAGAAGGTCAAATAAGATCAAATAAGAATAAATAAGGCCTTCATCGAGTATATCAAGTTTTGGATGATTTTGAATGTTCTTTTAAGGGTGGAAGATACCATTTTAGAACCCATTTTAGAACCCAAAAACGGAATAGCTGCCAAAAAAATTGGGTTCCAAGACCCCCCTTGTAAATTCCATCTTAGAAACCATTTTTGGGTTCTAACATGGTCCCTAAGGGGGTTTGAAGCAACTTGAGAGGATGTAGCAAGCACACACGGGACTAACGCGGCAGCTTTCTGGCTCAAACCGCCTTAAAGAAGACCTCGCACTCCTCCCCATCACTGCAGAATGGCCGCGACCGCCCTCGCCGTTGCCGCTCTCAGCGTGGCGGGCACGTTGCTCACGCGCGAGGAGGCTGAGGAGTGGTCGCCCGTGTGGTCGGCGCACCGCCACCTGCGGCTTCAGCCGCAGAGTTTGCGGGCAAGCGGGGCCAAGGCCGCCCGAGCCCTGCTGGCCGCAACGGGCGGGCAAGCTTCGAAGCTTATGACCCGCTGGCCAAGCCTGCTCCGGCCCCGTGCGGGGCAGCGGCGAGCCCAGAAGCGGCATGGCACCAGGTTTCGCAGCGCGAAACCAACTTTAACAGTCGGTTTCGGGTTTCGGGTTTCGATCGGCCCTGGGGAAGTTATAGTCTTCAGAGTCGGTTTCGGGTTTCGGGTTTCGGGTTTCGAGTTTCGGGTTTCGGGTTTCGATCGGTCCTGGGGAAGGTAAGTCTTCAGAGTCGGTTTCGGGTTTCGGGTTTCGGGTTTCGGGTTTCGGTTTCGGGTTTCGATCGGTCCTGGGGAAGTTAAGTCTTCAGAGTCGGTTTCGGGTTTCGGGTTTCGGGTTTCGGGTTTCGCTGGTCGAAACCAACTCTGCAGACCTCTCTCCGGATCACGTCGCTAGAAATCCATAGAAATCCATAGAAATCCATAGAAATCCATGGTTTCCTCGTGATTCAAAGCACTTTGATCGAATCCGAACGAAGAAAACCCATGTGGATTCTTCGTCGTGCGACGACTCGGTTTATTTGATCCGACACCAATGGCAGACCGACCATGGAAGATATGGAAGTGTGAATCGTCTACTTAGGTCCCAATCATACCTCTGTTACTCTTGGTTTACGTGAAACGTTTAGAGATTGGGCAAGTCGAATTAGGTCTCGTTTGTGGGATCTTCTAAAAGAAATGATTGGCATTTACCAACAAAACCGTCATTGGTTGAGATCTGTTTTTATTTTTGACCAGCAGAACACCTGCTGACTTGTCAGAACAGTGTTGCACCCAGAACCTGTTGTTTGCTACGATTTGTGGCCACCTTTTGCTGCTGAAGGATAGAAAAAGGATGAGAAAGGCAGGTTTCGACATGTCAGAACCTTCGATGTTGTTGCAAAGGATTTCTTGATCCTCGTTTCACAGAGAATCTGGATGTTGAAACGGTTAGAACGGTTAGGAGTTGTGACCAAGTTTCAAAGTTACGAATGGTCAGTCATTGGAGTAAAGCACCACTACATGCTAGTTGTTGGAGTGCGTAACTTATGAGCATGTTGTTCATCATGGGTCTAAGTCACTCTATGCTATCATATCGCAATTGGGAAACCTCACAATGTTCTTTGGTCATCCCAATGTTGCCTCCTAGTTACGTTTTCCTTTTCAAGAGTCTGCATTTATCATCAGGGTTGAAGTTAAATCCAGCATGTTTTTTGTTTCTATATCAAGACTTTGCATGTCATTTAAGCTAAATCAAGGCTTGTTTTTAGTGATGATACGATGTACATTTGACGACATCAATTCATCACATGAACAAAAATAAGATCATCCGTTGCCCGCAAACACGACTGTTGGAAACTCATGGCCACCTTTGTTGAAAGGTAGATAGTTATGGTATGTTGTGACTTTTTACCTAACGAAATGGTGATAGAAAGAATGGAACGTTTTTTTTAGCCAATAATATGATCAAATGAGTTTGTCTAGAACTGTGTATCCCCCAAGTTATGGTCATTTTTATAAGGGACAAATCCGAATCACTTGCGCACTTTCCAGTCATGTTTGTTTACCATAATGTAAACTACGAAATACGTAGTGGTTGGTGCAATCACGTTTGACAAACCCGATTGATGGCTTAAAAGCTCAAATTTGCTAGTTAAAGCTCAATGTGTGACCCCCCGTTGAGCCCACTTTAAGTTAGTTAATTGCGGATAGTACCCCACTTAATGCGGCTGTGTATATAGTTGCCCGGCCGTTATTTTGATCGATTTCATGCCTATGCAAGTGTTGGCAATACCCACATCATCCCTTACTTATGGTTTCTATATACAACTTTTGCTGCTTGATCATGTTTGGTGGTTATATGCGTATACCGTATACATCCCAAAATGGATAGCAGCGACAATTTTGCAGGAAAAACCCTGGTACTATATATTTGGGGTAGAAAAAGCATGGCTTCCTGTAGATTTTCCCTTAAACCTTTCCATTGAATAATTTCTGAACAAATGATTTGATTTGAAGTGATCTTCGAAATGATTATCCCAGCTGGGGTCAATTCATCCTACCCATCTTCTTACATTGCATTTCGACTGATACTTTGGTGGGATGATCCCCATATTTGGTCACATCACTAGTCTCTTGTGTTCCCATTGAAGTTTTAAAGGTCACAACCATCCCATCCTTTATCCAAGTTGATAATGTCTCAGTTGACCCCTGTGGTTTCAGAGTGAACCTCTTCCTGAACCCGTCCTGCCGAAAATAGGCCCAAGTATCAAGATTCTCTTTAATATACCCTCTGGTAATTTAACATAGCTATGGAAAATCACCATTTTTAATGGGTAAATCCACTATAAATGGCAATTTTCAATAGCTATGTTAGTTTACCAGAGGGTAGTTTTCATGGGGTGAAACATGGTGAAACCAGCAAGTTAGTGAAACATCACCCGACCTGTTGAGTACTACATATCCGGTGTTGGGATAGAACTATATATATATATAGCTCATGTAGCGAACGCAAAATTCAATGATGTACAGAAATTGCCAAGAAGATAGAAAAGGTTCACTGTAGGAATTCGTCACTATGTCACTATGTCAAGAGAAAAACCTACTAAATTCTATCTTTTGGGGGGGTCCTATACATTTAGATCCACCCATTGTATCCAATTCTATGGTTTTCTATCCCTGTCCAATTCACCGCAGGATGAAATTCGAAGAGGTCGACGAAGCCTTGAAGAACTGCACGGTGCGCAATCAGGGATTGGGCCCCCGCCATCGATTTGAAAATATGGCAACAAACAAGATGACGCCACACCACCATACAGGACACCACACCTGCAAATTACAAGGTACTTAGCTAAGCTGGTTCACAGCTAAGGTGTCACAGCTGTGTTTATTGTAGATATGGCGCTCAGGGTCTAAATTTTAGGCCCAACCACAGATTTGGGTTGTGTTTGCTGACCTTTCAATGTTAGGAACCAATTCTGATCCACGTACGTCATTACTGGAGGGCACCACCTTATAAGATCATTTGCCTGGGACTACCGGGTACATAAGTCATTCGGACAAAAGATCGGGCAAAGCCATCCACCTGATGAGGTTGGAATCCCAGAAGGGTTAAGCCATGGAGTCACATGGGTGGAAACGGTGGAAAGTCATAAATCCTACTAAAATAGTTGTAAATATTCACCCTTTCGGACCTCCAACTGGGCATTTTGGGGCTTACTATCTATGTCTCATTCTATATCTAATATGTGTGTTTATGTCTATATCAATGCTATATCTCTATGTCTATATATATATATACACATTTGTATCCATAGATTACATCTATCTATATATTATATATATAGTTTTGCACATCCAAAAAGGCATCACCCCTGCTTGCTCCATCGAGCCATCAGGCTGCAGTCATTTGCCCGGAGCCTTCAGAGGCGTACAACACAACAATCACGGGGATTTTAGCAGGGGAAGCACCATCAAGAAAAGTATAATATTGCTATGATAGGTGATATTTATAGGGGATATACAATAGCAGTATAGATTATAGGGGATTATAATATATAAATAATATCATGATACATATATCTACTTCTGTATACGGAACTATGTATAACAACAGGTGACTGGGCTTGTTCCCTTTTGCGAATCATGGATGAAGCATGGTGAAACCATCCATAGATGGGTGAACTATGGTTATTTTCATCACAAAAACGAGTCGTGGGATGCAAGTAGGGATCGTATGATGTCATCTATGTCTGTTTTGGGATCGAAGAGAGATGGAAAAAATGATGCCCTTAGCACTTCAATGCTGAATGTATTGCTTTTAATTGCTATTAAACAGGGCAGATATTCTCTCCCTCTCTCACCACTCTCTCCACATGGGCTCAAAATGACTGACCCCCGATTCGGCATGGTTCCCCTTTGGTGTCATCAAACATGGCTGGCTAGAAAATCCGCGTGGCGATGGGCGTTGAAATGGGAAAATCTTGGATTAGAATCCAATGGTTTACTGTTAAATCCCATTAAAACCCACTAGAACCATTGCAGCCCATTAAATATTAAATCCCATTTGTCAGTGATACCAAATATGATGAATTTCGCTAGCGCCCACTGGTACCCTCCCAATCACTTGAGCGATACACATATATACCTAAGTGGCCTAAGTGTAACTTACAGTTGGTTGCTGGTTAAGTCATCTGAAATATCATTATTTGCCGGTTGAATCCTCAAAAAAAAATCTGAAATCTCTCATGTGAGCCGCGAAAAAATCTCTCAAGATGTTCATACTATGTTCAAATCTCTCAAGATTCAGTGAAATCTCAATGGTTCTTGGTGAAGTCCATGGTTAAATCCAGGATGGTCAAGCCTGGTTAAGCCTGGTTCAAGCCACACGAGTTCCCAGCATTTCCCGGTGACCGGTCGTCACTTCAAGGCCTCGGAGTCGGCGCTGGAGGGCGCCAAGTTGGCGCTGCGCCAGGTCTTGACGGGCGCGGAAGAGCTGAAGCAGGTGCCGACCTTTTCCCGACCTGGCGATCCCACTGGTTGGTTGATGAAAAAAGAGGGGTTAGTTTACCATTAAAACAGGTAAATGAGGGGTTAATTTATACCTGTTGTTGATTAATAGAGGTAAATGATGATATATGGTATACCAAACCGGCCCCTCTATTTTTACCAAAAGGACATTATTGTGCGGCGATGGCGATGATGTGGCGATGGAAGCGCAGTCTGATTTTGTGTCTTTTTTTGGGGGAAGGGTATGATTTTGTGACGAAATAGTGATGAAACCCTTGACTTCATGGGATGAGACCTTCCAGTTGATGATGAAACTTAAGATTGATGGGACTTCAGAATTAATTATATAGACTTTTCATAGTATTATCAGAATACTGTGTTATGATTACATATTATTACCCAATAATGGTTGATGACCATAACAATAAGCCATAATGATTGATTTACTGGGGTTGTTATTGATTCCGTGGGATGAATCATGGGGATATAACTAACCAACTTACAATAAAGTTTGTTAGGTAAGTTGGTGCACGTTTCTTTGGTTTTTTGTGGGTGGATTGATGATGGGGATACAACTATAGTATTTCAAACATAACTGGAGGGGCCTACATTGTAGGCATTTTGCATGATTTAATACTTTAATGGGGATTGGTACAGTACTTATTATAAATTGCATTAATTTACCATAAAGATCAAACAGCCATATTATATTCATTATGTTGCCAGGGAAATTGTTTTGGGGCAAGGGTGGAGTTAACCTGCAAAAATGATGGATAACTATTTCATGGGATACGATCAACATTAACCAAGAATAAGAATATGACAAATATGCCATTTGACTGTCTGAACATGGGGATATCCCCCGAATTTATATGAATTTATGACCATGAAAGGTAATGTTAACCCAGGATTTTAATGGATGACATGGTTTGATGGTGGTTGGATAATTGTGACGTTTAACCAAATGGCTACTCTAATGGAAGATTATCATTGTAAAGATGGATGCTTTTCCATCAGACATGTTTAATCAACAATAGTGCGGGAAGAGTAACTTAATGCCAGTTGGGTACTTGTTGCTGAAAATCGTTCGGATCTGTCCAAAAATGAGGTGATTTACCCTCTGGTAAACTAACATAGCTATGGAAAATCACAATTTTTAATGGGAAAATCTACTATTTTATAATGGTAATGTTCAATAGCTATGTTAAATTACCAGGCCGGGTACCATCAAAGATGGAGATTTGGGATACAATGGGATGATCATTTCATGAGATTTCACCAAGAATATCCAGTGGGGTTTACTAACCCAGGATATTTTGGTAATTCGGGGTGCACACAAGTGCTGCTAATTGATGTATTACCCTCCGGTAATTTAACATAGCTATTGAAAATAGCAATTTATAGTGAATTTTCCCATTAAAAATGGTGATTTTCCATAGCTATGTTAGTTTACCAGAGGGTATATATTTTGGATGGTAGCTCCCCCAATAGTCAGGATTGATTCTTCCGGGTTGACCTTATTTGAGAAGGGACTAGTCGACCTTGGTGAGTTATGATGTTTATACTGCTAGGGAATTTATCCATCACAGATAGGGAAGTTATTTGTTAAAACTCGTTTATACCCTTGATTTACCACCGATTTATGATCATGTTCAATGGGGAATGATGATGAACCAGTGGATTTACAATCTGATTTTAGGGGTTTTAGCTATCAATGAATGGATTCCTTGCTGGGATGCTGTATTTTGGAAGCAAATCGCTGTTTGTTTAAGTTGGAAACATGGGGCCTTTTTTCAGCTAGGTGGAGATTTTTTAAGCATCAAACCAGGGGATTTATATAACTGGGGCAAATGACAACAGGGCATGACATACCCTCTGGTAATTTAACATAGCTATTGAACATGACCATTATAAAATAGTAGATTTTCCCATTAAAAATGGTGATTTTCCATAGCTATGTTAAATTACCAGAGGGTATCAATTATGGGGATATACTGATATAACCAACTGAATATGATATCAAGCGTGTGAGCAGTGACCAGTTGAGCCTGGTTGAGCATCGTTGAGCCAAGGTTTTGAACTGTCAAACATATGGAGATCAGTTAGGGATGAATGATGCTTGGTGGTTGATCAGTTATGATTTATGATCAGTTGGGACTTCAAACCTACGTTGCTGCTATCTGTTTTTTGATGGTTTATTCGGGATTCGAAAACACATGGTGGGAGCCCTGTTTTCACCCACCCAGCCAACGCTGCTCACTTGGGGATGCCAACAAATGCGAGGTTTCACCGGCACTAAATGAGGATTTGACTATCAATCAAGGGGATGCATTTGAACAAGTCTATAAGTCTATATAAGTACATTTGGTTGTAAGGATGCAGCTGGTATAGATGTTTCACTTGCAAAATGATTGGAGATATTGTCGCTAATCATCTTGGAATGAACTGAGTCTCCATTTAGAAGTAGGGATCATAGTAACCGGGACGATCAACATGAAGTGTGCACAAATCAGCAATACTTAGTATGTGATATGAGGCACAGAACATCATTGCGGAGATCTAAACGACTGGGAACCTCTGAAGCAAAAACGGGTAAAACATCCACATGAAAACCACTTATGACCGCGATGTTTCCAGCCAAGAATCCACAATATAGACATACAACCCATTTTTCTACTGAACATATCCTAGCTATCCCTGGCTACAAACCATGTTTGAACCACCAATATGTTTGAACCACTCAGTTGCGCTGCCCTTGGATCCTTGTCATTCGCAGAACTCAGGTGATCTTGTTAAGCCATGTTGGGGCACAGGACAGCAAGGGAGGGCCCGGAAGCTAAGGATTCGGCGCATGGCGCAGGTTTGAGTTTTTTTTCTTTAGGGAGAAACATGGAGAACTTGAATCTATCTATCTATATATATAGATCATATCTCTCTCTGGCGAATGGTTTTTTGGGGGTTAATGATGACTTATGCGGTGGATCTCACCCTCATGGTGAATTGATGTTGATTGATATTAAATGATATTAAATGATGTCAGTATTGGGGTATTGGATTTTTCATGGGGCATGGGATTTTGGTGTGGGACGGTGTGGGACGGTGTGGAACTATTTTTGGGATGATATAGGGATGAATTTTCACTACGAGGTGGGGGCCCCTGGAGAACTAAGTTGGTGCACATAACTGGGTTAATATGATGGTGTATGGTAGATATGACAATACTTAATGGGGTTTATAAACCAACAAACATAACTAGGGTGCCGCACCTTGTACAGATGATGGGCAACATAATTGGTGGGTGAATGGTCGGTTGCTGGCTTGTGCTCTTGCAACTTTCAGGGTGGAATATAACACACACCCTGCTGGAAATGGATGAACTCTAGGTTAGTACCCAAGAAAGGTGATGGATTTGCCCAGATAAAATTGAAGTTCTGAATCCAAAAAACATGGGAGCTCAACAGCCAAAATTGAGATGCCTTTCTTTCAGCTAATCTTAAGCACTCAATTTATCAAGTCAACTACTTTGGGATGCAGTTCCAGTTAGCAGTGGATATGCTTCACCATAGTCATAGAGATTATAGTCCAATAGAGGTTTTATTCTATTTTATGGGGTGAACTCAACATTGTCACACCCAGAAAAAGTATCCCCAACCGCAACCCCAAGTAGCTTCTGTATATCCCATGATATCCCATCATATCCTATATAAATCCCATTATAAATCCGTTCTGAAATCGCCATGAAAATCCCATGATCCCATCGGCCATGACTAATATCAACCCATCGAAAAAATCCCATGATCCCATCAGATCCCCATGGGTTTCACCGCAAGGCGAGCGCCGGTTCACCGCAACGAGGTTCAACCTGGGTGCTTTCTTCAGCCCCAGTGGGACCTCCTGGGCCAGCATTGAGGTGCTGATCGTGCCGGGATGACGGGATGGTTATTTTATGGCATATTTTTTTGGATATTTATGGGATATGGGATAGTTATGGGAATATTATAAAATGGGATTTTCCATTTATGGATTATAAAATGAGATTTATTATAGTTATAACTATCCCATTTATAGGATATTTTATGGCATAGTTACAGGATATATTTTATAAAATGGGATTTATATAACTAATATATGACTATCAAGGGAATGATGGGGATTTTCCATTTATGGAAACCCCAATATACCCTCTGGTAAACATACCAAAAAACTATGGAACGATCCACCATGCTATTAATGGGAAAACTCACTATTTCTATGGTCATTTTCAATAGCTATGTAACAAATTACCAGGGGTAGATGCAAATGGGATATCTAATGGGCTAGGCAAATGGGATATCTAATGGGATATCTAATGGGATTTAATGGGCTAGGCAAATGGGATATACAAATGGGATATCTAATGGGATATAATGGGAGATTCATGGGATATGCAAATGGGATATCTAATGGGATTTTTCATGGGATATTCATGGGATTTAACGGGGATATTCTTACCTGTACACAGCATGTATATTTATCGATGCCGCCATAGGATGAGCTGACCTCTACAGCCCGGAGCGCCAGGGTGACGGCGTGGCAATGGGAGATTCAACCGTTTGACCGTTTGTAGATGATGTTTAGACGATCACAATATCAACATAGCTGATTTTCGATTGTTTCAGTATCAGGAGTTGATCTCAAGAAAACCAAACGGCTATTTTTTTAAGCACATCCTAGTTTTTTTTTTCCCGGATGGAAGGCTTATTAGTTCTAAACGTTTGGGGGGAGCATGATTTAATCTATACACCAACAAACCACGGGGTCCCCTATGACAGTGCACTTAAAGACCAGAAATTTCACGGCGCCTCTAAGGTGCCGTGCGGGGGTTCTGCGTATTTCGGATGGATGGGGATTTTGAGAATCACCAAAAAAATGCGGGTTTTGATGGATTTCATATGAAATCGATGGTAGAAAAGCATGCAAAACCTCTGCAAGGGTTCGCTCAGGAAGTGATTTTCGACAACCCTTCCAATAGTTTGCACACTTTTTTCTCGTCTTTGTGTCCGCATCAAACTTTTGTTTGGCCATATTTGTGGCACAGGTCAGCAAGACCTTTCCAAAGCAATTGTTCGCACCTTCAAGAAGCACAACAAGAACATCTTATGACGTAGCATCCTGTGATATAAATATAACGTAGCTTGTAGTTATAGAAGAAGTCCAAAAACACTTATCATACCGTAGCATGAACTCTAGAAAAGTTATTGTGACGTAGCATCAAGGACGTTATTACCCCAACCCACCCTGCCAAAACAACCCCACCCCAAGTCTATGACGTAGCAACAGGAACAGTATATAACGTAGCGACAGAGGATGTGGACGTGCAATAAGGAAGGTCTTCTGACGGTAGCATCACGCTAATTTCGCAAGTGCAAGCACGTTATTGCCCCAACCCACCCAACCAACCCCACCCCAAGTCTATGACGTAGCAACAGAAACAGTATATAAACAATAGTAAAAAGTACACGAATGCACGGCATCTTATAGGCGCCGACACCAAAAACACACATTTAAAGATGTTTTGTTTGTGCGTATAGCTGGTTTAGCTATCTGTTGTGTGCAACAATGACTTAGCGTATCTTAGCCCCAACCAGTGATATCAGGCGTGTGCCTTCACATTGTTGCTTCTATCCCCATAATTAAACAAAACCATATACTGCTATGTTCGAATTTGGAAACTCTTGACCCATACAATTCATCCGAATGTTGCACGTATCTATAGAAGTTATGTATGTATGCCATGTTGGATATGTCTGTCTTTTTGATGCAACAGAGTAAGAATAATATCTTGATCAGCATTTTTTTAAAATGTACAATGAATATAGCTTCAGTATAGATTCCATATACTTTAATATACCAGTTTATTGACCATAAACATATCTTTAATAAACCTTTAGTAAACTCTTGGCATACCTTCAGTATCCCTTTTTAAATACAATCTAAAAACTTTGATATACTATTCAATATACCTGTAGCATTCCATTGGATAACGATGAAGCTACCTTTAATATACAATTTAGTTGGCCTTGAAAATACCTGTAGTATACTTTAAATATACCTTCAATGCATAAAACTTCACTACACCATTTAATCTATATATCTTAAATATACAATTTAATCTACCTTAAATATACCATTTTATTGGCCATGAACACATCTTTAATGCACCTTTAGGATACCTCCCTACCTCTAGAATACCTTTTATTTTCCATTTAATTTGTCTTTAATAAACCTTTAATGTACCATCTATACTTAATTTACCATTTAAGAATCGTTAATATTCCATTTGATATACCATTAATATATTATTAAACAATATTAAACATACCGTTTACTACACCTTTAATATACCTTGAAGGTATATACTTTAATATACTATTTAAGTGACCTTGAAAATACCACTATGCCTCCAAAATACCTTTTACTTACCATTTAGTTTGTCTTTAATAAACCTTTAATATACAATCTATACTTAGTTTAATGTAAGAATCATTAATATTCCATTTGATATACCATTACTATATGATTTAATATGCGTTTAGCATACCATTTTATATACCATGAATCTACCTCTAATATACCATTTGATTGACTTTGAAAATACCTTTAATATACCTTTAGTATACCATCTAATACACCTCTAATATACCATTTAACATACCTGTAGTATACCTGTGATATTCCAGTCTGGCTATGAATATATATATATATACAAATATAATATATAATATATGTATATATCTTTAGTATATTTTTAAAATACCTTGTGTTTACCACGTGTTTGCTTTTAATATACCTTGAATATACCATTGCCAGCTCTCAAAAACGGCGTTTTTTTTTTTGGGGGGGGTAGCATATATATATATATTAAATACACATTAATACACCAAATATATAAATTCCATCCATCGAATCCACATGATCCGCGCCAAGGCCCGCGCTCGAAGCGCCCAAAAGGCGCTACGCCACGTCATCGCAGCTCGGTTCGCGCAGGACGACTCGAGGGGACTCCGAAGTCACGACGTGCTGTGGTGCTGTGTAGCTAAACACGTAAACATACAATGCAGCATGTGTTCATGTGTATATATAGCTAAACAAAATGCCTAAGTTATCTAAGTTCACATTAGTTCACATGATTGGCGTTTATGTATACAATGGATATAAAATGGGAATATACCAACCAGAATGGGGATTTTTCGTATGATCTATGTGGAGGTTTCCTAAGTGAGGGTGCACCCCTATCCAAGTCACAACAACGGTTCATGGAAAACCGGTTCATTCACTGATCCTGAACCATTACAACCATAGTTGCTATAGTTGAGGTCCAGTTACCGTACTAATAGGTTAAATTGCGACCTGACCTGTCAAAACATCAACTTTGTTTTATAGTAGCCTACAGTAAATTAACATGGGCCCTGAACATAGCAATGTTTTAGTAGAAACTAATCTTCCAACCTCCCAGCAAATAGAGGTGAGACATGATGTTTTACATCTAATGTGATCTCTTTGCAAAACACTTATAGTGGGCCTGAAACTATCAATGTTGTTACTATGTCCAATCAGAAAAGTTGGAAACCTGTGAGGGGGACAGCATCATCTAATCCATTCGATCCTGGATCCAAGTTGTTGCTCATTTTGAAACCAAGGTTCTGAGGCTTCGCGCTATTGTAGGAAAACCCCAAAGTGGGAATGTAATCCTATAAGTGAATTTTCACAATAGTAGTGAATGGCCATTAACTATTGTGAAAACTATATATTAGTGAACGGACATTTCTTAACTATCGATGTATCAGTCAATGATTTTTTGGTAACATGACCTGATGGGAATCCAAGCCATGACACCGGCAGATGTTTGTTTGGACTGCGCGTGGATTTTTAAAGGTTGGCAGTTGGCAGAGGTGTGAAAGAGCTGGCTTGGTCTGGGTATCGTTGTTGATTCTAGGTGACAATGTTGTCATGCTTCAACTTGAATCTAGTTGATATCTACGAGTAAACTGTGTGTGGTTGACAAATACATCATAAAAACAGGATTACCCGGGGTAAACTAACATAGATGGACACCCGAATGGTTTCCCATTCGGAAGAGAATCAAGAAAATGGTGGGATTTCCACATCTACATTGGTTTAAAGGGTAGATTGATGTAGTTTCTTTTTTAAGTTAATCTAACATAGATGTCTTTTCCACTTAACCTAAACACTGAATATATTTAGTTTCAGAGATGGTTTTTTCCAGTTAAGCGTTCTTTTCCAGCACATATTCCCAAGCTAAGCCCAGGGGCGTTGGACAGATCCGAGGTACGGGTTTCGGATCCTCCACCTACATCAGCGTCGAGACAGGCCGGTCCAGAAATCATCACCATGGGAGTCAGTGGGATATATAAACTTTTTCATTGTGGATTATCTATTTATATATCTATATATAATTGTAGATATTATATATGTATATATTTGTATCTGTATCTGTATATGTATAAACGTTAAGTTTTTTCTGCAGGTGTCCCTTGCTGGTTACATCCTTGCAAAACAGGGCCAAATATGTGGCTCCTTCAACTGCCCTGTTGATTTATGCTGGTTGTCTCTGGTTGTCCGCTGGACTTGTTTAGGCCTCCCTTGAAACATTACAGTATGGGAATACATGTTTGGAGGCGATACAATGAGAAGGCCCTATTGTTGGGGCCCATTTTCATCCCAAAAGTAAGTTCCAACACTTATGGTGAGGAGTGATGGGGGAGATCATTTGATGTTTTGCCACTGCTCCAGGCAACAAAAAAAACTCCTGAAATATTTGAAACATTGGATGGACATGAACTCAGACCCCTCAAGCCATAACGAGTTGTTACATATCATGAGCTATCATTTTTTTGTGCAAGTGATCAGCCATCAAGCATCACTCACATTTTTTGGTACGTTTTTGGTGGCTCCTTTGAACCAAGGCATGACATTGTCATGACCTAAATCCAGGGAGTCGAGCAACGCAGGTGCGATGTTTGCCTGCAGATGAAAGCGCCTCGGCGCTGGATGACGATTCGGCTTTTTCTTGTAGGGGTAAACATATGTCCAAGAAACCAAGTGATCAAACACGGAAATATACATACATACATACATACATTTACCAGGAATTTGACTTATGTAAAATTAATTAAAATTATGTATTGTAGATAGTACAGGAGTTACACATGGCACACTGTCATTCTCAAGAGTGAGCACGTGGTGCGCATGTGACACGCTTCATTTACACTCTGGCAATCAAGCCTAGCAATGGAAAATCCACCATTTACAGTGGATTTTCCAATTCAAGCCTCCATTTATAATAGGGGATATGGCAGCTAGCCATGTTTGATTGCCAGGGTAACAATGGTAGATGATTTTGCTGCAGATGGAGATTCTTCATCCCTGAATGCCTGACTGACCCTACCTTGGTACATTCCTCCATTGCTGGGAGGAGTATGGGTTCTTTGCCTTCCTTAGTTGTTCGGGTATTTGCGAATCAATCTACATATTCACCTATTTTCTTGCACTTGTAGTGCCACATACTGGTACCAAGGATGACCATGGCAATCTTTTTAGTGTTTTTTACTTGGAAGGTGAACTGGATCTGAAACTGATCCATGGCTACACATGCACATTCATACACACATATATATATATGCATACAATTATGCAGGCATACCCAAGCCAAGTAAATACATGACATGTGTATATATATATATACATACAATATATATATATACACACTGTATGTATATATATATACACCTACAATAGGCAATGTATTGAGACCCGAGGTGCCGAGGGCTACACCAGCCCAGAAACAGCGGCAGAGGCCATCTACCAGGCCGAAGCGAAACAGACGTGTGCATAGCGACGAGACGTGTCGGAAAGTGTGGTTTTAACATGTAAAAAAACCCTTCAAGAGTGGGGATTGAACCAGGTTTTAACTGTTTTAACCGCAAAAAAAAATAGACAATGGGGAAAAGTAATAGTCACAATGACCAAGAATGGGTCTGTATACAAATATGATTAGCATGAACATATATAATATATGGTTTGCCCAAACATGTGGCAGTTTCGATGGGAAAATGATGATCAACCATCAGATTCTCCAACCTATCTTCAACAAAACTGGGGTTTGAACCAGCTGGATGATCCCGAAAATGTGTTGCAAGATGGGTCGAAAATAGAAACTAATGAAATATTATAGAATATGTTCCAACATGCATCCATACGTAAATATCTGCTATATACACGTGTATGTCAGTATTTATATATATATACACGCACCCGTAATATATATATATATACACACCCGTAATATATATGTAAATATATACACGTTTATATACGTATATATATATATATATACACATTGCCTATATATATATATATTCATATGCCTCTATGTATATACAGATATATGCATACATATTTAAATACATATATATATAAACATATATATATACATATATATATACATACATACATACATACATACATGAATACATACATACATACATACATACATACATACATACATACATACATACATACATACATACATGTAAATAAATAGATAAATATGTTTACATATATATATATATACAAATATATATATATATACAAATATACATATATATATGTACATATATATATATGTACATATATATATAGATATACATATATATATACATATATATATATATATACAAATACATATATATATATGAATCCCAACAATCTTCGGGGACCCATCCCCACGATTAGTCTTGTTATTTGATGGATACGGTAGCCGCAAAAACGTTTGCGGCGAAATCTGAGGATGGGCTCAGACGATCTTTCAAGTTGGTTGCATCCCAAAAATTGGGATACTCTATGCCCCAAAGTCCGTTATACTATGGTGGCCATAGTTATCATTCTTAGTGTTTATATGTCATATGATAGTTGTATATATCAGAATGTCCCAAAGTCAGATATCCACCATCACTATTAACCCTCCTCTTTGGGTAAAAAAAATCTGGAGTTTGGCATCGCTCTGGCCACTGCTCTTGGGCCAGGTCTTCAATCGCTCCGTGAATTCGAGCTTCATTGTGCTGGAGGCGCTGAAAGATGCTGATGAAATGGATGAAATGGTGCGATTCTATGATTTCTACATACTGTAGCTTTAAGGAAAATGCGGGGGAAGAAAACAACAAAGACATCAAAACACATGGTAGAGTGGTCGCACTGCTTCAGTCCCCATTTTTTTGACTTGGGTTCGTTTGAAAATAGGGTACCAATGATCCATCGGACAGAAACTGGGAATAAATCTGCCATTTTCAGACAACGAACAATGCCAAAACATGTAATATATACACATGCCAATGTCTTATATAATGTTATATATGTATATGTATATACATATATGACATATATTGTCTATATTTATGTCTATCTGGGCCTTTATTCGTTACACCGATAAATGCTCAGCTGCCTACAGTAGCACTTTTTGGTGATTCGTAGCACTTTTCTAACCGCACTTTGGCACCAAAATTTGTACCAAATTCCTGCCCAAAGCGGGCGCAAAAACCCGTCAAACGAACGCAAAAAATGTCAAACAGGTGCGAACAACAATTTTTGCCAGGAGCCTGGACAATATAGCAGAAACAAATGAAACCACAGATGCAAACTCAGACAGTTTTCCTTCAAACGATCAAAAAAGATTGAAACGATCAAAAATCAACGTCGAGCAGAAGTGTTTCAAGGATCAGGTACAGTATGTATACTGTAGATTACTGTACTATGCAAACCATTGTTGATTGTTATTGTGACATGTTTCCCTGTTCAGGATGGTGAGAGCGATGCTCCAGCGCCTGACTGGGGTGAGCTGTCGGATGCTCCAGGGGACTCAGGGGACTCAGGGGACTCAGTCCCTTTGGGGAACTTGGGGAACTGGGAAAATCTGAACATATTTAGGGCAGATGCATAGAGTACATGCAAGGTGGTGTCCCCAGTTATGGCTGAAATCATCCCATGAAAACTAGTTCGATATATCACCAACAAAAACAATAGTGAAATTGGACTTATAAACCAACTTGGCTAACGAACTGGGGCACCATCCTGTGGGAATACTGAAAATGAATAACAGCTCCAGATTTATAACAACTCAAACATTTATATACTATATATACTATAGTACCGTACACCCATGAATAACCTTCAACAAGACCCAACTGGAACAACATTATTTATGATCACGTTTAGGTTATATAATGTTAATAACCTTGAACTGTACCCATTGCTTCCAACCCCAAGTTTAACGGGTTCATTGGTATAACCCCATGCTTCCAACCCCAAGTTTAATGGGTTCATTGGTATAACTCCATGTCTTTGCTTGGCCCCATCCGGAAACTGGTTCTATAAATTATATAAGATGGCAATGTTATTGTGGTTATAGTTAGATTCAACCATAATTGATAGATAGTATGAAACCTTTGGGGATAATCCACCAACTCCCCCAACGAACAAGACCTAGTTTAACAGCTTCGAGGAAGGCCATGCTTAAAACCTAAACGCATACAAGCTGGAGTTCCCTCGATAGCTAAGTTTTTTTTTTTTAAAGTTAAGCATTGTTTTACGGTAGATATCAGGGTATTTCATGAGCTTCATAAACCACCTCGCAACATCTCGCAACATCTTGGGGGCCCACCTGGTAAAAACTACTTTTGATGACCCCAACTGCACCAGGTTCCAACATCTTCCAACATCTTCCAACCATCCCCAGGTTGCTGCCCTTCGTGGGCCCCGAAGTCTGGCGAATCGAGGTGCAAAGCGTTACGCGCACGGTGCCTGGCAGCCCAGGATGACACATGGAATCTCCGCAACGTGGCAACGATCCATCTGAAACCAACTTGAGTTGCCAAGTACCTGCCAATGTCATCGATCCGAGGCTATTTCTCCAGCAATGGGCGGATGAGTTTTTTGGTCCCGGCAAAAGCGCCTTGCGACAGGGTGTCCGGCGGCCCAGGGATGATGTTTCGTCCATGAGTTGGAAGATGAAGTCCACATGTTCCGTTTTTTCCATTTGGTCATTTAACAGTTTGCTATTGAACATCGCCATTCTTGTGAATAGGTCATATATATATAATAGTTACGATCGGCCATTTTCATCCATTTTCCTTCGATTTTCGTTTCAAAATGTGGACCAAATTAAGGAACATTTCGATGGAAGGCGAAAGGGGGTACATGTTTGGTGGATATGTGTGGTGGGTTTTGTGAATTTGACACTTGACATGTTTGTTCTGGTTGGTGGTTTGGAACATTTTTTATTTTTCCATAGATATTGGAAATAATCATCCCAACTGACTTTCATATTTTTCAGAGGGGTTGAAACCACCAACCAGTTGTTTTAAAAGTGGATGGACATTGCTAATGCTATCAGATAGTACCAGAGATGTTACGTTCCGTGAATTTCGGTGATGTCACAATCACTTGACTGACATATTTTGCAGGGCTGGTTACTGTAGATGTTCATGGGCTATTTTGGATGGTCTTTGAGTCAAAGCCCAACTATAAATGGTTTCTGGTTGGTTATATATCAAGATATATCATAATTTCATCCCCAAAAAATCATGGTAAAAGAATACAGTACATGTTTCGGTGGTCAAATCCAGTGTTTCGTGAGGTGAAAACACCGGCCTGGCGACTCAGGGAGCGCTTGGGAGGATAGGCATGTCATCATTGCCATGGCCATGGAGTTTAGATGATATCCTGGTCAGAAAAAAAAGGTGAACATCAATGATTAAATATTTCTTGTCACAACTATGAGAAATAAGATTCTTCAACCATAGAATGTGAGGATTCAAGATGATTTATACAAGCACCATCAAAGATCGGGATATCGGGTTATAGCCAATGATGATTTGGTTGGTACTTTCAATATTTCATGTCCATCTACCTGGAATTGCTCAACATACCGAGTGATTTGCACTCTGCTGCACTTGTTCCTCAATGTACTCAAATGATATATATATATATGTATATATATATATAAATATCAGAAGCACTGCAGTCTACTTGAAATTCTGGGCAGTTTTTGCATCCTGTCCGCAGAAAAATGGACGGTTTTTCAGCGTTGGACGAAAAATGGACGTGGGAATTCAACAAGGGTTATCCAGCAAACCAGTTGAAGTTCGGGGACTGCAGACGTCAACAAAATTGTTGGAATTTTCATCTACACAATGTTCTTGGATTTTTGGGTATCTATATACGTTAAAATGATGATGATGATGATGATGATGATGATGATGATGATGATGATGTTTACAGATATCTACCTGCACAATCCGATATCGATATGGACTTTATATCGCGCCTTTTTTACACCCCCAAATGTGAAACCTCAGATGTTCGCGCACCCTGAGGACATGGCCTCACGGGCAGTGACTAACAATCCCAAAGATGTCGTGCACAAACTGACTGCTCGATCTACAGACGCATCCAACAATGGAAACACTACAAACCGCGCTAAAAAAAGAAGAATCGATATCTATTTTCATGATATTTTGCACAATGTTTTCCATGTCACACATGTTATTTTTCAAACTCTGCTGATAAGTCACTGGTTGTTCCCCCCCTGGATCGCGGTGGACCTTGGATTAAAAACTGGTGGCTTTCCAGGTGCAGTTTGAGAGAACGCCCAGTGGAGTTCTCTTCAAATTCCGACCCCTCACCGTGAAAGATGTCGGGGATCCTCGGGGGTCCTGGCGTTGGGTCGAGACATGTCGAGACGATGTTTCTGGATTTGCTTTGAGAAGTTTCTGTGGAGGACCCATGACAATTATATATTATATAGGTGTATATATATATATATATATGAGCCCGTCCCCGGACCCCCACCCCCCCCCCCCTCCCCCCCCAATGGTATCCCCCCCCACTCCTAACCCCCCCCACCCCCCAAAACCTAGTATTTGCATGTTATTTGCACATATACATACACATATACACATATATACTCCCCTTTCCACCCCTCCAACCTCGCATCTCTACGTTATTTGCAGCACTTGAGAGCCACGACCTCGTCAACGGACCTTGTCTACCTGTATATTTCTATCATAACCTTTTTTTCGAACCGCCTATAGCGTGCCTCGCACATGGTTTACAACATATTTGCTACCTATGGATTACGCAAAGCTTACCTATGCAAACCTAGACATATGTACAGTAGAAAAACAATAAATACATATATATATATGCACATTCTAGATACTACAGATTGATATCTTGATCTTGTATCTATCACATATTTCGTTTACATTGTACATACTGTACACGTATATATAATATATATATATATGTGTATATATATATGCATATATATATGTATATATATACATAAACTCTAGATATACAGCGTGTATTGCTGTCGATATTCAATATACCACATATACTTTGTAAAATTTATTCAACGAACATATTTACCTATATTGTATATATTACATCTACTGTGGATACAGTACATGTGGCATACACTATCTATATTCTATCAAAAACCACATATACGATGTATATATATATATATGTTCAATATATATATATGTCAAACATATATATATATATTATATAATATATATAGATTGCACATATTCTATTTATATCTTACATATTATATGTATATATATATACACTACACATACACTCTATATTACATATAGTATATCCATTCTAATTATCGATACATATGCATTATATGCACTATAAAGACTACATACACCATGGCTTGGCTGCTGAGAAAACCCCCCCTCCCCTGCCACAGGGGGGGAACCATCTGGCTGGGTGGGGGGGGGGTGTGGGGGTCCCTGCTCATATATATATATATATACAACATGTGCTGTAATCATGGACCATGTGATATCCGGCCGAAGATTGACTTTCTGACAAGTATCCAAGACTTTGCTATGGACAAGACACTGTGCGCCCACTGCTTTGGGTGACTTTCTGTGACTTTCTGATACGTTTGAAGTCCTAATTGTAATAGCCGTTCCGTTAATCACCGTTGATCAAAGATGGCTTGCTGGAAATCTCCCATTTAGTTTTGGGATCTCCCAACCTGCCATAGGGTAAATCTCATCTATCCCTGTGTGAATCCTCATGGCAAAGAAAAAAACATAGGCCTTTTCTAGATCACCTGGCTGTTTCACCCTGTCTGGGGCAATCCTCGAGGATACTTGATCGCATGCTTGACCATTCAAGCGAATTGTTGCAGTTCATGACTTCGGGTCACATTCTGTGGGATTTTTTCTAGTTGACCATGCAAGTTGTGGATGGCCAACAGGTTATTATACGACTCTAGTCACTAGACCCATACTCGGCGCACCCAAAATGTCAACGACCATGGCCACCATGGCCGCCCAGGACCCGTTCGAGTCACTGGAAGAAGGCGGTTTGGAATTCATCGTGGAGGCAGCGGATGGCGGGATGCTCGTGGTTCCAATCAGAATTGTAGAGTGATGAAAGAAAGCAGTGAAAAATCACAAGTTTCACCCAACAATTGATGGTTTTTGGTGCTTTGATCAATTTCAATCCTCATTTTCCTAGCGTTTTGCAACATGGGGTGTTGATGGCATTGGCATTTGAACACAATCGAGGAGCCAGTTGGTGGAACACCTCGTTTGCGAGCACGACGTAGCCTGGCAAATGTTTAAGTTTGAGGGGAACAGAGATTTTGGTGGGTCATCTTTGATCATTTTTTGTGAGTTGTTGGTTTGGAACATTTTTTATGTTCCACAATATATGGAATAATCCTTCCCATTGACTAATATTTTTCAAGATGGTTAAAACCACCAACCAGTTTGTGAGTTGTTGGTTTCATTTTATTGTCCCATATGTTCGGAGTGTTTTCCAGCGGGATTCCACGCTTTGGATCTAGACCGCAGCTGAGGCTGTGCTTATGGTTGGAAGGTTGTTCCCAAGGTGCGGGGAACATCTGTGGTCTACAAACTCCGGCCCTGTCATTGCTGGTCTATAATGAAGACATCTAGGATTCCAATCCTTGGGTATGGTTCAATATCAATCTACATCAGCTCATGTTTCTGCTGTCTCATATGGGGATATGATATCTAGAAGTTCTACCTACCTGGAAAACATCGTTGACTTTGATTTTGGTCGGAAAGCGCACCGCGGGATTTGGATTCCTACGGTTCTTCAGCATCGTTACCTCTGCCGGCCAAGATTTGCAGCAATCTTTGGTTTGTAGGGCGCCAGCAAGAACAAACCAGAATCATTCTGAATCACCTTGAAAGACATTTTTTCGCATATATTCGGACTAGCCTCTGGTAGTTAAACTAATTAAGCATGGCTATGGAAAATCGCTATTCTTAATCGATTAATAATCATCATATAGATGGGCAATTTTCCATAGGAACCAGTTAAATTGCCGGAGGATAGCTCAGAATTCAGCAAATCATTAGCCCGGTATCACCTCTAAGACGTCAGTTGCACATTTGGAAACCCGAACAAACAGCTTTAGGAGAACTCTGAACGAGCTTTGCTCGAAAAGTTCAAAAGGGACTGGCAGGAGGCAGCGGTATTTGCACTGGGGAGGAGAACCTTGGAAAAGCAACCAGTACCGCTACCACCGGTGCCCCCAATACTTAGCTAAGCTGGTTTCTTTCACTAACATTTTACTAGGGTGTAGGGTAGATATATCCAATTAACATTAACTAACTAATAGGGCCATTTTATAGGGTCGATAAACCAACAAACATTTCACTGGGGGGCACCACCTTGAAAACGGGTCCGAACATATGCTTTACCTTGGCATCTCCAACGGTAGTTCATGTTTCGCAGGCTGGGATGTTAACTACCCTTTGGTAATCTAAGATAGCCATCGAAAATTACCATGTGTAGATGACTGGCCTAACGAACATGGCATGGCTATGTGAAATTACCAGAGGGTAACAATCTTTTGAAGTAGTTGATCAGCAAAATCCATGGATAACCCCACGGTCAGTAGTCAGGAATGGCAATCTTCCAGTTGAGACCTTTTTATGGTGGGTGCATACAAGTGTAATCCCTTCACCGATTGCAAAAAAAATTGCCGCCAAGAGAAAGCCTGGCGAAGTTGCTCATTTTTTGCCCAGTGGGGGATACGGCCAGGGGTGGCCACGGGTTTTCAAATGATGGCTACAACCATGGTAAATTAACCCCACAAGTTGGGATTTATTTGCTTCACGGCTATAGAACCACTTAAAACTGGAACTGCACCCAACTGGTATTCTTTTTTTAGGGGGGATTACTAAGTTGGAGAAAATGACTGACACAACTCCAACTGCTGAGTTCTCCAAGGGTCAAG